GCTGGTAGTAGATCTTACAGGGTGGTGCTGGAATTGGTTTGTGGGGGTGACTGCCAGTGCTTCCATGTGTATTGGGAAGTGGGGGTAGGTAGCCCACCCCAACTCTGTGAAAGCCTGGAGATTTCAGTCACAAAACCCGCACACCTGAATTTTCAGTAGATTATATTTGGTGGGGTCTGTCCTGAGACGGTGGAGACAGACCAGGGGTATGAAGGCGATTTTGGATTGTGGAAGCAAGTGGATGCTGGGGGCTCTGCTTGGGCAGGCATAGGCCAACCTGCCCCCATCCGATTTATCCCAGTCTGTTCAGCCATGTGCTGGTCTGAGATTAACTGTGGCTTTTGATCTCTTTTTGAGATTTATCTATGGGTCGCTGAAATAAGGCCAATAAATGAGCTTGTATAGCTGAGCCAGAGGTGGTTTGTGGGCATAGCTCCCACATACCTAACTTTTGGCCATTAAATTTCTTGGTAAACTTGGTCCCCAATTGTTGGGGTCCGGCCAAAGGCACAGGACAATTCTTGGGTATCAGGAAGCCTGGAGGCACCATCAGGCTGCTGATGCACTCGCCCTGCAGGTACAGGTAGATAGGTCATAGTTTTAATTGTGGTACAATATACACAATGTAAAATTCATCATGTCAACCTCTCAAGCTAGGGAGTGAACTCAGCCTTGGAGCTCTAGCCCTGGGCCTGTGCTGGCTGCTCTGAAGAGTGTGTTTTAGTGTATTCACACTGCCGCAGGGATGGTCGTCTCCAGACCTGTCCCTCCTGACCACCCAGCTGCACTCCTGTCCCCCACCCCCACCTCCGACACCCATGTTGCTGTCTCTGCATACCGCAGATAAGCAGGTGCTCAAGAGGTTTGCTCAGGGGATATGTGGTGGCAAGGAATAATCCAGAAGTTGGCTGCGTGTGAGGCAAGCACATTAAATCCTCTACTCTTTCTGGCCCCTGGACCCAGAGCAGTCACTAAGGCCCTTCTGTGGGGGCTGGAGGTGGGCATCAGGGAGGTGGCTGGGATCAGGCTGTGCGCATGCCTGCACAAGGACCTGCGTTCAGCTCAGGTTCAGGTCTGGACCACTAGGATGTGCTTAGGCCCTAGCAGTACTCCTGACAATACTCAGCCAGGCTGACACCTGAACACCTGAGCACTGCCTGGGAGTTCCCCCAAACTAAAAGTGAGGAAGAGTCAGAGATGCCTGTGGGCTTTGTTTGGGCCTGCAGACTGACGCTGTGCCCCTACACTATAGGATGGCGGCCTATGCGCCCCCCTCAGTGTCACCCCTTGCCAGCTGTTGTAGGGAGAACCCAAGGGTCTCTGCATTGTGATTTGTTTCACAGGCACAGATCTTGCCTCAAGTCGGGGAGTTTAACTTCCTGCCTTGCAAGCCATGCACCCCAAACCCTGTTCTTAGACTGGCTTCAGGAGCCAGCCTTTGGGCACGGCTGTGTGCACTGCTTCCCAGAGCTGTCGTGTTCTGAACTGAAGAAACCCCTGATTTCCACCCATGGGAGGACAGAAGATCCTCAGTAAGTAATCTGCCTTTTTCTTAGTGGAGCTGCTTTCACAAAACCCTGGCCGGTCAGGAGACCTCTGCAGGCACCCTGCTGACAGGGACAGGTTTCTTTTTTTTTTTTTTTTTTTGGCAGGGGAGGGTGGAGGGTGATGGTAGGGATGGGAGGATGCAGATGAGGCATGGGGCATTCCTGGCATGCTCAGGGGTTGCTCCCAGCTCTGTGCTTTTTCTAGCTGCTCTGAGCAGTAATGCAGAACCAGGGCTGGCCACAGCCAAGGCAGAGCCTTGGCCCCTGGACTCTGGCTCAGGAACTCTTGAACTGAACAGCCTCCTGACTGTGCTGGAGGAGTGAGGTGCTTTCAGGCTGCCTCCAGGAGAGCACATGGGGGTGTCCTGAGACTTCCACCCCACACTATGGGGCCAGAGTGACAGTGACAGTATAGAAGGTCTCTTGCCTTGTAGGCGGTACATCCAGGATTGATCCCCAGCACCCCATATGATCCCACAAGCCTGGACAGGGTGATCCCTGAACACTGCTGAGTGTGTTCCAAAACCAGAAAGAAAACAAAAAACCCACTCGCCGAGTAGGAAGCCATGGGGCACCCTGCACTCTAGCCCTCACAGACAACCCTGTAGGGACAGAGATGAGCGGGAAAACCTGGTCCCCATGACTCACTGCTGTTCTGAGAAGCTGCTGCCTGGACGTGATATGGCGGTCGCCAGGAGTTGCCACAGCGCGGGCTGGTCCTCAATCCTGCCATGAGGAGCCTCTCCTCGGGACCTGAGACCCTCTAAGTGGACTTTGACTAGGTGGCCCGAGGTGCACATTTAGAAATGTTTGGCCGCAGCTGTCTGGGCAACCAGGACTAAGGAAGTGGGATGGGGAAGCGATCACCGTGCCAGGTCAGAAGGCTGGTCCAGTGTACAGAAGCTCCATCGTTTGCATGGCTACTGCAAGCACATTTTCTATAGCCCTACAGCCACCAAGTCAACTGCAGTTCAAACATGTAAGACTGGTAAGGCATAGAGAGACGTGGGCAGTTCCTCGCTCTCTGCAGAGCACAAAACTCCAAACCTCTTCACTCATCAGGAAGCTCGGGAGTGTTTGTTTACTGGGATGGTCCACATTCCATCTAAATCACACAGAAGCTTGTTTGTGGCAAGCTTCCAAAGTGTGTGTGTGTGTGTGGGGGGGGGGGATAGGGGGGAAGGTTGGTTAGGATAGACAATACACCAGTACGAAATGATAGAAACGATCACTCTGGACAAAAACTGAGTGTTGAAAGTAGATAAAGGGATATACACGACACGCTTTTAGTATCTGTATTGCAAATGATAATGCCCAAAAGGGGAGGGGGGGTTGGGAGAGAAAAAGAGCAAGAGCGAGAGCAAGAGAAGTGCCTGCCGCCACACAGGCAGGTGGGGTGGAGGGCGTGGATGGGAGGGAAATTGGGGACATTGGTGGTGGGAGATGTACGCTTGTGAAGGAACAGGTTTGGAATATTTTATGACTGAAACCCAATCATGAACACCTTGAACTGTGTATCTCACTCTGATTCCAAAATAATAATGATAAAAAAAAAATTCACAGACAGCAGATAGGACCTCTCTGGGGAGCTACAGAGCTGAAGTCTAAGTACTGGCATGGAGATGGGGAAATGAGGATGGCTAGAAGTTAGTGGCTCAGCCAAGGACTGATGCACAGAAAGACGCTGATTAGAGGAGCGGCAGGAAGAGCCCTGGGGAGAGCCAGGCCCCAGGGGCCGGGGTGTAGAGAAAGGCCACGCTCCACACTGGGATCGGGACCAGGCACATTCCTCCCTCCGTGACTCAAACAGAAAATGACCTAAATACTCACGGGGGCCCCAGTGAAAATGCTGGAAGTGTCTTGATGAGAGTCCCTCAAAGGGGGGATTAATAATAAACTGTTTTGCTTCATCAAGAGGTCCATACCGGTGGTACTCAGGGGTTATTCCTGGCTCTCTGCTTAGAAATCACTCCTGGTGTGCTCAGGGGACCATATGGAAGGGACCGAACACAAGTCAATCATGAGCTAGGCAAGTGCCCTCCCTGCTGTTCTAATCTCATGCACTGCTCCAAGCGAGGGAGCGGGACCGAGCCACACCAAGGGGCAAGGTGGAGACACGACCAAGCAACAGACTACTCCTGGGCCCCAGACCTCACTGCCTCCACAGTGCTGTGAGCCCAACGCTCACTCTCCATTCCATTTTGATTAAAAAATATGCTGCTGGGATTGCTTCATCTTCTTCAGCCAAAAATGGGCTTGGACCTTGGAGTGGCTATTTCTGAAACCCAGATGTGTCCTCAGAGAAAGCCCGTTTATAATTCCGGGGCCACTGAAAGCAATATGCGGTGGCGGGGGGCCGGGGTGCGCCCAGGGCCAATGCCCTCAACACAGGGTCTCCCGAGCAGCGCCGAGAGCAGTCCCTAAGCCATTAGCGACCCCCGAGCACTGCCAGGTGTGGGCCCCCCAAAGAAAAACCATAAATAGAAGATGACTCAGCCTGAAGCGGCCTTCGCGGCCCCCCCAGAAGTTTCTGGACCAGCGTGAGCAGTCTCCTAGCTCCCCAGGGTGCACAGCTCTGGAATGTCACCCACTAGGAAGCACAGGTCACAGCTGCCCAGAAAATGTGGGGCGTGAGGGCAGGGCCCATCAACAGCCCCCCACCTGAGCTGGCTGACTTCAGAGGGCATGATCCATGCCCTGTCTCAGGGCCAATCCGCCCCTCCCCTGCGCCTGTGTGGGGAGCCCCGGAGCTGGGTGCTCCCGATGGAGCTTGGGGGCCAAGCAGCTCTTCCCTATGGGCGTCTCCTCTGACCATTCTGCAGAAGGCGGACACCGCCAGGCAGTGAACGGGCACCAACTCCAAGAACACCTTGACCTTTGGATCAGGAGCCTGAGGCAGCTCTTGCCCCGAAACCCCTCAGAGAGCACAGCGGGTTATGGCACAGAGGTTACCTTGCAACTGACCCGGGCTCGATCCCCAACAGTGCATATGGTACCCTGCACCCTACCAGGGGTGATCCGTGAGCACAATGTCAGGAGTAAGCCCTGAGCACTGCTGGGTATGGCCCCAAAACAAAAAATCAAAACCAAACCCCTGCCAAAACAAAACCCAAAAGACCACACAGAGCAGAGCAGCCGTCGGCCCTCCTGCCCACAAGTCCCGCCTGACCAGGTTTGCACAGGAGGGAAAGGCTAGGGTGGGGGCCGTCTCTGGAGGGGGCTCAGGCAGAGTGCCCTAACACCCTGTAGGCCCTAACACCCTGTAGGCCACACACAGCCCCTTCTTCCGGGCCTCCACTCCTGTCACGGGCAACAGCTCTGAACCTCTGCCAAGAACAGGAAGAGGAACCTGGACATGACTCTGCTGAGAAATATCAGTCCCAAGTTTTCGAATCACACCTGCAGAAGCCACAGGCCAAGGGGGAAAACTGAAAACCTGAAGCATCGTTTTTTCCCTTCCCAACAGTTCCAGTGATGTTTATTACTTAGCCTGGGCTGGAATAACATTAGACAAAAATAGAAACAGTCTGTGGATCTACAAAGTCTTTGTACATGTCCCCAGTCTCTTCTGGTCTGCCAGGGTGCCCAGTAGCTGGAGTCAGGTTAGGGGAGCCTAGAAGACTCCCCTCTGCACACCCCATCCCCAGCCTGCGCTGGCCGGAGGGGACAGAGAAGACAGGCAGGAACCTTATTCAACTGGGCTCTCTGGGAGTGGGCTGCAGGGCCAGGGGGACTTGAGAAGCACTGGAGGTCAGCAGGCACAGAGGTCGACGTGGGAAGGCCCATACCATCTCGGCTGTGGCCCAGGCAGAGCATGGGTGGAAAATTCAGGTCAGTGTCCACAGGGGCGATGTGGCTGTGGAGGACAGCCATGGGCCCTCGTCTCCCCCTGTGGAGAGCTGGAGCACTTGCCAGGGAGGCAACAGCAGCACAAGGGTAGGCCTGGCCTGGCAGCTCCGGCTGGAGTGGGCGGAGTCCGGCAGCCGTGCCCCAGGGGACGCTGGGCGGGCTGAGGCAGGTGCTGGCTGCAGGCTGGGAGCGTCTCCCGGGCCCAGTGGGTGCGTGGTGGTCCTGGGGTGTCTCCAGACAGCATGCCCGTCGCTATGTCAGGGGCTGCTTGAGCTCGAACAGGCCTGTTCCTCCCTTGACGACCTTTCCGACCACGAGGCAGGCTGAGGGGGACCGCAGCTCGTCGTGGGCTCCTGGGAGACACAGGGATGTGCGTGAGAAGGCTGAGAGAGCCTGTGGGGGGAGGGGGGAAGCGGGGGCCATGGCGGGCTGCGGGCGGGGTAGGGTTCATGCGGTTCTGCAACCCAGCAGGGAGGGAGAAGCACGTCAGCAGGGCCTCAGGGGGCCTGGGAGTGGGGGCCTGCACTGACCCATCATGGTGGCCTGTTTCAGAAACTGGAAACTAGTCTCGAACGTCATCTGCTGCAGCGGGGAGGAGTTGGAGCGGATCCCGAAACGATTCAGCGGCTTGTACACGCCCTCGAAGCACATGTAGTCCGCAACCAGGGAGAGGTGGCGGGGATCCACCGCGATGCCTGTGCCACAGGACGGAGCAGGCAGTGAGCAGGGGCTGTGGGGCGGGGATCAGCTCCCCTGGACACAAGGCAGCCCCACGCCTGCTCCCACGGCCTGCGAGTCCAGGCAAGAGCGGCAGGGCCCAGCGCGGAGCCTCACCTGCATGGGGGCTGAGCCCTGAAAGTGTGCTGGCCACTCAGCCCACAGGACTGTCCTCCGAGCCACGCAGGCCAGGAGGGAACAGGTGAGGGCGTCTCAGGGACAGGACACCTTACCCAGGACTGAATGCCAGTCAGACCCCTGGCTGTGACTCTCGGGGTTTCCCACAGGCTGTCCAGGCCTCCACCTCCTGGAGATAGGACTCCCGCCCTTACCATACACGGCAAACACGTCCCGGATCTCCTTCTCGATGACGCGCAGCGCAGCCTCGATGCCGTAGGTGTTGGCCATGGCATGGATGTCGTTGGAGTAGAGGCGACGCAAATCCAGCACCTGAAAGGGAAGAGGAGGGATGGAGGGGCTGGCTCTGCCCACTCCTGCGGTGAGCCCTGGCCACGGGGACGAGCTGCAGACAGAGTGGGCAGGAGGCGGGCCAGGCTTTGGAGGCGATGTGGGCAGAGCAGCTGCCGGCCCATGTGACAGGCCCAGGGTCAGTCTGGTCATCACCACCAGGGCCAAGACAACTGGTCTGCGCCTTAGAGCCAACAGGAAACAGGCCAATTTTCGTTCAGAGACGACGTCCTGGGGCCAAGGCTTGCCTTGGCAGAGAGGAACATCCTCTGGCAGCCCCTTCACCACCGTGCCGGGGGACAGGAGCAGGGCTCCACTGCAGAGGGTCAGCCAGGCCCCATGAAGGCCTCAGGCTCCAATTCAGGCCTCCCTGGGGAGCTGGGCAGGTCATTCCCCCAGAGGACAGCAGCGTCCCTGGCAGCCATGCAGGCTGGGTTTAAAGATCCCCTTGATGACCTCCTGCACGCCAAGCACGTGGCCTCTGCAGGGAGCTGCCGCCGGGAAGGAGGTACAGAGGCTCTGTCTTCCGGGATTCTACGGGAAGCACCTGGGTCACAGGGACTGAGAGCACTTCAGAAGGGGCTGGGGGCAGTCGGAGCAGAGGACAGGAAGGTACGTTGGTGGTGAAGTGGGAGAGCACAGGTCTCGGCCAGCATCAGCAAGAGCCTGGGCCACCTCTGCCCCCGGACCTGGGCCACCTCTGCCCGACCTTCACCAGGTACTTGAGTAGCTTCCAGACTAAGTCAGTCAGCCATCATCACAGTGCAGGTTCATTTCAAGGGGAAGACAATCACACTCAAACCAGCCTGGAAACTTGGGGTGGGAAAGCCAGGCGGGTGTCTGTGTGGACAACTGGGCTGATGTGGACCCCCCAGAGGTGGGCCAGCACCACAGGGCTAAGGACACTGAGGGGAGCGGAGGCCTGGTGAGTACCTCAGCGTACTTGAACAGCTCCGGGAGGTTGATGCCTTCCGTATTTAAGACAAGCTCCTTCTCGTGCCGGCTGTTGGTGGTCTCGTTCAGGAGACACCGAGTGATGCCCTTGGTCGCATAGACGACGGCGTTGTGGGCCACGGACACGACCAGGGAGCTCATGTCAAAGTTGATCTTCATCAGAGGGAGCTTCAATGTCACCTGTGAGAGGACATGAACCCTAGGCACCGGGAGGCGTCTCGGCCCACACAGGGCAGCTGCTTCTGGTCACCGAGAAGGGGAAAGAGCAGTGAGGTGCCGTAACAGCAGCAGCTCAGCTGTCATTCTGGCCACAAGGCATTGTGTGTGCGTATATACGAAACCCTGGGCACCGGCTCAAAGTGAGGGACAAAAGGCCTGCACAGTGATGTCCAGATACACAGCCCGCTCAGTCTTCGAGGCAAACATGCGTTCCCCAAGCCGGGGAGCAGGTGCTTGGTGTGAAGGGTTGAAGCATTCTGGCTGTGCCCACGGGACTCTGCTTGAGGCGCATTTAGCGCCAGGGCCAAGAGGGCCTGTACCTGAAAGTTCTTAAAAGCCCCGTGTGTAGGGCATGTTTTGGGGAAACAGCAGCTTTTCCCCGGATTCCTCAAGAAATGTGGAGTAAGAAAGGGTACGGTAACGAGGGTCAGGGAGATAGCGAGAGTGGGCATGCGCAAGGCCCGGGGCGGGGGCCCCCTCTGTGGGGTCAGCACCCCGGAGCTGCAGGGGGCCCAGGCCCACTGACCTCGCACCACAGGCTCCGCTCCGTGTCGAACTCGTACTCATGGATGAAGGGGTGGCACTCGAGCACGGCCCGCACACGATTCTCGGCGGCCTGGGGCTCTCGGCGGCGGGCCGTCCTCTGCTGCTGGCTCAGGGGGCCCTCGGGTGGTTCGTCTCCTTTGGCGCTGGCACCCGCTTCCTCCTCCTGCTCCTGCTCTGGGGCCTTGTGGGTGTTTTCCAGATGCGCAGCCTCCTCCTCTGGCCGTTCCTCCTCGTCCTCCTCCCCTCCTTTCTCCTCCTCTTCTTCGCTCTCGTAATCCACCTGGCAGGGGTTGAAGCAGAGGCAGTGGTGCCAACGTCCACCTGGGCCCTGGCAAAGGAATGAGACCCCACCTGCGCCACACCCCTGCCTCCCGCTCTGAAGGGGCAGGCCTTGCTCCTCTCGCCCACCCTGAGCTCAGCGCCACCCCTTATCTATCACCTCCTCAGTGCCTCTCTCTGGCCTTGTCCTTAGGCAAGCAAATGAGCAGGCGGCACCGTGCCCTGCAGCCCGACTTCATTGTCCTGCCAAGGGCCGCTGCATCCTTGAGTTGGACCTTGACATGCACCCTGTGTATTTCCTGCCCCAGAACAGGCTCCTCTCAGAGCACCGAGGGTGGGCTGGGCAGGCCTGTGGGTTCTGGCCCCTCACCTCCTCCTGCTGCTTCTCCTTGCGCTTGGCATCCGAGGCATCAGCATCGCCCTCCTCGGCTTCCGCGTCCACGATGCGGCCCTCCTCCTCCTCCCCGTCCTGCTCTCCCTGAGGTTTGGGGACAGGAGGAGACCGATGAGCCCTGCTGTTGGGGCTGGAGAATCTGCCGATGCACCCCAACACCTGCCATCCACTGACCTGCTAACCCACCTGCTCCCCTGCCCACCTTCCGGTGAGCTGTCCACACTCCACCCTCCCTCCACCCGCCCACCCTATGCAGATCAAGCCCTGTCCAGTCAGAGTGACCTTGTGCTGCTTGGCGCCCACACCACCGTCTCGCCAGCCAGGCGGAGGCAGTTCCATGCTGGGGCCTTGCCACACTTGGGATCATCAGGGACACCCGGATGGGGGCCTTTAGGGGCTACACCCAGCAGTGCTCAGGGGTCATGTGGAACATGCGTGATATGTACCCCTGACCCTTGCACTACCTTCCTGGCCCCCCACTTTTGAAAAACAAAAGAGCTTTCCAAGTCATTAAAAGCAGGCGGTAGGCAAGATGGTTCCAAACATGCCTGGTGCGGGTGGGGATGGAGAGAAAGGATAGGCTTGGTGGAACACTGGAGAACTAAACCAAAACACACCCCCAAATTGTGCTCTTGTTTCTGACATGGCCCCCGTAGATTCTGGTCTTCGGGGTGACTGCGGGGGTGTGAGGCGTGGGTAGCACTGGAGTCCCAGTGTGCACGCTGGCTGACACCAGTTCCTTTTATAGGGGCAAGGGGACATGGGCCCAGAGAGGGGCAACAGAGTGGAGAGCAGAGCTGGGCGGGGCAGTCCCCGTCTTTGTTAGCTGCCCTGTAGCTCCATCTCTCTGTGGATGCAGCCGCATCTTTCTGCTTCCAAGGCCCTGACCTGTCCTGGGTCACAGTAGCCTCTCACATCCCAGATTCAGCACGCATCTCGGCCCCTGCCAGGCACGCTGGGGCCTCAGCTCACCTGGCCCGAGCGAGCCTCAGGCGGAGAGAGACAGAACCAGGAATGGCTCTGAGAAGTCCAGAGAGAACCTGGCTGTAAGGCTTCACAGGGGCACCCCGAGCCAGCCTCACTGTCTGGTGGTACCCCACAGCCACCCAGGGCGGGGGGAGCTGCTGGGCTGTCATGGAGACCAGCCACGGGCAGCGTCTCTCCCCAGGACTGCGGAATGACAGGGCGGAAGAACTTACCCTGTCCTGCTCCGCCTCTCCATCCCGGTCAAGGTCCCGCTGGGTGGCTCTTCGCGTGTTTACATTTCTGAACGCGGAGGCTTTGCTATTCTTCTTTCTGATGGATTCCATCAGGATTTTAAAGAATCTGAAAGAAGAAGACAGCTGTGTAGGGCCTGTCCCGTGGCAGCGTCTCCAACCCCGTCCAGGGTTGGGGAGTCACAGCCTCTCACGGCTTACTCAGAGCAGGGGGACAGAGATGAGACAGACGCACTTTAGAAAGATGCTGTCTGCAAAACCACATCTTGGCATCTATCCTCAAAACACTACAACATGAATGAAAAAGGATACACATACAGCAATCACCACACTTAAGAGAAACAAGCCAAACGCCCCACTACAGAACAGGTCAAGAAGTTGTGGTCTAGGGGCATGAGCGATAGCACAGAGGGCAGGGTGTTAGCCCTGCACGCGGCCTACCCGAATTCGATTCCCAGCATCCCATATGGTCCCCCGAGCACCGCCAGGAGTAATTCCTGAGTGTATGAACAAGGAGTAACTCCTGTGCATCACCCGGTGTGACCCAAAAAGAAAAAAAAAATTGTGGTTTAGGCATGCAGTGGAATACTACGCAGCTCGAAGAGAGGACAGCATCATGCCGTTTGCTGTGACGTGGACAGACTAGAGTCTGTCATGCCGAGTACAGTCAGACAGAAGGAAAGGGACAGACCCAGACAGAACCCAGAATGCTCTCTCACATGAAGGACTCAGGATACACGCAAGGGAGCAACAAAGGGTAAAAGGCAGCACAGCTGGAGAACTGACCACACAGCTGGGGCGGTGGTGGTAGTAGGGGGCTTTGAATGAACGGGAGCGATGTTGGGCTTCTTGGGGGAGAGAGGTGGGGACAATGAGGATGAGTGTGAAGCTGGAATAATGTGCATGAGAAATCATCATTTACAGAACTGTAAGTCTGTTTTTAAAACAGAACTTTAAAAAAAAAAAGGTGAAAAAATATATATATATCGAGAGGCTTGAGTGAGCAGGGTGCTTGTCTTGCACATGGTCGACCCAGGTTTGATCCCTGACCCCCCTCCACCCTCCGCCAATACTAAACAAGCAGGAAAGCAGGTTTCCTAGAGAGTGACCCAAAAGCAGTCCTGAGTTTCTCTATTATACACACAGATGCTTTTTAAATGGAAAGGAAGGAAGGAAGGAAGGAAGGAAGGAAGGAAGGAAGGAAGGAAGGAAGGGGAAGGGAGAAAGGAAGAAAGGAAGAAAGAAGAAAAGCAAGCAAGCATAGAAGGAGAGGGAAAGAGACAGGGAGGGAGGAAGAGAAGGAGGAAAGGGGAGGAAAAGGAGGGGAGAGAGGCAGACAGACAGGCTGTTGGCTGCAGGCAGGCCGGGGACAGACTCTGTTTTCACTAGTGCTTCTCTGGGAAGATGTGAACAGCAGGAGGGAGGGAAAGCCAGTGAGCCCTGACCAGCAGGTAGGCAGCAGACATGGTCTTCAGAGAGCTCAAGTTCTGGGGGCACAAACAGGAGTTTCCCCTTCTGCGGTGACTGCTCTGAAGGGTTGTTTACAGCAAGTGCAAGGCCCAGGAGGGGCAGGCTGCAGAAGCCTCCCATCCCACATAAATAATTACAAATAGAACATGACCCTTGGCTGTTTCCGAAAGTGCTGGCAACCGCCCCACCACCTGCTGTTTGCGAAGTCAGGTTCACAGAAGCTCGAGCAGTGGAGGTGGCCAGCTCAGTGGAGGCGCCCAGCTCGTCCACTCCATGACTGGGGCCAGAACACCCACGCCACCTCCTCGCTCAGTGCCTGCTCCCTCCTCCACCACCCGGCCACCTTCCACCGCTGGGTGTGTCCACACGCGTGAAGCGCGACACTATGGTCTACTTGCTTCCCTTCCAGTCTCTGCCGACCACCCCAGCCCCACAGGGATGGAGGGGAGAGGTGAGCAGCAGAAGTGGGAGAGCAAGCAGGGAGACGGCGGGAGGACAGGCTTCCGGGGGCGGCCACTTTGACAGTCCCATTGCCAGCGGGGGCCCCTGGGATGCCCACGCCTGACAAAGGCGGCCAGACCGCACCCCGGCACCAGCTCTGGCTCTTCTGCCCGAGTCGTGGCAAGAGCTGCTGCACGTGTATCGGGCCCATTGGGCCTTCTCAGGGGCACTTTCCCACTGGCAAGGATTCAGGGCGGCCCGTCAGCAGGAACTGCTTGAGAAGGGATGGAATTCTGATGCCCCACGGGAATGTAAGTGAACAGGAACGGGGGCCCAGCCCCAGGCCCCGCCTGGACGCGAAGGCCCTGGCAGTGAAATGTGGGAGGAATGATCCCGCCTGCTCCAAGAACTGCAGTGGCCACAGAGTCAGGTTCCCCTTCCACAAGTGGGCCCGTGCCAGCACACTGGCGGTGCCTCCTGTAGCTGCGGCCGTGGGTGGAGGGCGGTGTAGCCTTGGTCTCCTCTCCATCACTCACTGGGGCAGTGAGGGAAGAGCTGAGAGGTGTCCCGGAACAGGACGTCGATGACCGGCCAGGCTTTGATGCTGGTCTGGATGGTCATTGCAAGCATGGACCCTAGACCCCCTGAGCACTGGAGGACACCCCCCAAAAGACACGCGCCCCAAGTTTTAAAAAAAATAAAACGTCTGCCCTACCTTTAGTTATGCGACCCACAGTTTAAACTGCTCAGGAAGATAGAAAGCAAAAACTCAAAACACAAAAACCACAGACGCAGATGACAGACACCAAACTAATAAGCGTTGCCTGCCTTTAGCTATGTACCCGTGGTTTAAGCAGCAAGGGTGTGGGTGGAAACAGTGCCCAGTGGTCTGACAGCTTTCCCTGGGCCTCACTAGGTATTTACTAACGGATGGATGGGTGATACTTAGGAGGTCAGAGACATCCCCGGGGCCAGTGAGGCAGTTCAAAGGGCCAGAGGACGGCTTCCGGTGCTGGAGGCTCAGTTCCAGCCCCAGCTCCACACGCTCCCCGGCACTGCTGGGGGGGACTCCACAGCACCTGGCCCTGAGCCGATCCCGAGCACTGTTGGGTGTGGCCCCCAAGCCCAAAAGGAAAACAAAATCAGAAGACTCTTATTTATAAAATCACAAGCAAACAATCAAAGGCCAGTGACATGGAAAAAAAAAAGAGGGGGAGGAAGAGAACTTCCTATTTCTGGTTCTGAACCAGAGATTTGGCACCATTGCCCCCACTCCTTGCCCTGAAGGGCCCGCGGCCTGCCCCTTGCACTCAGCGTTGGGGCCTGTGCTTGCCAAGCGCCCAGCGGTCACAGGAGACAAAATGGTGCTTGTCTTCCCTATCAGCCAGGAACAGAAGGAGAACTTCTAAGAATCTGGAGGTAACCCTACTTAGAGAAATGAGGCTCAAGAGGAAAATGCCAGAAGCCAGAGTAATAGCACAGCTGGTAGTATATTTGCCTTGCAGGCAACCAACCTGGGTTTGATCCCTGGTATCCCTTTTAGTCCCCTAAGCACCCCCAGGAGTTAATTCCTGAGTGCAGAGTCAGGAGTGACCCCTGGCATTGCTGGGTGTCACCCCCACCCCACAAATAAACAAAAGAACAAGAGCCACAAGCCAAATGCACGCTCTCCACAGGAGAGAAATGTCCTGGGCCCACCCCAAGCCAAAGCCCTCCCCGCTGCGGGCCCGTCAATGAGCAGGAGCCAGGGCCCCATCCACACCATGTTTCTGGGCCTAGAGGCTTCAGAGGGCAGGACTCACGCACCAGAGAAGCTAAGTGTTCCAGGAGTGCGTGCGGGAAACACAAACACCCCACAAGCCAGTAGAAGTGGGAGGCTCCAGGGCCTGCCTTCTCTGAAGCCGGTTCCCAAGGACATGCCGGAGCACTGCTGCCCCTCGGCCGGAGCCCTGTGAGGAGGTTGCAGCGCCCTGACCTGGTCTCCATGAAGTGCAGGATGTCCTCAGGTCGCAGGCACTTCTCCTGCTGGTAGTACGCATGGGGCAGGAACTCAAACCGCAACCGGTACACCCGCAACTTGCTCTGCTTCTCCCCGACACAGAAGGACTCCTGGACATCAATCTTCTGCAGCACCTGGGACCAGATGGACATAGGCATGACAGCTGGCCCAGGGCCCCAGGCCAGACACCAGGCATGTGTGTGTGTGTGTGTGTGTGTGTGTGTGTGTGTGTGTGTGTATGCGGGCACAGAGCCAGCGGTTTACCCAAGGGGCCGAGGGCAGTAGGCGCCAGGAGTGGGAAGCAATCGGGGCCCAGAGGAGGTGCAAGAATGCTGCCGGGTCCCTGTGGGACTGTCCTGACTGACCCCGGCCCAGATCCCGTAACAAATGCCGCTCTCAGAGGGAGCGGCGCCCTGCTCAGGGTCAGCAGAGCCTATTCCTCAGAGAGGGGCTCGGGGACAGACCGACTCCCGCGTAGCAGCCCTGGCCGAGACAATCACCTCTCCTAAGCACACCCTGGTGAGCTGCTTCTTCAGGCTCTTCGCTCTCTTCAGTGCTTTCTTGGTGTTGAACACTGGCACGCTCATCATGGGGGTCTTGATGTTGGAGCTGGCCACCATGAGAATCTCCCGCAACCTGTCACAGAACAGGGGCGCAGCTGAGGAGCACGGCACCCAAAAAACACAGGGAGACACACACACACATGCTGCAGCTGAGGAACAGACACATACAGGCGCATGTGCACATACATGGGCTCAGCACTCACAAAACAGACACACACACACCTACCTGGTGCAACTGAGAAACAGACACAAAAAATGCACACACATGCACACATATGGGCACAGCACTTACAAAACACAGGAAGACACACTAAGAGATAGATACAGACACATGGCACAGCCGAGGAGCACAGCACCCACTGTTACTCTCACACACACACACACACACACACACACGCACATGTACACACACACAGCTGCAGAGTACAGTACCCACTGCCTCACACACACACACGCACACACATACAGCCATAGAGCACAGCACCCACTGCTTCACACACAGAGCTGAACAGAACAGGAGGTGCAGCGCGCAAAGCTGAGATCCCCTCCTCTCCCTCTCACACAGGAACACACGTGCACGGATGCGGCACCAAAGTCCCCGACAGACCTTGGTATGCCCAGGGTGACGTTCATCTCGCCTCTGCCTGCGAAGTGGAAGGTGTTGAGGGTCATCTGTGTGGAGGGCTCCCCGATGCTCTGGGCCGCCAGCAGTCCCACGGCCTCGCCTGGGTCGCAGAGGGCGCGCTGCCACTTCAGTTGCAGCAGAGTCCTAAGGCTGGAGAGGGGCACCGTGGCAGGGTGAGGGCATAGGCACCAGGCTGCCAGCACCACCTGCAGCCTGAGGGCACCGGCTGCTCCCTCCTTCTCTCTTAGGTCCAACACAAACTGAACGCTTGACTACCAGGGCAGCTGCAGTGCCACCATGCCTGTACAAACCCCACTGGTAAAGCAGGCCCAGGTGCCACGTGTCCTGGGAAGGTCACGCAGCCACTCTGAATCCCTGACCACTGAGAATGTCTGGGCTTCCTGCTCACACTTTCCTTAGTTTTCTCCCCACTGACCAGGAAGAGGTTCACTAGGCCACTAGGGGGCTGTGAGAAATGTTCCCCCCAACCCCCCGCCATCAGTGACCTAGGAAGTTTGTTGTTTTTAGACCATACCCACTGGCTATAGCACAGCGGGTAGGGCATTTGCATTGCAGGTAGCCAACCCGGGTCTGATTCCTCCGCCCCTCTTGGAGAGCCCGGCAAGCTACCGTGACGTATTCGATATGCCAAACACAGTACAAGTCTCACAATGGTGATGTTACTGGGCCCGCTCGAGCAAATTGATAAACAACAGGAGGACAGCGACAGTGACAGTGACCCACTGGCGATGAAGGATCATATGGTCAAACTGGAGTCAGCCAGGATAACTAACCCCGGTACTCTCTTCGGTCCCACAATTCTGTAATTCTGCAATTCACTAACCATACCCTCTACAAAAGCTGGTCCTCTTTAAAAACAGAGTGACAGCAGTGGTGCTCAGTGGTATGGTGCTTGGGGTCTCCGGCCGAGCTGAAGAAGGCCCTACCCTGCCATGCCCTGGCAAGCACTCCTCAGAAAGCACTCTGACTTCTTGCCACACCCTGGTGCTGCCTGCTGCCTGGCTTCCCAGGTTATCTGTCCACTGATCCATCCAGCCTGGACACCTGGGCCTCTTCTCATCAACTTTGACTGATCTTACCTGTGTGTAAGGTTAGGGAACACGCCTGCTTCCCGGATTACTGACTAATGCTGCGGGGATGAAAGTGAGGTTCTCACAGGCGCCCTACCAGCCTGTCCCTCCTCTTTAATTTCTAGGGACACAAGTCCAAGCCGAGAGCCCCAGATGGTCCTTCTTTAGGAAACCCCAAGTGCAAAGGCTCATCAGAGTCATCATATCGTCCACCACCCCCACCCCAAGAGAGACAACCCAGCCGGCCCCATCTGTCCTGGCCAGAGGGGTGTCCCAGACCTTCCTGCCAGATCTGTGCACCCAGCGGCTGGTTCCCTCGTCCAGAGCACCGGGCAGGCCAGCTGCAGCCAGCACACCCATTACCAAGGTCACGTTACCTGTCGAGAGAAAGTGCCGACCTCCCGTGACTCTGCTCGGCCTCAGCTGCCCACTCGCGACTGTAGTCATCCATCTTCTTCTCAAACGTCTCCGACACAGAAGCAAAGTAGATGTCTGGGCGCCAGACGGCTAGGCTGGGGTCTGGGCACGGCGCTGCCCGTTTCTGGTACTTCCTCCGACTCTGCTCGTCTAACTCATACCACATACTCAGCATCTGAAAGCAACACCGGGCCTCAGTGGTGCAGTGGGACCCTAGCCAAGGGCTCTTCCCAGCACCCCCCGGAGAATGAGGAGCAGCACAGGCACAGTGTCCCCGAGATGAGCACAGCATGGGGAGAAAAACTCTCGACGAGGGCTGAATCCATGGCTCAAGGCCCCAGCCATGACCACGAACTTTTTTTTTTTTTTAACATTTTTGTGTCATACCCAGTGATGCACAGGGGTTACTTCTAGCTCATGCACTCAGGAATTACCCCTGGCGGTGCTCGGGGGACCATCTGGGATGCTGGGAATAGAACCTGGGTCGACCGTGTGCAAGGCAAATGCCCTACCCGCTGTGCTATTGCTCCAGCCCCGACCACAAGCTCTTGAAGCTGGCCGGCACCAGCACCAGTTGGAATACGGTTCATTGTACACTGCAATGTTGAGTAAAACCGAGAGCTACTGCTAATAATATGAGGGCGTGTGGCACAGCCAGGACTGTCCTAGGCAAAGCAGGACGAGCAAGGGCTGTGCCGGACGAGCCTGTCCCATCAGTCTCCATGCCTGAACTGCTCCTGCCTCCCAGCTGCACGGGGCATGAGAGAGAGAGAGAGAGAGAGAGAGAGAGAGAGAGAGAGAGAGAGAGAGAGAGAGAGAGAGAAGAGAGAGAGAGAGAGAGAGAGAGAGAGAGTGTGGTGGGGGAGGTGGGGGTCCAGCAGCAGAGGAGCAGGTGGTGGGCGTGGGCCCCCTTCCTTCCTGGGGGGAGCAAGGCCCTCCCCGCCTCCATCCGGCCGGGAGTGAGTCACCTGCTGAGTGTCAGGGCTGCGACCATTCTGGTTTGCTCCCTCGAGGCCGGCAGCCTTCACTGCAGCCTGCATTTTCTGGGAGTAATTCAGGAAGGCGCCTCTCCTCAGCGGGCCGCCGGAGTGCTTGCTTTGCCACTTCTTGATAGCTCTGAAATGGCGCAGGGCTTTCTGGGGGTCCGCCCTGGACAAAACTTCATGGAGGTGCTTCGATTTCATGATCACCTACACCAGTTGGACATACAAGGCCAAAGAAATGTGAAGGTCTCAAGGCGGGGCCCAGGCACGTCGCTTCAGGGGCAAACACGGCAGGGCTGGCACCCTTACCAGGCCTCTCAGAGGTGCGGGTCCCTGTGGCAAACGGGAGCCCTCACCTGTGCAAGCCAGGCACAGGAGTGGTGGTGCCAGGAGTTGAGGGGGTTATAGGGGCGAACCCGACTCGCTCAGAAAAATGGGGCTTTCTTTGAAGAAAGCAGGTCCAGCCTCTGTGGGTAAAGGCTCGTGGCAGGTGCAGAGACGGACAGAAACCAGGGCACAGTCCCAACCCAGACCTCAGTGTGGCCACTGTGCCAACATGTGTGGTATGGGGTCATCTTGGGCTCCACCACTACCCATGAGTGACCTGAGCTGAGTGTCAGGCTCTGAGCTACTGAGCAGGCGCAGAGGAAACGGAATAGACGGGGCACACCAGGCACACTTGGGACCCTCACCACGGCTGGGGTGGCCACTCTGCTATGGGGCATGTGCCTTTCCGCTGCCTTCCATGGGATGTGAGAGCCGCCATGTCCTGAGGCCGGGCTGGTGCTTCACCAACGCTTCCCCCTCCACCCTGCCAGCTGCCACAGGGCCTGGGTGGTGAAGCCTGGGGAGCCGGTGCACCCCTACCTCATAGTTGCTGGCGAGGAAGGGGAACTGCTTGGGCTGCAGGAACTGTGTCTTAGGGATGTCCAGGCCGTCCTCCCCGTACAGGAACTGCACCACGCTGCCGTCGCTGTCCCGGACTGATAGGTCGTACTGGACCACCAGGCCCTCCAGGTGCTTGATGATACACCTGCGGGAGACCCTCCCTCAGGCCTGGTGCAGCGCCCATGGATGCAGGGCGGGGGACTGCCTGGACCCCAGAGCGGGCTGCCAATGCTGGGGTTACAGGCCGCAGACGACGGGCTGGGTTGGGTTGGGGTGGTTTGCCCACCCACCCCATCGCGATGCTGTCGGCCCAGCCAGGAGACTCGGCCCGGATGCTGGTGGGCTCTCTGCTCTCTCCTGGGCACCCCCTATCTCAGTCTTCCCAGAGCTCAGCTGCTCCCGTCTGCCTCGTCCCTCCTGCTGCCGGCCCCTCTGTGCCGGCTGCCTCCACTCCTCCTCCTGCACATTAAGAGGCTCCCCAAGAAAGTGTTCCCCTAAGTCCACAGGGCTGGTCCAACACCAACAGCCACCTCCACTGGGAATGCCCGAGGCCTGATCTCTCATTGCTGTGCCCCCAACTCCCTGGGCCCCACACACTGCACTTCCCCAGCTCTCCAGCCCACCCCCCTGCCCCCGAGTGTATTTCCCCACCTCCCCAGGTCTTTGTCTTGAAGGGTCTGAGACGTCTCCCTCAAAACCCTGAAACCACACAGCACCCCCTTCCCTCCCCACCGGCACCTATCACTGTCAGTCACGTGGAGCCACGCAGGCTGGTCCCCAGGCGCTCTTGTCTTTTGTCCCCTCCTACTGTCCTACGCCTTAACCATGCTGGCACTTTCTACTGCCACCCTCAGGAGGTGGCTGCAGGGACTGCACTGGGCCCCTCCAACCGTCCTGTCTAAAGTGTGTTCCTGCCTCTGCTCCATGAGCCCCCAGCACCCACGCCTCCTGCTCCTCTGTCCTTCCCCTGCTGCAGTCAAATGGCCCGGGTGTCCCGCCCCACATGCGAACCCCCAGGCTCGCCTGATGGTGCCTTAGAGCCTTTTCTATGCTGAATTTACATTCTTGGGTAATTTAAGAAGGTGGAGGTGGGTAACCCTTCCTCCAGGGAGACCTGGCCAGGGCACCGTGCCCACAAAGGGAGAGCTCGTCCTAACACAAGGGCCGTTCATTTCTGGCTGCGCTGCATATCACCGACAGCGTACTCACCTCACCATGGTACACCCAAATCTGCTCCCACCCAAGCCCTACTTCTGACAAGGGGAAAGCTCAGGGGGGTCTTTGGCTCAGTAAGGAGGGCAATGGAGCAAGCGGCTGGAGCAGACAGGAGAATGTGCAGTTGGGGGCAGTGTGCCATGGGTTCCAGGCAACATCGCCCCCCACTGGCCAAACAGACAACAGGCTCTGACTCCTCCATTTCCCATCCAATCCCCAAGAGAGTCTCTGTGCTTCAGCACACAGAGGATGGCGGGGGGAGCTGGCCACTGCTCCTGTCCTGCCGGGGAGCTCAGAGCTGGCCCTGCTCAGTTTTAGGCATCAGCGCCCATTGCCTTTCCCACACAGGCTGCTCAGGGCGCCTGTTTCTGCAGCAGAGCCGGGACACGAGGTGCGCATGTCATCTGGGCCAGTCAGATTGCTTGCTCCATCTATGGGCGGGGACCCTGATGTCACCCCTAGAACTCTCTCTGCCTGGTTCTGCCCTGCTGTCTTGCCCAGGGCAGGGGAGGAGCATGTCCCTCTTTCCCCAGGGACCGGGACCGGCACGCCACAGAACACAGCGTTCCCACGCACGACCCTCGGACCTGGCTCTGCCACCCTGTTAGCGGGAAGAGAACTGCCGATCTCTTGCTTCTTGGTCCGCACTCATGGACCCCAAAGGACTCTGAGGCCAGTGACAGTGTGGTGGTAACACTGATCCAGCCACAGCAGCAGCGGGGCGAGCAGGTGGACCTTACCTCTGGAGGTAGCCCGAGCGGCTGGTTTTCACGGCAGTGTCCACCAGACCCTCTCGTCCTGCCATGCAGTGGAAGAAGAATTCCTGTAGGGAAGGGGAGATCAGCGCTGAGGGAGCAGCCCAAACAGTGCTCCCTGTGGGCAGAGTGGCCCAGGTCTCCGGCAGCCTCACTGCTCCCGCAACACGTGGCCCTGTGACTACCACCGCTTTCTATTTTTGTGGGGGGCAAGGAGAGTTTTGTTGCCAAGTACAAACTAGAGCTCATCAGTGTTTTCCCGGTGAATGAGGAGTCAACGGGAAGGTTTTTGGGGGAGGCAAGGCAGTGGGGAGTCTGAAATAAACCCATGTGACGCTCCTGCCAGCCACAAAAGCACCGGGAGGGGCAGTGCCTTTCTCCTGGCAGGTGAGAGCGGGAAACAGGAGACAGGAAGCAGGGGAGCTGGGATCGGCCTCGCTCTGCTTCGCAGAGATGAATTAAGAATGCCCTTCCCCAGCCGGATACTCTGGCTGGGTGCTGCAACACTGGAAACGACAGCATGGCCTCTCTTATGTCCAGTGGGTAAATGTGTCATTTGATCGCCCCCGGTGGAAGTTGCTGGGGAAGGTCACAGGTCTCCTTCCACAAAACTTAGAAAGTGAGAGAGAAAAAGCTGCATACGTACCGGAGGCCTGATGCCCGTGAGGAACCTGCCGGTGACGAAGCCACCCGCCCTGGGGGTGAACTCGTAAGGCTCGAAGCAGGGCAGCGACTTGCCGGATGCCATGAGTGGGGGTCTGCGACCTTCCAGCTCGATCTGCCCCAGCAGGCAGGAGATCTGCAGGGAAGGAAACCCACAGGGAACTCAGGATCCCCACAGCCGCTACAGGGTCACACCCTGGACAGGCTAAGACCGCCCCTGGGATGCCAGAGAGTGCCCGGGGTCTCAGTTCGGTAGGGGCAGCAGGGTCTCCTGCTGGGCTTCAGGCTTTAAGTCTATCCCTGGAGTCTACACCCAGCGACAGTTGGTCCCCAAGGCCTCAGGCACGCAAACACGAGCCGCTCTCCTTTGTGAACACGCTTTGAAAGCTCTAGTGACCCGAGGCAATGGGAGGCCACGCCAACAGTCATGGCGCTTCCAGAACAGGCTTGTAATGCAATGCTGAAAGGAGAATTCAGGTCACAGATCTGTAGGAACGTGGCTTAGATACCAACAGGGCTTATATACTGAGGGATTTTTTTTTTTTTTTGCTTTTTGGGTCACACCGGGCGATGCACAGGGGTTACTCCAGGCTCTGCACTCAGGAATTACTCCTGGAGGTGCTGGGGGACCCTATGGGATGCTGGGAATTGAACCCGGATCAGCCTACCCGCTGTACTATTATTCCAGCCTGAGGGATTTTTTTTTGGGTCATACTGCCACGATTGGTGAACTGGCAATATATGCCTATGTCTACGCCTCGGTCTGTACACTGGCATCAGCAGCCAGGGGCTACTGACAGTGGTCTACTTCTGTGGCGATTTCTCTATGCTTTTGTACTTTGGGAGGCTTGAGGATATTATATTTATGTATCTTTTCTTTATTATTATTTTTCCTTGTAAAGTAAAGTAAAGGCCCTCCCGTTGTTCATCGATTTGCTCGAGCGGGCCCAGTAACGTCTCCGTTGGAGACTTTGTTGTTACTGTGTTTGGCATATCGAATACGTCACGGGGAGCTTGCCAGGCTTTGCCGTGCGGGCAAGATACTCTCGGTAGCTTGCCGGGCTCTCCGAGAGGGGCGGAGGAATCGAACTCAGGTCAGTCATGTTGGCTGCGTTCAAGGCAAACGCCCTACCGCTGTGCTATCGCTCCAGCCCATTTTTCCTTGAGAACATTTTAAATGGGAGGTGAATCCTTTTTAAACTGAGAGAACAGTAATGTGAGTTACTGGCAAAGCACTTCCCTTGCAAGCCTGAGGCCTGGGCTCAATACCCACCACTGCAAAATACTACTAATAATAGTGATAATAGCAACAATAACAAAGCAATAAACAACTGCCAAATCAAATCTGCCAAGTGCCCCCGAGACCCCACCCTCCTGGCACGCCGGCCTTTGCTCGCACCTGCATGGTATTCACGGTGGACCCTTTGGCTCCGGACTGTACCATCATCTGCAGGTTGTTGTCTGGGAACTGCCGGTGCAGGCCGAAGGGCATGCATACCTGCAAATTAAACAAGCGCCTCGGTCAGGAGGCTCAGAGGCCACCCCATTGGACAGCACCTGGAACAAGAGCCAAACCATCGCTCCAGGGTGAGCCTTACTCCGTGCCAGCCCTCTGCCAGAACTCTGCAAGAGCCACCTGACGGGGGGCACTGGCATGCCTTCTACCTGAGCCTAAGGTGACCGACACTGGCCAAAGGGCAGCAAAGGCGCAAACAAAGAAAAGAAAGGGGAAGCAGACAGATGAACAGATTTTTTGAGACTTTTTTCCCCCCCTAAATAATTTAAACTCCAGGTTCAACAAAACCAGGAATGGGTGATACCCCCACCCCCCCAGCCCCCATTTCCTCTGTTTCCAGCAACTTGGCAATCACGTCCACAAGCCACCTCTGGCTGACGCCTTATAATCTCATCAATGGCCATGATCCAGAGACTCATCGTAAATCAGAAAAGAGCATACGGCGACATACCATACCCATGCCGCTGGGCCCTACACCAGGCTGTTTCATTCATGGCAACCTGGAGGGGGGCAGGTGAGGCCCCTCCCTGCCCCTAGGAGCCAGTCCTGGCAGCTGAAAATTCAAGAACTCAACTGCCGCTATGCTTACGGTTGTTCTCCACATGCTCAGGCTGAGCCTCAGCATGAGTCAACCTATTCCTGGACCCTGAAGCACTGCCGGTGTGATCCAAAAAAAGAAAAGAAAAAAAAAAGAGCCTTAACTCATCAGAACCTAGGCCCTCTCCCAATGTCCACGCCACATTCACATTTGCCAGCTGGCCACCCAGGTATATGGGGGTTTGGGGAGCCCCACGCTGGCTCTGGAAGAGCAAAAGGCCCCCAGATGGAGCCTGGAGAGATGCCAGGAGAGGGTCTGAGTCTATTGGAGCAACTGCCTCAGGTTCCAGGACCCAAACAGAAAAGACGGAGCTCCAGTCTGACAAGCAGCAGCTCGAGGCTGCTTCTGGGCCAGTGACCCACCCCCATCCCATCTGCCCTTCCTGGAAGCTCTGGGAAGGCTCTGGGAGGTGCCAGGAAGGCTCCGGTGAGGAACCCTCTTTAGGATGGCGCTACCGAAGCAAGGCCTGTGCTTCCAGCAGCCTCAGATGGGCTGCAAGGTGGTCAAGAGAACAAGAGAAATTGGCCTTGCTGAGAATTCCCGGTGGGCTTCATGGAGTCCGAAGGAGCCAGGCTGAGTCCGGCTGCTGTGACCTTAGGACTGGGAGCAGCGGCCCTGGGCCCGAAAGGTGGGAAGGATCTGGACTTGGGTGGGGGGGTTTCCCTTCTTTCTCAACCGCACAAAGAGGGACTCTGGGGGACTTCCCGAAAGCTCTTCCCAAACCGGTGCCCTGTGAAGATTAGCCTCTCCACGGCCTCAGCCACCCTTGAGGTCTGGGCTTGCACGTCCCTGGCTCCAGGCAGGAGCCCAGGGCAGACCGGTATCTCACTCTGCAAGAACTAGGCCTTCACACCTTTCTCTGCTACACATGCGCCAGGAGTGGCTTTGGGTTTTCATTCTGCTCCTTTCATCTTCCAGTAGCCCCGCAAGAAAAAAATTTCTTCAGGTTCCTTGAATGCAAACACTCGAAACCCAAATACTTCATAAAAAAAATAGTAATTCCCTCTCTGCATTAATCAAAGATCCCTTTGTGCAGATCCATTAGCGAGAGAACAAGGCCCTGCTCGTCTCACCACCCACCCCAACTCACACTGCACACACCTGACTGCCTCCATAGGCAAATAGTTTATGTGAGAAAGTTTCGTTCTTTCAAAAACTACCCCTCAGCACAGTGGGGAGAAGCACACGCACTGCCAGGCTTAACCTTGTTAATCTCGTTGCTGTAATGGTTCACTTCCTCCTTGAACTTCAGATCGATCATGTTAAAATCCCGCTGGTCTTTGCCCAGATGGGCATCCTGCCACTTCCCTCGGACCTCATCACATGACGCAGCCTCGGGCAGGTTGAAGGCTGCCCTGACGGCCTAGGAAGGGGAAGGGAACAAACACGTCAGAGGCTGCAGCGGAGACAGGAGGGGACGGGGGGTGGGTGGGCTGCACTCTGCACAGGCCCGGCTCTCCCGCCTGCTGCCCCTCGCAGGGTCCTCCTCACCCGGGGCCCGCAGCCTGCAGACTCTTCAACAATCCGGCGCCTCTCAGTATCCGCCTTCGGCTTCACCAAAATGTCTTCCACACCTGTGAAGTCAAACGCACAAGCTCAGGTAGGAGCAGGCCACCTCCTCCCAGAACCACAGTGGGTTGAGACAAGTGGTGACGCAGGGAGCACCTGAATGATGATGATCACGTTAGGCAGAGACTGTCCCACTTGGGAAGGGCTTCCCAGAGGCCCAGTCCCCGCTGTACACACGACAAAACCGAGGTGCAAACCGCAGCAATGCCCTTTCCCAGGGACAACGCAAACCCAGACCCATGACCCAAACTGGTGCGTTCGGATCTACGAGATGGCCTCCATTTACGGAAGCATCTGTTGGACACAGAGACTAGGGGTGAGGAAAGAAGTGTGGGGGAAAACTTCAGCTTAGGGAAAGAGGCGAGGGGAGGAGGAACATGTTGGGTTTGGGCTTTCAGGACGACGGTCACAGGCCCACATGCTGCTGCGATAAAGTATTTCCTTTCTTTGAACCTTTTAATCTCTGAGAGCTGCGCGTAGAAAAACAAGGGCTGGGCATCCCATCCGGAACCTCCACAGCAGGGTCCCCGAGGCTTGGGGGCTACTGTGGAGCCCTGGAGTGAGGGGAAGAAATGGGGGCTCTGTGAGGAAGCTGCGCCACTGCGATGGAGCCTGGCTCTGAGGCTAACCCTGCACTGACCCCTCTCACTGTCCGGGCAGAAAGGCAGTGTCCCTAGCCCATCGTTCTGGGGGGGCTTGGAACAAAGCTTGGCCTTCCCCCACAGTCTCAGCTAAGTGGCTGGTGCTTGCACTCAGGTGCTCACGTCCCTGGCTGCACGCGCCTTGGCATGTTTGCTAAGGTGCATCCTCACCCACAGAACTTCCACTTTTCACCCTGCAACGTGTTTGTGCAATGGGGAACCATCTCAGTCATAACGTGGACACCTTGAAAGGGTTTAAAACTTTGTTCCCAGGAAGTGGCTAAATAAGCCATGCTGTATCTATCCAAACCACAATAACTGGGAGCGACAGGCCTGAGGGTGGACTTACGCTGACTTTTCTATGGTTAATGTACATTGCATAATTTAGAAATGTTTTAAAGTATAATTAATTAATGAAAGTAATTCAAGTATATACTATAGTACTGTAGCACTGTCCTCCCATTGTTCATCGATTTGCTCGAGCAGGCCCAGTAACATCTCCATTGTGAGACTTCTTGTTACTATGTTTGGCATATCGAATACGACATGGGTAGCTTGCCAGGCTCTGCCGTATGGGCGAGATACTCTCGGTAGCTTGCTGGGCTCTCTGAGAGAGGCAGAGGAATCAAACTCGGTTGGCCAGGTCACCCTTGTCAAGGCAAACGCCCTACCCGCTGTGCTATCGCTCTAGCCCAAGTATATGCATCAGTCGGGTTGGCTGGGTCCACCGCATCAAGGCAAACGCCCTATCTGCTGTGCTATCGCTCCAGCAAGTATATACATCAGTACATATTACATAGAATTTTATGTATTTAAGTCCATAAGTGATGTAATGATCATTTTATATACTACATCAAAGAATTTTTTCAAATAAATCATTCTTGTTTTTCAAAACCTTTTGGGTGATAAAAACAAAACACCACACACACACACACACACACACACACACACACACACACATTCAGGCCTGATCCCTGCACTCAGAGATCACTGTTGGCAGGTTTGGGGAACCCTGTGAGGTGCTGGAGATTTAACCCAGGTTCATACGTTCAAGGCAAATGCCCCACCTGCTCTGTTTCCAAAATTACTTTTCATCTGTTTATCACATAAAGTGTATTGCGCAGGCCCCACTACAGGTCAATGGACAAAGTCCACTGTGGCGGCCTAGCAGTCCACCCGCAGGGTCTCTCTGCCCTGCTTGCACGTCGCCAGAGCAGCGGTGACTCCCTCATGAGCAGGCTGGACGGGAACCACTGTAGCAGGGTCCCGCTCACCGCCCCAAGCAGACCCAGCGGGGGGGTCAGGAAGGACACACCTGTGCTGTGTGCTCGAATACAGGGAGGAAACGGGGTTGTATCCCTGCCCCGACCCACTGGCATCCCTAAGAGCCGCTGGCATGCAGGAAGGCGCTGGCACCTCTCCAGGTGGACCATGAAGGCCCAGGGAAGCCAGAGAAAAGGGTCGGAGTAGAGTATGAAAGGCCTGTCCCTGGTCAGAGCACTGTGTTAGCACAGAGAGACTTGCTGTGGATGGGGAGTCTCCATGTGGGGAAGCACACAGTAGGGTGGGGCCACTGCGCAGGGGCCCACCAGCACTCACCCAAGGTGAAGCCCCTGTAGAGCTGCAGGTAGGCAGTGAAGAGCCGGGCCAGGCAGGTGAGGACGCGGCCGCTGGTCTGGCCCCCGTAGACCTCGTAGCAGCAGTGCACCAGACCGTAGGCTGAGCTGCCGTAATGCGCCTTGTCCAGCACCCCGCAGAGCAGCTCCCCGGCCCTGATGATCACCTGCAGGGACAGCCACGAGGCTGAGCAGGGGCGACACCTCGCGTGTGCGGACCCCTCTCTGCCCCAGCTGGCCTGTCAGAGGACACTGTCCTCCACTGCACAGCCTCAGCTCTGTAGCAGAATGTCAGGCACAGAGAGGCCAACCCCGCGGTTTTTAGTTTTGAAATATGGCTTAAGAGCTCAGCTCGGCCAGTGGACTTAAAAAAAAAAGTTTTCTGGGGGGCCTGGGAGATGGCTCAAGGGGCTAGAGAGCAGGTTTTGCTTTCAGGAGGCCCAGCTTCCTTTCCTGGAACCAGGTGACCCCCTGAGCACTGAGTCAGGAGCAGCTCCCCCCTTTCTGGGACATGGTACCCAAACCCAAGTGTTTTCTGGGGCTACTGGTACCCAATCCCCACCCCCACACACTGTAGTGTACTCCTCAGTTCCCCTTTCCTCCCTCATGGCCACATGCTCCTCACAGGGCTAGGAGTGGGAAGGTCTAGACACGAACTTGAACAAGGCTCTCCCGTCCCTGTACTCTGGGAGTAAGAGCACTGTGACTTTCCCAGCACCCAGGGTCTGAACCTGCACTCTCACAGAGCTCGGGGAGCGCAAGGAGGAGCCCGAGCTATAGACAAGGGCGCGCAGCAAAGCTACGGACTAGGAAAGGAAGTGACAGTTTCACTTCTGCACAAACGCTCCCCTTCCCTCGCGACAGAGGACCACAGTCATGAGCGGAGGGACTCGGAGATGCTCCCCCACCAAGAACATGTGGAGGTCTTGGAAATCTCTGTGGGGGAAGCGCCGACTTGCCCCCATGGCAGGGCACGCCTAGATGAACGCTCTGGCCTGTGCCACCTGCCACTCCCAGCCTCAGCATCCAAGGCCTGGAGTTGGGAGATGCGGACCACTCAGAGCACTGTGCCGACCTCATGCCCCTTGGGGCTGTTCGTTTTCTGCGGGTGGGGGTATGTGACACACCCAATGGTGCTCAGGAAACCACGAGGAGCTGGGAATGGAAACCGGAGCTCTGGCAGGCAAAGCATGACCTCAGCCTTGGGTCATGGTCCAGTGGCCCACGCAGACGTCTGGAGCACAGGTCCTGCCTTTCCAAGGTCGGCAGAGTCAGGCCCAAAAGCCTTCTGCTGGGGCTGGAGTGATAGCACAGTGCGTAGGGTGTTTACCTTGCATGCAACTGACCCGGGTTCGATTTCCAGCACCCCAAATGGTTCCCCCAAGCACTGCCAGGAGTAATTCCTGAGTGCATAGCCAGGAGTAACCCCTGTGTATCGCTGGTATGACCCAAAAAGCAACAAAAACAAAAACAAAACAAAACAAAAAAAGCCTTCTGCTGAAGAAGCCTGCCCAGCTGGCGTTGACCCTTTCCATAACTGAAGGGTCACCAACACAGCCACATCTCCTCTGCTGAGGCACGGAGCTTGCCCGGGGGTGGCAGGCTGCTCCAGTCCTTTGTTTCTGCTCTAGCTCAGTCTGCCCGCATACCCCAAGCCCGCAGCAGCCACACCTGGGACTCGCACATGGAGTCGGGGTTAAAGCCAGGAACCGGCCGCGGCGTGTCCTTCACCCAGGCCTTCCCGCTGATCTTTGCCTTCCCCGACAGGTTCAGGGGGATGTGGTCCTCTGGGATGATGTTGATGAGCAGCGTGGACACGACCTGGAAGAGAAAGCACAGAGCTCCAGCATGAAGGGAAGAGGGGAGAAGCTCCCTCGGAGCATCCCCTGTCCGGGCATGCGGCACTTGGACCCTCGGGCACGGCTAGGCAGCTCCACGGGACCGGCCCCGTCAGCTCTGACTTTTTTCTTACAGACTCCAGGTGCGGGCCCAGGGGTGGGGAAGACACCAGGATATGTATTCCTCCAAATAGTTCTCAAAATAAGCAATCCCCTGGACCTGAGTAGACCAAAGGAGGAAAGGAAAAAAGTATATTGCTGTGGGCTTAGTTAAGAAGATTTGAGTCAAGTGTTAGGGAAAAAAAAAAAATCAGGGTTAGAGAAATAGTACAGGGGGTCAAGCACTTGCCAGACTCATGGTTTGACCCAGGTTCAATCCTGGCACCCCATATGGTCATCTGAGCCCTGCCAAGAGTTGAGTCCCGAGTACAGAGCCAGGAGTAAGCCCTGAGCACTGCCAGGGGTGGCCCCAAACCAAAAAAATAATAAATAGAATAACATTTTAAAAATTAATAATATATATTAAATATATATATATAAAACAGGAAAATATAGAAACAAGAAAATCAGAAGGGGGGGGTCTGTTTTTCTGGGGGGTCTGTTATTCTGCCTATGGCCAGAGGTACTAACACGGCACCAGTCAGTCCAGACGGAGGCAAAGGCTGGAGAACACTCTCCACAGGGGCCTTCTGGAGAGATGACGGCTGTGAGAGCCCACGCTGCCCGCCCAGAGAAGCCCTGACAGGACGGTGGGTGCCAGAGAAGGAAAAGAGACAAAGACAGAACCAAGCACTTTCCCCCAGGGCTCCAGAGATAGTACAGCCGGTGAGCATCTGCCTTGCACGAGGCCCACCCAGGTTTGATCCCTGGCACCCCGTAGAGTTCCCGAGCCTGCTAGAAGTGATTCCTGAGCACTGGGCCAGGAGTAAGCCCTGAGCTACGCTGAATATCACCCTAAAACAGAACAAAACGAAAAAAGGGGGCTTTCCCCCGGAAAGCCTGAGCAGCAGCTGCAGAGGGACACTCCAGGGACAAGGGGGTTCCCGTGCCAGTCCCCTCGAGACCTGGCAAGTGCTGGCGTGGAGTGAAGGATTCAGACGGTCCCTCCTGCTCCCCTGGCCATTTCCTACAGAATGCTCACGCCGGGCGCCAAGGGCTAGGAGGGTCTGGACTGCAGAGTCTGCCTACGTGGAGTCTGCACCCCCAGGGGCTGCAGGGAAAGAGGGTCAGTGTGGTGGCGGGGAGAAGTAGGATCTGGACTGCCCGACGAGACCGGCAGGGAAGGCCTCAGCCAGAGCAGAGGGGCAGGGAGTCAGGTGAAGGCCACAGGAGCACTGCAGGGAGAGCAACAGCAGGGGGTGGGGCCTGACGGCCTGAGTCTGGGAGATCCGGCTCTCCCAGGACTGCTATCCTCTGCCTGGGCAGAGGCCTGGTCAGGCAGCGGGGCTGAATCAATGCCAGAGAACAAGACGAACGAGTGCCCCTGAGGAGCTGACCAGAGTGACTGAGTGGAAAGCCCCCCCGCAAGAGCTGAGTCATGGCATGGGATACACTGGTTAGTGACAACCAGGCTGAATGCGTGAGTCAGCAGGAGGGACAACAGGAGTATGGTTTGGTTTGGGGCCACATTGGTGGTCCTCAGGGACCGGTGCAGTACTCTGGGGTCATCCAGGCAGTGCTCAGTGGACCACATGGTGCTGGGGAACAAATCACGTGTTCCAGCCCGCTGAGCCATCTCTTCTGCCTCACCAGGAGTAAATTTAGAGGCCAGGAGTATTCCTCCTGTCCCAGCAAGACCCCTAAGAGCAAGGTCTCCTCAATAAGCGGCTCCCAACAGGAGGATAAAAGAGGCCATTTCTTTGTTCCTCTTTCCTTTGTGAGGCGCAAGTGTTTGGGCACATCTGACAAGCTCAGGACTTAATCCTGCTCTGATCTCAGGGATCATTCTTGGTGGGGCTTTAGGGACCATGTACCGTGCCGGGGATCAAACTGGGTTGGCTGTGTACAAGGCAAGAGCCCTCCCTGCTGTCCTACCTCTCTAGTCCCTTCTCCCCTGGGGCTTGGAAGGGTGACAAAGTGGCCACTAGGAGGATCCTGGGCCCTGGATCTCATGCCGCAGGAGAACAGATTCTCACTCTGCCAAGTTAGGAGCTGCAGGGGTGGCCAGTTCCTCCTGCTGACTCACGCACTCAGGAGCTGTCCGGGTTTGACAGGTCAAGTCTGAGCACATATCATAGGAGCAGCAGCCCCCAACCATCAGTTTCCTTTTGGGGCCAGTTTTAACGTCCTTTACTTTTTTTTTTTCCTTTTTGGGTCACACCTGGCAATGAACAGGGGTTACTCCTGGCTCTGCATTCAGGAATTACTCCTGGCGGTGCACAGGGGACCTTATGGGATGGTGGGAATCAAACCGGGGTTGGCCGCATGCAAGGCAAATGCCCTACCCACTGTGCTATCACTCCAGCCCCATGTCCTTTACTTTTAATAGTGACATAATAGTGGGCTGGAGCGATAAGTAAATAAATGGATAAGCCAGAATTTACTGAACCCCAATTTTGAATAGTAAGATCTTTATTAATTTCCCACCAATATAAACCATGGTATAACAGGCTGCTTTAATCGAGTAGTTTTTCCCACATTTTAGATTATTTCCTTAGGCTATATTCCCAGATTGAAGGGTAAGACTACTTACAAAATAACCTAAGACGGCATATAAAATAACACATAAATAGGGATAATAAAAAATACTGTTACATGCTAGAGACAAACACAGGGGCAAGGTGTTTGTCTTGCAGGCAGCCGACCCCAGTTCAAATCTCCGGCACCACACATGGTCCCCTGAACTGCCAGGGCTAACTGCTGAGCAGAGCCCGGGACAGCCCCTGAGCACCACCAGGTGTGGCCTCAAAGCCCCTAAAATAACAGCATCAGCAACCACAATACTAGCAACAATAACAAATGATGCAAACAGGAACAACACTATAAACAAATACTACACAGTCAACAAAGTCAGGGATCAAGGAACTATGGCTTATGGACCGAGTCTGGCCCTCCTCTGATTCTATAAAGTTAAACTGAGTCACAGTCAAGCTCATTCACTTCTGAGTTGTCTATAATCTTCGACTGCAAAATTCCCCATCCATTCTGTGAGAGTGGCCCATTTTCTTTTCCGGTAGGGACAGGGCCACCGTGACCAATTTACTTTCCCACCAGAAACACCAGGATCAGACCTGGACAGGAAATGATGCATTTCCAGATAGCACATACCAGGCAGTAAAGGATCAAGCAGTAAAAGTAAGCAAGGGCAGAGCAGACCTGGATTGTTGATGGAACCTGACATTTCTACAACACGATTAAGACAGATTGCATCTGAAGCCACAAAATCAACCTCAAAAAATCCAAAACAATTTAAGTAATCCAAGGTCTGCTCTCTGGCCACAATAGAGTTGAATTGGAAACCAATAATATAGATAGCTGGAAAATCCCCAAATATCTGAAAACAAAATAGTGGATTTATAAATAATTCATAGGTCAAAAAACAGAAACAGAATCCAGAAAGTTAACTGAAATAAAAATGTAGTAATTTGTAGGAGGACTGCTGGGGGAATTGAAGAAAAAAAAAAAGCGTGTAGTTTTAAAAAAGATGGGTGTGTGTGAAGAGACAGTACAGGGAGTGAGGTGCTTGCCTTCTATGCAGTTCCCTGGTTTGATCCCTGGTACCCCTGAACACCGAGTCAGGGGTCAGCACCAGCTACAGGAGGCATGATCCCACCCACCTTCAATTTTTAAATTTTTTTTTAATTTCAAAAGGATGGAGGTCTCAAATCAATGAATGACTTTAGTTTTAGGTAACTGGAAAAAGAAGAGCAAATCAAAATACACAGAAGAAAGGAGGTTAAAGTTGGTCAAAGTAAAATTAATCTGAAATAGAAAACAGCAAAATAGAAAAAAGTCATTGAAATAAAACGCTGATTCTCTGGGAGCAATAAAACTGGCCGGGGAAACAGATGAGGCATAAATCCTCACCTCCCAAATCCTGGCAATAAGGGTCTCTGTCCTGCAGGTTCCTTTGAGGAGTAAGTTAGTAAAAAGAGCAAAAACTCTCACAAAGTGCTTCATAGGTGCTTTGAACAAATGCTCTTACCACTGTGCTTGGATCTCACAAAAGGAAGGACCCTGTGCAGTCCACCGTCAGTCCCCTCTTCACTTACATCACCCAGACCCGGGCCCATGAGACAAGGCCAGACCTCTGCTGGATTCACCAGCTATCTCAGAGTGGGGGAGCGGTCCCTATTGTGGGAGTCATGCATGTCTGACGTGCACAGTTACCTGCTTTCCCGTCCACAGTGGACAGGGCTTCAAGATGGCAGGAGGGAAGATTTTCACACGCCCCACTTTGTCGGTGAGTCCTCGGTACACCAGCTCCATGTACTGCTCCCGGGTGAAAAAGCATCCTCGAATGGTCATGTTCGCACCCGATACCATGTGATCCTGGATCAACCCTGCCAATGGCTGACCGTCCTACAAACCAAAACAGACAAGAGAAGAATGAACTCCTATCTTCCTAACCACCTGCAGCCTCCTCAGAGCCCAGCTGGCCGTCCCCACACTCACTGGGTGGGGCTTCAGGCGCCCACCCTGAGAGTCAACTGCCCGCAGAGCGTCTACCTTTGCCATTTGCCACAGGGCTCCAGATCAGAACTGCTTTGGACTCATTCATCCAGCGTTGCAGGCCTGCTCTCTCCGACTCCATCTGGTCTTGATTATTCTAGTATAGCTTTGGCATTGATACACAGATTTGGTTTGGCTGCTGTCAGCTGTGTTCTTGTTTTTATATTTTGGTTTTACGCTTTCGTATCTTTTCACACATTTCTGGTCTGATTCTCCACTCAGTCAGTCATCCATTCAGCAAATATTTATTGAGAGCCTACTGCGTGCACTGGGACTGGGTTTTAAACCTTTAATCTGCTCCAGGGGCCCAAACAAACAACCGTCCTTCAGGGTGCTGAGGAATAGTTGGACAGTCAACAGAGGAATAAATACAAGAGTACAAATGTAAGAGAGGAACAGGATGGGTTGTTTTCTAGATCTAGGGTGTGGCAGCCGGGCTAGAAGCAACGTGAAGCTGAAGCTAGGCAGGGAGGGAGGGTTTCGGTCAAAGACTTCCCCAAGAAGGCCCTGAGTACACGGAGCAGAGAAGCCCGGAAGTCCCATGTGACTGTTCCTTCGCAAGGTGTCCTATGCTCATGGTGGCCATAAAGGCTGTTATCTACCAAGTGCTCAGACAAAGGCTTCTATCCAAGTCCCAGTAATGGTGGACATGTCCTCATTAGACTTTTTACAGCTTTCTGGACCCTTCACTTTCTCAAACCTTTATCTATAGAGGTTTGTGTTTTTGGCAACGAAGAAAAACAAAAGCAAAAATAGCGACACTCACTGACATTTTTAAAGATGATTTTGCAAACTTTTCAACAGTTACGGGAACCCATGGGGGAGCTCTGTGCCTTGGATCATAAGACTGTTACCATTAAATTATTTGTTTAGCTCTACCCAACATTACGGATAACTGCTTCATAACTAAGGCCAAAGGAACTCACGAATGCAACCATGGAGAAGAGCCAGGAATTTAGCTACACATACTAATTCAAAAGCTAAAAAGGCTGCTTGCCAACTTGTCTAAATAAATAACCTTGGAAATGGGCTCTATGTAAACATCAAATAATTATTATAGATGGGCTGAAGAAGCGCTGTGGATGTAAAGCAAGATCAGACTGAAGAAACTGCCCTTCTCTTACAGAGACTCTGAGCTAAAACAGGAATGAAAAATAGACTCAAAATTTTGTTCCAAGATAAGGTCTTATTTTGCTTGGGGGAAAACCCAAACCAATATTATGCATTTGACTCATCCCTTAGTCATTAGGGGCAGATAGATTTTTTTTTTTCTTTTTGGGTCATACCCGGCGATGCACAGGGGTTACTCCTGGCAGTGCGGAATTACTTCTGGGGGACCATATGGGATGCTGGGAATCGAACCCTAGTAGGCTGTGTGCAAGGCAAACGTCTTACCTGCTACGCTATCGCTCCAGCCCCTGATAGAGGTTTTTTCACCCTTTTGTTTTCTTCCTTTAAAAAAGCTAACTACGAGTAGTATAATCTATTCAATATTTTCTCCTTTCTTCATCCAGATTTTTTCCATGCTGAGAAAATAACCTAAATGGTTAAATTGCTTTCAATGCAATAGTCAGAAATTCTAGGGAAGACTGCTGATTAAAGCAATTACTATGGGTCTGCTTATACTTCTGAATTTCCTAAACCCTGCTTAGGATCAGGAAGACTGTCTCTGAGTTGAAAGTTCTGGGCCCTGATAGCTATCATATTTCACTTACTGTCACAGCAAAAGGGCATTACAACTAATGTCTTTGGGCAGGATGCTTGGAGAAGTAGGGAATTCTGTGGCTGGAATGTTCCAGCTGACTAAGTCAGTCAGGAAACTCAAGCCTTATTTAAATACTTCGTAAACTCTGGCTTTTCAATAAATATAACAGGTAGAGAGGGAAAGATAAAACCAAAACCTAATCCAAACAGAAACATAGATGAAATTTAACTTCTGGAAAAGAAATTTTAAGCTTCTATTTTAAGAAAACAATAACAACTTTGTTAAATGACAAAACCCAAAATAAAACGTACTTTAATTAGTGCTGTGGTTAAGGAAGAATAGAGGATAAAATGAAATTTAAGGAAATATATTTCCTTACAAAGTTAAGTAAGGAAAGAGTAAGAAAGAAAGAGAAATAGAAACAAAAGAAAATTTACATTAAAAAAAATTAGTAAGAGTTCTCACAACCAGCTCTTGACCACTCAGGTTGATCTACTCCAGTACTTCAAATCACACTACATTTTTGTAACCGTTAAAAACATTCTCCCCAGTGACCAAAGACCCATTAAGACTAAGTGAGCCTTATCAAAAACCACAATCTCTTCCTCCTTCCTTCTTTGGTTTTTGGGCCCTGCCCAGTGGTGCCTAGAGCTACTTCCCACTGGTACCCAGGGTCCTGGCAGTGCTCAGGGAAACGCATGTGTTGTGGGGGCCCACGCCGGCCTCCTGCAGGCAGCGCACCTTGAGACTGCCAAGCTACAGCTTGGGGGTCGCCAGAGCTCTTCCCTTCGACAAAAGACACTGAGAGCGGAGCAGACCCTTGAATCAGGCCCTAGTAGCTCGTAAACTTTTTAAAGAAGCCAGTGTGATAGCACAGATCTGTTTTCTACCTGTGTCCTGCCCTAAAACTCACAGGCATGCATACTGCAGGGCACATGGACTCACACAGCCCCTTCATTCAATCAAAACCAACGGAACATCCCGTTCTGCTGGTCTGAGAACTGCGGGGTAGTCCTGGTCAATGTCCAGCGTCACCTCCTCAGCAAAGACTCTCCTGCTGCTCCCCAGGAATGGCCCTTGGTGAAAGGCCTATAGAGCGGGTCAGTCCTGGTGCCCTGCCTCGTCTGTCCTGTTCTGTCCTGGGGGCTAGTAAAAACATGGCACAGACCATGGGGCTCGGGGGTCACTGGAGTTGGTCTCAGTCCTGGGGTCACCACACTTGTGCTGCCTTGAGCAGGCTGTTACAAGCACTGAACACAGAGCACTGAGCGAGACAGCTGACAAAAGGCTGTGTGCACAAACATCAGTTTTGCCTCCCACTACTGCTTGCTGCTAGGTAAACAGACAGGTCAGGATTTCTCATTTCCAAGCGCTCTCTTAATACGCTCCCTTTCTTTTCACCTCTTCACTCATCAACACCCTTCTATGGAAAAAAGGGAAGGAAGATCCCTTGATACCTCACGGCGTGTGGGAGGATGCCGCAGTGAGGTAGCGGGAAGAGCTGGGAATCGGAGTGACACTGCTTATCACCCTGGGGACAATGGACTCCATCACCTCTGGACCCGGGGGACAGGCCTGCCAAGAGAAAAGGTCACATGGACCTGGAGCTCTTCCTCCTAATCAGCTATGTGTCCAAGGGCAAGCTCTGTGGCTCCAATTCACCATACCCAGAGTGGACATGAACAGCACCTTTCCCATGGGCTGGAGACAGCTCTTGGGCTCAGAGCATGCTCTGTTTCCAGGGGGCCCAAGGTCAACCCCAGCACCATAAGGTCCCCCAAGCACTGCTGGGAACAACCCCTGGCCCAGGGCCACAAACAGAGTTCTCTTCCCACCACACCCCTCACCACTGGGAGTACCTCCAAAAGGAAGGGGGGAAAACCACTGAGTCCAAGGACTGAGAGGAGACCTGGAGGAAAAGAGATGCCACCAAAACCATGGTTGCTAAGCGGCGACATCTTTCTCGAGTATCAGTGCTGGTTCTTTCTGATTGCACAGAAGTCTCGTGAATGAGGCATAAGTACCTATCACTGTGCTGCAAAAGGCTTATCATTGGAAAGGCCGCGGGGTGGAGGGCGCTATGCAAGCTGGGAACGTTATTTCATCAAACATGCTTTCTCTCGCAGCCTGGCTCTTGCCCAGTGGACACCCCACCCCGCCCTGCCCCCAGGAGCACATGCTGACTTCCTGAACTTAGAACTGAGCAGGCCAGGGAAAAGCAGCTACATCCTTGGGTCTCTATCCCTTCCCATGGGTCTCCACACCCACCCATCTGAGGGCTGATCTGAAAAGAAAGAACTCCAAGGAAACGCCTTCATGTGCTCAAAGGGGATCTAGTCTGAGTCCCCCTTGGGGTTAAGCGGTCTCTTAAATCCCACCCCTGTCGGACTGTGAAGGATTAGCTACCCCCGGGCTGCTGAGACCAGGATAGCTGGAACGATAGCTAGGATGCTCATGTTTGGCAGGGACTGCTAAGTCACCTCCAAGTCTGCAGCCACTGCACTTAATGAGGCCCCAGCCCTCCATCTGAGTAGTCAGCGAGTGACAAGGCCAGCTTGGAAGCAACCAGGCCCTCTGCCCCGACATGCTCTTACCTCCGAGCTGCCCGCTCACCCCGAGAGCTGGCGAGGCACCACATCGTGCTGGCAAGGGCATGGGAGAAATTCAAGGCCGCCTACCTTGGGCACAAGGTACTGTTGGTCTGTGCAGGCCAGGATATAAGCTTCGGCCCGGCCCAGCTCGCTCTGGGGGAAGTGAGCATTCATCTCGTCGCCATCGAAGTCCGCGTTGTAGGCCTTGCAGTTGGCATAATGGAGCCGCAGGACTTTCTCTTCGGGCAGGATGCGAGCCTGGTGTGCCTGGATGGAGGGTCTGTGCAGGGTGGGCTGGCGGTTCAGCAGGAGAATGTCCCCATTCTTCACGTGCCGGCACACCTAGGGGGTGGAATGGATAAAGGGCAGTGAGCTGGGGCGACACCAGAATCATCCCAGTCAGCCTGGCCTGAGTGTGGAGTCTGGTTGGCTCTGGCTCTACTCAATTTAACAGAGGAGGAATTTGAGGTGGAGGTCCAGAGTGAGACCCTAGGACATCTTTAAGAAATATCTCCTAGGCTACATGGGCCTGTTGAAAAACAGCTCCCAGAGCAGGAGAGCCCTGGTCCTGGCTATGGGCTCAGAGAGCCAAAGGACAGGGAGTTCGAGGTTCCTGCCCTGCCGTCTGTCTTCCTTGCAGAGATGCATGGCCTTCCCTAGCCTTTCATTCCCCAGAACACATCAGGAAATGCAATGGACACGGCTAGAGACAGAGCATCATAGATCAGCATGGCACCCCAACCTCAAAAACATGGCAGCCTTCTGACCCTCGCCCCCGATGAGACCGTTACTCAAAAGATGAATTCTGGAATATAAGAAAACCTTGCCCAGCGTCACACAGCAGAGTGAGGGCTGGCAGACTGAGTTCTAGACTCCCAATTTAAAGAGCTCTGAACACACATTTTCTTGCATGTGAGACACGGAGAAGTTCACACTGCCACCAGTCTGGGGGAGGCACTGTGACAGAAAGAACTGAGGAGACTTCAACTGTGTGCGGGCATTGGAGAGACAGTACAATGAATGGGTCAGGTGCTTGTCTTGCAATCAGCACATCTGGGTTCAAGCCCCTGAACCCTGAGCTCCACAGAAGATCCCCGAGCTCACAGCAGGACAGCAGGAGTTAAGCCCTGAGCACAGCTGGGCATGACTCCCAAACAAAAATAGATGAGAAAGAAGTTGTAAGCCTTGTACTGACCTCTACCAGGTGTTCCATTAACTACTGAACTTCTAAATGATGAGCAGAAATGCTACTTAAAAACAACAACAAATACGGCCATAGAGATAGATAAACTACCATGAGCTAACGGGCTGGGCACCTGCTCTCCTTCAGGGAGGTCTGGGTTCGATCCCGAGCCCTGACTGGCCCAAGTACTGCCAGCAGTGACCCCCAAACAACAAAAACAAATGCAGGGCTGGAAAGAGAGCTCAACAGGCTGAGTGCACGAGGCCAGGATGAATTCCCAGCAGTGCTATGTGCAGTAAGGGCTCCTCCCGCTTCAAGTCACCCTGAATTCAGCTCAATCAGTTTGGCGGAAATGACAAATGACTCTAAGACTGGTGTCTTCTTATGCTGTGCACCCCCATTTTTGAGACTGCACCAGATAACTGGTTACAGAGAAAGGCCAGGGGTTAGTCAGAAACACTCCCCAACTCCCTCTCCTCACCCTAACTCTGCTGCCAGGAATTCCTCAAATTTTAACAGGTCATCTGAGAGCTGCTCGCCAGTCAAACTCCTGCTCCTGGGGTGCATGAACCTCCCCTCATGCTTCAGTTTCCAGGGAGCAAGGAGCTCCAAGGAGAATCCAGCCAGCACACATTGAAAAGCCTGAGCTGACTTCCCAGGTCTTACTGCTCTAGCCCCTCTAGGGAGGAACTGCCCAGGACCTGTGGTTCAGCCCAGAACCCGAGGCTGGGCACTGGTGCAAAGGCGCACAAATTCGAGACATCCTTCCGTAAATGCAAAGCCTGCAGATGGAGGGCACCCAAGCCAGCCAGCCAGCCAGCCAGCGGCCAATCCAAACAGACACCAAACCGGTGCCAACCCGCACCCGAGGCCCCCCTCTGTCTCTAAATAAACACCGCAGCAGAGATTAGTGTGCCGCAGTGTCAGAGTTCTCAAAGGCAGATCCACAGCCAAAGATCTGTTTCTTGTAGACTACGGGTCCAACTGCGAAGTAAGACTCTGCGGTCTCTTGGCCATTTCCTCCACACTTACACGGCCCAGGGGAGGGGGCTAAGATTTCACACCTCAGAGGAAACAGGTCCCACCAGCCACTCACGCCCTTGGTTAGCCAGGGCTGTGCTCACAAACAGCTGGGTGTTCCCCTCCCAGCCCTACGGGGCTTTCCTCATCCTTAAGCAGAACCTAACAGGAGTGCGCTGTTTTTTTTTTTTTTTAAATCCTCCTTCCTTCCACTTGATATAGTGACAGAGGTTGCACGCTTGGCTCTGGTGCTCACCTGCAGCCGCAGACTGCAGCTGTCTGCACCCACCTCACATGCACCCGCCTGCAGCGCCCCTAAGTGTCTTCAACCCTCTTTTAACATCATAAACTGGGCCTGGGCAAAGTCTGCCTCGAAGAATACGGGAGTGATGGGGCGGCCCTGCTGTGAGCCACTGTTCGAGGTCCCCCTTAGAGTCCCTGGTCAGAGCCCTGACTTGTGATGGATGCTTCTTGCCAGCCTCCTCCACGTACTGCCATGCTGGGCATTTGCACTAGGGGCCCAGGAAGTTGCTCTCAGGAACTCAGCTGTAAAAGAAGCTGCTTCCCTTCAACAGGGTTGTGCCAAATGTGGTCCTCAAGGCAGTGGCAACAGCAGCCCGTGAGTTCATGGGATAAGAACTAAGGCACTTGCACATTGGCTAACACTGGGTTGTTCTTGCTGCTCCTGCAGGGAGCTTCTGGTTTACTGAGCCACTCCCACAACAATGCAACTGAAGCACACCCAATTCCATCAGGCACTAATAATTCTATAGTGCTCTTCCCTTTCCTCTATGTCATTTGCATGGTTTACTTACCAATGTCCTTTTTGTAGAGACACAAGAAGACAGTTGATGCTATCCTTTGTAACATGGGAGTTAATTGAGTCCAAAATAATATTTACTCCTGGGCATCCATAGCCATAAACCTCAGTTGTCCTTAGTTCCTAGCACTCTAAGAGCAGCATCCCGACAAGGGACTGGATGGACCCAGGACAAGCTGTGAGCTACCCTGGCATCAAAATGGGCCAGGCCAAGTGCCATAATACTTAACTGTAAGTTAAGAGCATGGTCATAAACCATGCATGCATTAGAGTACTTTGGGACCAGAGCCCTGGCATCAATTTTAACTCTAGACAGCTCCTTTGTAAGTAAGTTTGAGATCTACCCTAAAGGAAGGAAATACTCCGTGACCATGGCAGCCAGCATCTGATGCTAGCTGTCCCCCACAGGTGGCTCTGAGGTTCTTCAAGGTCAAGACCAGTCCCTGGGTAACTTTGTATCTCCTTGGACAGCTTGATGTCTTTGGGGTGTCAGGCAGGAACTGAACAAACCCTGGTGCTACTCACAATCTTGGTGCCCTGGGGCTTCGGTGTCCCTGTGGCTGGTGTCAGCAGCTGTTTGGCGACAGCTTCCCGCTGGGTTTGGTCCACCGCGCTCAGGGCCGTGCGGCTGCCATCCTCGTTGATGACCATGGAGGCCCCTGGGTGCACGTTAGGGCCGTTGATGACCGCCTGCCTCAGTTCCTGTACGTTCCAGGGGGTAACTGGCTGCGGGTAGGTCAGTTTGGTGGCAAACACCTGGAAACAAGGAGTGGGTATGGAAACTCAGGGAAGACAGAAAAGGTTACTCGGACCCAGACCCGAGTGTGGCAACAGGCTGCGTGAGGGCTTCTCCAAGCCGGGGAGGCCCTCCTGGGGGAGGACACGAGTGGCTTCTCTTCACAGAGCCTCCTGTTCCAGTCACACTCCCTCGGGAAGGAACCGAGAGCTGGGCCGCCTGTCCTGGCACGGCCTGAGGAGACACCTGAGGGTTAAGTGTTCCACAACACTTTAAACTATTCCGACAGGGGATTACTTACCAACCAATAAATCCACAAACCCTGAAGACACAGATGGCAGCTTGAGAGGGCCAATACCAGGCCGTACCCTGACCCCACAGATGTTACTGGCTGCGGGGCGCTTGCCCTGAGCCCAGACACGACCCAGGAGTCTCTTTATTCGGCCTGAGATGAAACCAACTCCTAGCATGTAGAAGAGGGGGTCTTTACACTAGACCCACGTACCCCAAGAAAGGCCGGGTTCTGCGCGAAAGAGGGTTTCTGAGCTAGAGCATAAGCCTGCTGATGCATGTTCCCGTACACACCAGGGGCTCCGGGAGGGTCTGTCTCAGGATGTTGTTGAACTCTAAGACTCTGGACAACACTTGGACAGACCTGACCTCCGTCTGCCCTTCTGCCAAGGCACTAGCACCAGCTGCACAGCTTTTCTGTGTTAGGTACACTGGTCCACTGCTTCCTCATCTTATCATCCTTTCTTCCTCATCACTGCTTCACATCTTTCTCCAGCTCACTTGGCTGCTTCCCCTGGTAACACCTCTCCAGAGCACAGGGGAGCAAATGCAGCCATCTCACTGCGGGCTGCAGCAAGCGCCTGCAACCAGAGGCCTCGTGAGAGGCAGCCCTCGGCTACCACTGAAGGTAGAAGGCAGATGCCACTAAGGGTCTCCCTGAAAGCGAATGTTGAGAGGGGTATCGCCCCCCCCACCCAGCCCCCTGGCCCCAGAGCCAGGAGTGCCACTCCTTGGTCTGACAATGTTCTTCCCCAACCCATGACTTAGCTTTTCAGGTGCAAAGACCCATAATTCCCAGGGGGCGAGGGGCAGAGGGACTAAGTGTCCTGACCTGACCTTGTCCCCTCACCTGTCAAGCTCTGGCAGTGCAAGAAGGAGCGGCAAGGCGGCAGCCCAGGGGATGGTGACGGGAGCCCTCGAGCTCGGCTGCTTCCGAGGCAGAGAGCACGCAGGGCGGGCAGATGAGGCACTGCACAGTGAATTAAACCAGCTTCATCTGACCAACCGCTGGGTCCATTAAGGAGGAAGCTGATTACGGGACTAATAAACATCACACCCTGCACCGGCCGCACGGCGAGAAAAGGTGGCTGGCTCCCCGAGGAAGCTTGAGTTGGGGGAGATGGGGCAAATCACTCCCCACGGGGGACAGGAAGAAGAACAAGCCCATGTGGCTGCTCTGGGGGCTCATGCCCCTTCGCCTCCAGGCAAGGGTTCACGTTCCTGCTGCCAGGCAGGAACACAGGATACAAACCTTCCTTTCCCGCCTCCTGTAATGTCTTTAATCTCACTAGGTCTTGTTTCTGAGGGAAGCACTCCTGGCTGTGCTCAGAGGTTACTCCTGGTGGGGCCCAGGGGACCAGATGGGGTGCTAGTAATCGAACCCAGGTTAGCCATGTGCAAATGGCCTACACACTGCACTGGTCGCCCATCCGACTAAGAGATCATAACACAAGGAAAAGGGTTGGGGAAGTGGCATAAGGAGTGGAGAAGAAGGCTCTGGGCTCCATCCCAACACTGCAGACCCTGAGCACCCTTGCAGCAACCTAGGGGCCCAGAAACGGGCTTTCCTGTGTCTGTGATGGAGACCTGGTATGCAGCGAGCTCTCACAGCTGTACAGCTGCCCAGGATCTGCCCGGGGAGTGACAGAAGCTGGTCCGGCCCAAGACCCCACAACCGACTCAACCCTGCTTGAACACCTCATCTGCAGGGCGAGAGGCGTCTGAGTACACACCATGGGGATTCCAATCTCATTGGTGTTGATGTACATGTCCGGGCAGATGACCGAGCGGGCTGCGTAGTCCACACGCTTTCCCATCATGTGCTTTCGGAACAAGCCTTCCTTCTTCTCTAGGATCTTGATGAAAGAAGAAAGGAAAGAAGGAAGAAAGGAGTCAAACATATTATTATTTTTTCCCCTCTTTCTGTTGTTTTGGCCACACCCCGCTGTCCTCAGGATTTACTCCTGGTTTTGTGCCCAGGAATCATTCCTGGTGGACTCGGGGGACCACACCGGGGATGGAACAAGATTGGCCACTGGCATGGCCAATGCCCATACACTGTACTCTCTCCAGCCCTCTTGGTCATTTTAATTTTTTTGTTCATTTGTTTCTGGGAATTCAGCTGCTTCAACTCATACTCTCACTCAGACTGGGACAATTTAGTTGTGCCCATGGGTCTACATGCCCATGAGATGGGAAACCCATACCAGAAAAAACCCACACACAAGTGGGGAGAACGTACAAACTCCACACAAACAGAAAGGGATTCTTTTTAAATGTCATTGTCGTGATGAAATGATATTGAACAGAACATTAGTCAAAGACCATCTTATTAACCCCTCCAGCTAGCAACAGGGATCCAATTTATCCAATTTCTGATTTGCTCACCTGCCTGATACCAGGGAATTTTTCCATCATCAATTTGTCCATCTCACTATCAAACACAATATTGACGTGGCTCTGAAGGCGAATCCAAATGTTGTAAAGTTTGTCTGGGAGGGACTGGCCGGGCAGCAAACTCAGAAAGGACCGGTCCATGGCAACAGAAGCATCTTTCTCCTGAAAGACACGGTAAGAAAACAAACACGATGAGAAAAAAAACACAAAAGCCAGGCTTGATTTCATTTCTCTTTTGGAATCCAATTCAGGCAAATTGTGAGTTCCAGGGTTCACCGCCATGTCTTCTGAACCCAATAGATGGGCGGCAAAAGTGTCAATGACTCAGTCTGGTCAGTATGCACCAAGAGGACCTCAGTCCCATCGAAGCCCAGCCCAGCCCATCTCTTTCTGTAAGTGAAAAAAACTTAATCTTAGAAGTAGGCTCTGGGGGCTGGAGCAATAGTACAGTGGGTTTACCTTGCACATGGTTGCCCCGGGTTCAATCCCTGGCATCCCATATGGTCCCCTGAGCACTGCTAGGAGTAATTACTGAGTGCAGAACCAGGAGTCAGCCCTGAGCATCACTGGGTATGCAAAAAAAAAAAAAAAAAAAGGCAAAAAAAATCCCCCTATTAACAGTTATTATTATTACTTGGATACTTTTACTATATTTTTATTTCAGGCACTGTGATTTACATATTCAGGACTGAGTTTGAGGTATTCCATGCTGCAACACCCATCCCTTCACCCGTGTCCACTTTCTCCAGTAATGCCCCGTTTCCCTCGCAGCCTCCTGCTGGCCTCTATATAGGCTCCTTTTTTCCTTCTCGGCTCTGTGGTTTACGATACTGTTATCGATATGGTCTCACGTGTAACACTGTACCTTCTTCCAGCATGCCCGCTCCGGAGCAGCCTCTGCATCAGTCCCAGTGCTCCCTTCCCCAACCTCCCCCCACAACCCCAGGGCACTTTCTACAGGCGGCCAGTTCTCACACTATTTCTACTGTGCACCACATTAACAAACCCAGATTCTGGGCTCTTGGTTTCAGTCTTACCCAGAAGACAATAAAGAACAGGCCCGGAGTAGGGTTTTATTTGTCCCTCTTCTGCCTCGTTCTATTTTTTTTTTAGGGGCCACTCCTGGCAGTGCTCAGGGGTTACCAAGGCTATACTGGCAATGCTGGGACTATAAAGACAGTACCAGGAACTGAACTCAGGGCCTCACGCAGGGTTGACATGTACTCAGCAACCTGAGCGATATTCCAGGCCCCCAGCTGTGCTGAAGGTTCAGCTTGGGGAGGATCCACTTCAAAAATCCTGACAACTGCTCACATCATTCATGACTGATGGCAGGATTCGGCTGCCTGTGTGCAACCAAGGTCCTTAATTCCTATTTTTGCCTTCCGTGACTAGTCTAACACGCACCTGGTCATCTATGTATGCAGGAGGGTAACCAAGCAAGTGACCGGGAGCTGGCCTTTCTTAAGGAAGCTGCCGAAGCAACTTGATGTTTAATTCCTAAGACAAACCTAGAACTTCTGGCACATTAATACTCTTCCTCTGGGAGCTCTACTATCCCCCCGATTCCCATACAGAGCTTCAGTTTCATGTATTACTACAGAAAAAGCTGATCAATTCTCAAAATGCAGGTGAACAATTTTCTGAACGGAAGTTTGCCATCCAGTCGTCTACGTTTTCAGTTCCCAAGTGAGACATGGTAAGTTCCGGGTGATCTCCTGAATTCACAGGAATAAACATGCACTGACCCTTTAGTTCTTTCTGTCCCCACCTCTGGCCCCTGTTCCTTCTCCCTCTTGCCCAAAAGACATGCCCTCAGCCTTAGGCTACCTTAAAGCACAGCCTATTGACTTTTATTTCCTACGGTCAGTTGCTGGCTGTCCCCATTCGGGTAAGTATGACAGAGACAGACGCAGGGCCCCCCGTTCACTAGTGTGAGTCATGTGAGGAAAGAAACCAGCTGGTGTTTTGGGGAGAAAGTTGGGAAAGGTGGGTGAAGATCCAAGAACCAAGACTCAGATCCAAGAACATATGACTCAGAAATCAAGAAGTGGGTCACTCCTCAATCCTAAGGAACAGAGAGGTTATTGCAAAGACAATGATCTCTGCTCTGGCAACCCACAAAGACTCAGGCCAGGCCCTCACTCACTGCCGCCACTACATGACCTGGCTCTGGGTCTGAGGAAATGTGGGAAGGGGAGCCTTATTATTAAGGACATCAAAATATCATTCTTATTCCATTCCTATTGTCTCTGGCCAGGGGGTGGTTATGCTGTAGCCTTACCTCCCAAGTGGAGTTCCATAGTTCCATAGCTTTTTCATAGATGGTCAATTTTTCATCCACTAAGACTTTATTTAAAAAAATACACACCGACACTGACAGATTAGAAAACAAGCCAAGCTGAAGAATCCCTTAGCAGTGGAAGCACAGCTGGGAAAGCCGAACGGCAAGAGTCCAGGACACAGACAAGTGGCGCCATCTGGTGACTGGTCCAGCTCCCTGCAGCTGGACAGCACTTTTCCTATTAGCTGGGGAGGACCCCAATGATCTCCGAACTTTCTGAGTCGGGGATTCATCTTTGCACCTCCTATGCGGGCGATATCAAAGCAGATTTGACTCCAGCCTCATTGAGAATGCCGAGACCCCAAACCTGGCAATCCTCCTCTGGGGAAATCTAAGCACCTCTAACTGCCTTCCTGTCCCCAATGCTAAGCCTTGCTGAGTCATAACCACAGCAGTCCAGTAGCCCAGCAGGGACATCAGGAGGCCAAGGACAGCAGGCGGTCCTTCTCAGACAAGGGTGGGAGGCCCGGAGCATCTGTGTGCAGGTTTTCCCCACAGACCATCTACACTGTATCAGCGATGGATCTGTGAGATAAGGCAGCTAGCTCTTGGCTCGCTGGCAAGTGGCTTTTCGCTGGGCTCACACACTGCTCCATCCTGCCTGTCCCCAGATTCCCCCACTTGAGAGGTGCTCACAATTCCCAATCAGCATCTCCCAGCACTGCCTGGCCCTGCTTCTGTGTGACGAGGAGGCGAAGAAGCACCAGGGCACTGGTAATACCCGCTCCCAGGCGCACTGACCTCCTCGGGGGCGTGTTCTGCCACCTCCTGGGGCAGCTCCTGTTCTTGGGCCATCACTGCCAGCAGCTTCCGGATGAGAACGATGTCCTTCATGACTGCCTGCAGGTTCACCGTCTGGCCATTAGTGAACATCTGGTCCCCCAAGCGATTGACAGGGCGGTATCTGCGGGAAACGCATGGAATCAGAGAGCACGTAGCACGGAAGAAGGGACACGCACTTCAGAACATCACCCGGCCCGACTATAAGCAACTCACACCCCACAAACACAGAACAGCCAAGAGAACAGCCAAGGCCCCGCGAGAGTCAGGACAAACTCCCAGGAAAGTAACTACCCCACATTTCTGTGTCTCTTTTACCCATCCACCTACTCCCAGAGACCATAATTCAATGGGTCAATATAGTGTTTGCAACTAACAAGGCATTACCTTGAGGGTGGCACCACCAAGAAATCCAGGAAGAACATACTGGGATTGAATCTGGACTCCATGCCAACATCTGCCAGTCCCGAAAACAGGTAACTCAGAAAGAATCCTGTTGGAAAGAGGCCGAGAAGACTGTCAGGGCACTAATGGAGCATCACAGACATTCTGGGCTTTTTTTTTTTTGCTGAGTGTCACACCCGGCAGTGTTTGAGGGTCACTCTTGGCGGTGCTGGGGACCATAAGGCGCTGAGAACAGAAGCTGGGACAATGCACCCAGTCCTGAGCCATATTCTATCCCCTTGGTCCTTTATAGCCCCCCCTCCCCCCCCCCCACACACATATACACATGCAATTTATTGAGGGGAAATAATCTGGGAGTAGGGCTGGAGAAATAGGCAAAGGACTGAGGAAAAGTTCTGCCAGCAGGGGCCCCAGGTTCAATCCCTTGCACTCATGGTGCCCTGAGCACTGCCAGGTGTGTCCCCAAACCCAAACCCAATAAACCAAGCCCCCCAAACACAAGAAAATATGCAGCTTCAGAGCACATTCTTCTTTTTAAAAATGAGAAAACACACAATTTCCCCTAGATGGTAAGTCTACATGTAGAGGTGACACAGGCTGTAAGAAGACCACGAGGGACAGCAGGGTCTGGGCAACCAACTGCGTCACCACCCTTGTTACCCTCCTGCCTGTGACTCGGCACCCAGACACTCGCCTTCTCTCTAAGAGTGTATTTAACATAAGGGGAACCGCCAGCAAGGAGTCCTGGCCACCACTGCCTCCTTCCCTTCTCCCCCGAGTCAGCCCTCACCGCCACTGGTGGCTCCAGTAGCATATTATGGAGAAGAATCTTCCTGGGAACCAACCGGCTGGATAGGGGTTTAGTGCCCCTTGGTCAAGCTCTGCTGGACTAGAGGCTGGGGCCTGCCTGGAGCACCCAAGCCAGTTACGGGAGCTGCCCTGGCCCTGGTCTCTGCTGGGGCTGTTGCTGTCGTCACCACTGGGGCTGAGGGTGCAGCACTGCCAGCATGTCAACCTGGATGTGCGAGGCGGAAGCATCAGCTCCCTGGTGGTGCCCTCGGGCTTCCAGACACCCCAAAGTCAGTGCTCTGCCTCTGGCCAGACTCCAACTACTTGGGACCAACTTTTCCAAGAAATTAAACCATCAAAATTTAAGTATGCAGGAGCCACGCTTACAAACCGCCTCCAGTAACTCATAACTAAATTTCGAGAGAGATAAGAAAGATGCAGAACATCTTTCTGGACCTGTGTATGCTGAGTAATCTGGAGCACATCAGAGAGGGGTGGGTTAGCCTAATGCCCATCCAGAGCCCCCAGCAGCTGCTTGCTACCATAGTTGAAAATCACCACCATGCCCCTAGCCGGATGTCACCGAGATACTAATCTGCTGAAAATTAGGGTATGAGGGTTTTATGACTAAAATCTCCAGGCTTCTCTTGGGAGTTGGGATGCTCCCCCTACGTCCTTGTACTTCTGAAAGCCCTGGCAGTCACATCCACACCCCAAAGCTGCCTGCCACTCAGTTAAAAAAGCTACTTCACGCCCGCTCCTCTCTGGAAAGAAAGATGGCAGCCGCACGGGAGCCTTGTGGAAAGCGGGTTTGAGCCGGACTCGGGGGAGCGGCGGGGACCTCATGGGAAGGGGGGCTTTGTGGGCCGTCCCCCACGCCCCACCGAGGTCGCCAGCTGCCCCCCACGAGTGGCTCTCCGGCACGGCCACGGCCCCGGAGGCACAAGGACTTAGCACAGAGAACCAGCCGCTTGGAGCAGAAAAGCAAATGGACTTGTGTTGATCCGCGCCACCAAGCCTGCCCGGAGGGGGAAGGGCGTTGACCGGCCCGCCCGCTCCTCTCTGGAAAGAAAGATGGCGGCCGCACGGGAGCCTTGTGGAAAGCGGGTTTGAGCCGGACTCGGGGGAGCGGCGGGGACCTCATGGGAAGGGGGGCTTTGTGGGCCGTCCCCCACGCCCCACCGAGGTCGCCAGCTGCCCCCCACGAGCGGCTCTCCGGCACGGCCACGACTCCAGGGCACAGAAACCAATCTCTTAACTAGCTAACTTTTAATAGAAATTCTTCCAGGGTCAATAAGTAAAGTAGCAGAAATTCAAAACCGCGCGGCCGCGACATCATTTTATTCTTAAACCAAGTTGTAGAAAGCAAATCATTTCACAACGCTGTTTCAGCATGTCTGATTGGGGGGGGGGGGGGGGGTGGGTCGTAAACTCTAAACAATAATTGTGCATCTTCTATCGAAATAATCTATCTAGACAAAGTAGATAGAGTATTAACTAGAACTCATCTGCCTCACAAAGAATTGGGAGGGTTGGGAGGTGGGGGTCTATTGGGGTTCGGGGTTAAAAATGAGTATTGGTTAAGGGAAATGTGTTTGGTATCTACATGACTGAGACCTAAACCCGAAAGCTCTGTAACTTTTCCCACAGTGATTCAATAAATAAATAAATTATTTAAAAAAAAAAATTAAAAAAAAAAAGCTACTTCAGCTGTCTCTTTCTGATAAAAATGCTGAACTCCCTGAACAAACATGATGACCTCTTAGTAGCCGTATTGCAAACCATAATGCACAAAAGGTGGGGGAGGGGGAAGGGAGAGGGAGGGGGAGAGGGAGAGGGAGGGGGAGAGGGAGGGGGAGAGGGAGAGGGAGAGGGAGAGGGAGAGGGAGAGGGAGAGGGTGAGGGAGAGGGAGAGGGAGGGGGAGAGGGAGAGGGAGAGGGAGAGGGAGAGGGAGAGGGAGAGAGCGCCAGTCTGCCAAAGAGATAGGCTGCATATGGAGGAGTAAGGGTAGAATTAACTGGGGACCATTGGTGTTAAGAAATGCACACTGGTGGAGGGATGGATGTTGGAACACTGTATGGCTGAAACCCAATCATGAACCATTTTGTAATGGTCTTTCCCATGGTGATTCAAAAAAAATAAATAATAGTATTATAATAATAAAATAAGAGGGAAAAAGTCAAACCTACAAAAAGTCTTTTGAAAAGCAAAGTCAAAACAGACCCTACATAGATGCCAACAAGATGGGTTCTTATGGGGATCAGAGTTTAAGTTCCTGGTGACCGTTACAAAAACAAACCAAAAACTACAGAAAGAAGAGAATGAGCTAGGGCCCACCGCAAAATGAATCATGACAATCTGAGTGTCTTCTTCTCTGACATCACTTATCCTTTCAGCAACACTTCCATTTTTGAAGTGCTTCTCACTGTACGGTGTATGAGCATATGCTCTCAAAGGGTGGGTTATAGGAGGGCTTGAATACATCTCATCTTGTTATATACACAGGAAATAAAAGCGTGTTTTGGGTAGGAACTGGAAGTATACACAATTTGAAAAGAAAAAGACATACTAAGTTCATTTTTTGGATTTGCATAAGGAATTCTTACAGAAACCTTTGAAAAGAAATTTTTTAGTTACAAGCATTTGAAGTGAGTCTTTACTGAACCTTCTAGAGTTACATTCAAGTGTAGTAAGTGAGGCCCACCTACGGCTGTCACCGAACGAGCAGGCTCAGTTCAATCATCAAGCTTATGGTCCCAGGTGAGATAAACTTCCCACTTTACAACATACTCTGAGGCTTGCCTCAACCCTATGGACACATTTCAGGAAATATCTAGAGTTCTGGAAAACTGAAAATAAGGTAGGGTAATTAACAGTTAAGACCAGGAAATCAACATCCAGGAAATTCAAGCCAAGAGACAGTAATGGATGGCTGATTTAGTCTGGTACAGCACCTTCATTCTTCCAGATGGCAGTGAGATGCTCCCGGGCGGTGCTGGGAGTCAAGTACCCTCTCTTCTCCATCTGCGCCACCTCAATTCCTGGAATTCAAGAGGGGACAGAGCACAGTGAATCAGTAACCAGCACTCCTCCTAGGATGGGGTTTATCAATTCCTCTTCCCCATCCTGCCAAGCATGTAACTTGACCCCCCCCCCAAAAAAATCATTGTTCAAGACAGCATATTTCAGCTCGAGACTGCTCCCTTTTTAAAATCAAACTTCTAAAGTTATGAAATGATGCAAATACTGCATAAAAACCTAAAAAATAAAGGGGAAAAATCACCCAATTTCTATCACAATGTCAGCACCATCATGTTTTTTTTTTTTTTTTTGGAGGGGGGGAACAACTGGCAATGGTCAGGGCTCATTTCTGGCTCTGTACTCAAGGGTCACTCTTCCTGGGGCTCAGGGGATCGGCAGGGATGAAACCTGGCTGCAGATAAGGCAAGCCTGCTATACTGTCTCTCCAGCCCCTGTACTATCATTTTATTTCCATTGTTTGACTTAGAGTGAGTCTTATTTATATTTTTGTGTATCGTGGGTTTTGAGGCCTACAGCTGGGTTACATCCAGTAAAGCATAGGAGACCATGTGGTGCCAGGGACGGAATCTGGGGTGCCAACCTGCAAAACATGTGCTCTAGCCCTCTAAACCATCCCATTGGCTCATGCACGCATTTTAAATCATTGCAATCTTAGTGTATATTGGTTTTACATGCTATTCTGTTCATTTTGTATCCTCTGTAAGCATTTCTGCCTGCTACTGCATATTTTCGCCTTTTTTTCTCAGGCGGGAGTGCATGAAGGAGCATAGCTAGCAGAACTCAGAACTTACTCCTGGCTGTGCTCAGGGATCACTCCTGGTGGGGTTCCGGGGAACATATGCTAGGGATCAAACCTGGGTCGGCTGCATGCAAGACAAGAGCCTTGCAATTATATGTATGGTATCCCTAGCCCCCCATTTTCATTTTAATAGTTATAAATGATGCTAGAATGTTTCCTAAGTGACTGAATTATACTTTCGTTGCATATTTTGATCTCATTTTTTGTTTTGGAGTCACACCCTACAGTGGTCAGGACTTACTTCTGGCTCAGCACCTAGCACCCTGCCGACTGTACTAACATTGCAGCCTTCTCACTTTTTAACCATGAGGTAAAGGTAAAGGTAAAGGCCCCCCCGTTGATCGTCGATATAATTAATTCTACCCAAAGGATTCTTTTTTGTTGTTGTTTGTTTTCTTTTTGGGTCATACCTGGCGATCCACAGGGGTTACTCCTGGCTTTGCGTTCAGGAATTACTCCTAGCGGTGCTCAGGGGACCATATGGGATGCTGGGAATCGAACCCGGGTCGGCCATGTGCAAGGCAAACACCCTACCTGCTGTACTATTGCTCCAGCCCCCTATCCAAAGGATTTTTAACCACAAAGGTTAAAACCATTTTGGAAGCAGAACTACGTATAAGAGTCATCGTGTAAAAATGTCTATTTGATACTTCCTCTTTACAGAGATGATGCCAATGTGTAAGGAGTAGACTGTTGGTTTCTCATTTTAAGCAGAATTCTGGGATATTACCTGTTAACTATACCCTGAGAATCAGGAAACAAGTCATAGGGACCTCTACCTATGACATAACCAGAGGGTATGTCACCCAAAGTTTTTAGAAAAGCTTGCAAGAATCAACGGAAGTGCCCTAAATGACCTACTCGCTATTAACACCCAGGTAAGAACTTCAGTTTTAATACTCAAATAGTATCACTGGGTCAGAGAGTATAGCGAGTAGGATGCTTGTCTTGCATGCAGCCAGCCAAGGTTTGATCCGCAGCATCCCTGAGTACCGCTTGGAGTAATTCCTGAGAGCAGAATCAGGAGTAAAGTCCTGAGCATTGCTGGGTGTGGCTCCCCAAAACAAACAAATTGCTGACATATTTCTCTGGATTAAATCATAGAAGTGAAACTGCCAAATCAAGAAGCCTACAAGCATACGAATTTTGATGGTCATAAAAACAGAACGTTTCAACCAGTTAATCCCTGTCCATGTGGGCACAAAATGAAGAGAGGCTCTGACCTTCAGGAATAACGACAGAATGAAAAAGTCACAAATATTCAGTGGCGGAGGAAAAAAGCAGGCATAAGACTGTCAGCCACTTGCAGCAGAGCCCCCAGGCCCTGTCCCAGCACTGTCCTGGAAGGTGAAGCCCCCCCCGCCCCCCACCTCTGTGCTTTAATCCTAGAAAAAGGGGCTGGTGGGTCTCAGAACCTGAGTCCCAAGAGCCTACTGGGGGCTGCCACCTCTGTTCCTGGGCAGCTGTCCCGCTACTGCTTGTCAGTCTGCGGCAATGAAATCTGCCTGTCCGGAATACCAGAAATCCTCCAGCATGACTTTATGTGCTTCCCCTGAAAGAGTTGTTGGGGGGACCTATGAAGGCTCGACCAAGAATGGGAGACAGTGCATCCAACGCTTGTTCACTGCCTGGCACCCCCTGAGCATACAGCCAGGAATAAGCTATGAGTACTGCTGTGTGTGGCCCACAGAAGACCTCTCTGGCTCTGGTTCTAAATATTTACCAATACTTAGAACTTTTCCTCTTTTTTGGGGGGGAGGGCATAATTTTGGTGTCACATCTGGTGGTTCTTAGGGCTTACCCCTAGTGAAGCAAGAGGCATCTGGCTCAGCCTGAGACAAACACAGCCCCAACTGCTGGCTCTGCTGAGAGGGGGTCAAGTTCTCACTGGGATCCCTACAGTCTTTTTGTTTTGGGGCCACACCAGTGATACTCTGGGCTTACTCCTAACTCTGTATTCAGGGATCACTCCTAGGAGGTATTTAAGGGACCATGTAGGGTGCCAGGGATCAAACCCAGGTAGGTTGCATGAAAAGCATACGCCCACGAGGTGCGCCTGCTCCAGCCCCAATCCCCTCCACTCTTAAGAGGCCTGTCTCTCCCATGGCCACCGAGGAGCCGAGGCAGAGAGCCCAGCCTGCTTACCCAGTGGCTCTGTGTCCTGGCCAGCTTTCTTGTGCACTATGGCGGGGTACGTGATTGTCAGTTTGCTGTTGTGTTCCTTTCGGACAACTGACCGCCCGGTCCTAAACACAAGAACAGTTGTGATGGAGGGAAGAAAAGAGCCAACGAGATGTTTAATAACAGCGGGGGGGACTGGCCAGAGGCATCCCACCTGGGAGAAGGGAAGACAGGCAGGAGCCTGATACTCACTTGCAGTGCGGACACCTCTTGGCAGTCATGTGCGTCTTCCAGAAGTGAGCGATGAGTTTGCTCCTGCTCTCACAAACATTTTTTACCTGTTTCCAAAAACAGTGAGTGAATTGTGCCGTGCCATTCTGAAGAGAATCCAGTACACCTTCATTTGTAGGTTTCACCTTCTTAAATAAACCAGAGGAAGCCACCTACTTTCTTAAACAAAATTTTCCGTGGCACCCTTTTTTTTTTTTTTTATTTATTTATTGAATCACTGTGGGAAAGGTTACAAAGCTTTCAGGTTTATGTCTCAGTCATGCAAATATCAAACACATTTCCCTTTACCAATACTTATTTTTTACCATGAAGAACCCCAATAAAACCCCACCCCCACCCCTCCCCGTCCCTGTGAGGCAGATGAATTCTAGTTAACACTCTATCTGCTTTGATTAGATTCATTGTTTCAATAAAAGATTCACCACTATTATTTAGAGTTTACCCCCCCCCCCCCAAATCAGACATGCTGAAAAAGCATTGTGAAGTGATTTGCTTTCTACGGCTGGGTTCAAGAATTAAATGTTGGTTTTGGGTTTCTGCTCTTTTACCTATTGACCCTGGAAGTATTTCTACTGAAAGTCAGATAGTTAAGAAATTGGTTTCTGTGTTCTGGAGTCGTGGCCGTGCTGGAGAGCCGCTCGCGGGGGGCAACTGGTGGCCTCGGTAGGGCGTGAAGGGCGGAGCAAAACGCCCCCCTTCCCATGAGGTTCTAGTCGCCCCCACACTCGCGGCTCATACCTGCTGTCCACAAGGCTCCCATGTGGCCGCCATCTTTCTTTCCAGAGAGGAGAGGGCGAATGGGGCAACACCCTTTCCCCTCCGGCAGACTTGATGGCCTGGATCAATGCATAGTCCGTTCACTTTTCTGCTCCAAGCTGCTGGGTTCTGCATTAAGTCCTTGTGCTTCTGGGGCCGTGGCCGTGCTGGAGAGCCGCTCGCGGGGGGCAACTGGTGACCTCGGTAGGGCGTGAAGGACGGACCAGAACGCCCCCCTTCCCATGAGGTTTTAGTCGCCCCCACACCCCCGGCTCATACCTGCTGTCCACAAGGCTCCCATGTGGCCGCCATCTTTCTTTCCAGAGGGAGGAGGGCGGAGGGGAGCAACACCCTTTCCCCTCTGGGCAGAAATGATTGCCTGGATTAACGCATAGTCCTTTCACTTTTCTGCTCCAAGCTGCTGGGTTCTGCATTAGGTCATTGTGCTTCTGGGGCTGTGGCCGTGCTGGAGAGCCGCTCGTGGGGGCAACTGGTGGCCTCGGTAGGGCGTGAAGGGCAGACGGAAATGCCCCCCTTCCCATGAGGTTTTAGTTGCCCCCACACTCGCGGCTCATACCTGCTGTCCACAAGGCTCCCAAGTGGCCGCCATCTTTCTTTCCAGAGAAGAGAGGGCGAATGGGGCAACACCCTTTCCCCTCCGGCAGACTTGATGGCCTGGATCAATGCATAGTCCTTTCACTTTTCTGCTCCAAGCTGCTGGGTTCTGCATTAAGTCCTTGTGCTTCTGGGGCCGTGGCTGTGCTGGAGAGCCGCTCGTGGGGGGCAACTGGTGACCTCGGTAGGGCGTGAAGGACGGACCAGAACGCCCCCCTTCCCATGAGGTTTTACGTGGCACCCTTTTGCTAGAGGCAGGCCCCATCAAATCCTGATGATACCTTGGCCTCTACAGCTGCCTCATTCATAGAAGAGTTATCAAGTTGCTTCTTAAGTGAAGAGATCATGAGTGCAGCAGATGATGTGGAAAAAGTCCTCAACGAAAGCTAGGTACCGTCAACCAACCACCCTCTCCAGATGCAGCTGTGGGGAGCCTCCACACTGCCCGCCTCAGACGGGCCCAGAGGCCACAGGCAAATCCACAGAAGGCCTGGGACCAGTTCTGAGAAGCACCAATGGGCTCCTCTAACCTCCACATGGGCCCTACCTCAGCCCACTAAATTAGTCTCGGCCTGAAAACTGGGTGTAGGAACTGGATTTGAAGATCAGTACTGCAGGAATCTTACAACAGAGCTTTCTCCATTGGGGACTCCTTTTCACCTGAGAGAAGCAGCATGGGCGAGCACTGCCAGGTTTGTCATGTATTTGGTGTGGGATGAACTTCTGGTCTCTGGGTGTTCAAACATCTTTACTGTTGCCAAAGATTTTTTTACCCACCCTCACTCCCCACCATCACATTTAGTTCTGTAACTGCAGATGGGCTGTGCCCCAACATTTAAGAAGCCAGGTTCTGCAATATTCATCCATACATCCTTAGATCAAATCAGTACTTTGCAGAGGTATTGCGGGGTGACAGGCAGAAAGGCAGTAATTATATATGGTAACAGGAGAGAAAGGAAGGGAGCACAGGGACTTCATTCCAAAAGCATGTATGTTACAGCCCAGCTGTATGTAAAACCATCAAAGACCATCTAATCTCACAGGCCTTGAAAGCAGACATCAAAGGCAAGGGTGCAGGGATTCTGGGAGAAATCCAATTTCTGATTCCTGAGAAATTTGAGGGGCAAAAGGAAGGTTCCACATAAAAATACTTGCCAACATACATGTTTTATCTGTTACATGTGTTATAAACTGTGCATAATATCATTATATATATTAACTGTAAAATAGTTTATTATAATGACATATGTAGAGAAATGGAATTAAGGAAATCCCGAGGAAAAGAAAACATATTTATTGTACTGTATTTGTAAGTATTTCAAGTTTAATAGGCTGGTTTTATGAAGGGTCAAAGGTACATGCTTAAGGTGCTCAAGTTTTATTCCCACTACCATAGGTCCCTCAAGCATCGCTGGGGATAGCCCTGGAGGTCCCAGAGCACTGTTGGTATAACCCTGGAGGCCCCAAACAGCACCACACTAAGAGCCCAAGCATTGAGTGATCTAGTTCAGGGGCCCAAATATCACCAGGAGTGGTCACCAGGATAACCACTGCTGGGGAGACAGAAAATCAGGTGCCAGAGTAAGACGGTGTTGGCCTTGCATGCAGCCAACCAGGCTCAATCCCTGGCACCACATATGGTCTCCTGAGTACAGGGCAAGGAAAAAACCCTGGCGACAGTAGGGACAGTCCACATGTAACTCCCTTCCGCTCCCCCAAAAGTTGATCTGTTCCAACCTGTATGACTGAAAGGTGACCTGTATGTAATCTTTGGGTCGGGATTCCAAGCCAGGGCAACTTTACCAGTCCAATGCTCACACGAGTGAGCAGGGAGAGCTGTGGCGATGAAGCTAAGTGAGAATGCTCCAGAGAAGGAGACAGGGTGACTCACGTGTGCGCCATGGGGCCCCAGGTGGTTGTCCTGCACGATCTCGGCTGTCCGCTGCTCTAACTCCTCCTGAATTTCAGAGCCAGTCGGGTCAGGATTTTCTTCCAGAAACTGAAAGAACAAAGCCATGTTGTCAGTGGAGCACATGAGCTCATGGCGGGGCCAGACTTTCTGAGGGCAGAAGTTTAGCTGGGGCATGCAGGGAGAGAGGATGATGACAGAGACATTTCTAAATGCCCAACATAGATGAGAATATCCTGCTCCCCCAAAAGGGGTGCCGGTGGTTTCCAACTAGGGCAAGGACCAGCGCTGGCTGCAGGGGCAGAAAGGCCAAGTACACTGGGCATACCGCAATGGCTGTCAGGATGGGTCACATGTGTCTGCAGGTGTGAAAAGAGTGAAACACTCTGAGCCAGATGACTCCAGTCAAAGCCAGCACAGAGAAGAACCAGGTTGGGATTCAGCACGGAAACACCTTTAAAGCTGAGGCGCCAACAGGGCAGCGGGGACTGGGGAGGGAGGTCTGAGTGTGGGGCACGTGCTGGGAGGCAGGGCGATTCCTGTGGAGCCCTGTCCTGGGGAAGCTCCTCCAGGCTCCCTGGCAACCCCAGAGCTGCAAGACAGCGGCTCCCGCCTGTACACACTTGTCCTGATTCAGTAACTGGGGACTGTATTCCGCCAGCCTCACATAGAGGGGAAAGAAGCCAGAGCCCATTGTAGGAGGACATGAGATTCGTTTCTTCCATCCCAACATGGAAACAGAGGAAGCAGGAATCCCCCAAACCCAAAGGACCAAATATGCAAGAGGCACCCTCACCGGTGCGTCCACCCAGTCTCCACATTCAGACCGGAATGCACCACAGAGCCAACCGAGGCATCTCCTTTCTCACTTCAGCAACGTTCCTGGGCATTGTCACAGCAGGGGATGCTCCTGAAGTGTGCAGCCATTTGTTCAATCCCCACTGCTGGTCACTGGTCACCACTGCCACCAACTCCCCTGCGAGGACCCCCTTTCACCCTACTCCACACCACTTTCCTTCGGATGTTTCACATGAGCTGCCAGCACATGCGCAGACGTTCACCCCAGGACTGTTTTGCTCTTATCTTTTGGGCTCTGGCAGCTCACAACAGGCCACACCCATGCAGAATCTTTTCTTGGCTGCCCACCTTATGTCCTTATAGCTCAATGACCCAAGAAAGATAAGAGGAAGAAGCAAAGGAAAAGGTTTACATTTGTGCCAAGCCTAGGACACCTGCTACCACTCCAACTGTGCAATGGGAAGCTGAGCCACCAGAAAAGAAACAATGTGGAAATACTTAAGAGAAAGGAAACTCTTTCTTGGAGCGATAGCACAGCAGTAGGGCATTTGCCTTGCGTATGGCTGACCTGGCCGAGCCAGGTTCGATTCCTCCACCCCTCTTAGAGAGCCCGGCAAGCTACCAAGAGTATCTCGCCCACATGGCAAAGCCTGGCAAGCTACCCGTGGGGTATTCAATATTCCAAACACAATAACAAGTCTCACAATGGAGAGGTTACTGGGCCCGCTCGAGCAAATCGATGAACAACAGAAGGATAGTGTGCCAGTGTTTTTTTTTTTTTTTTTTTTTTTGCTTTTTGGGTGATACACAGGGGTTACTCCTGGCTCATGCACTCAGGAATTACTCCTAGCAGTACTCGGGAGACCATATGGGATGCTGGGGATTGAACCCGGTCGACCTCGTGCAAGACAAATGCCCTCCCCGCGGTGCTATTATTCCTGCCCCAGAAAGGAAACTCATCACTCACAGATGATTGAATTGTGCCAAAAATCTAGTAGAAGAATCTACAGAATACAATTACAATTGATAAGACACTTTCCCCAGGTGCCACATGAATTTTTAGTACAGAAAATCTGTACACACAAAAAAAATATTTTATGGCCTGCAAACAAAAAAATAAATTTTTTAAAAATGCTATTGGTAAATCACTCTAGAAAAATTTTCCACAATGATTAATGACAAGGGGAAATACATGTCACTCTGCAGTGGAGATCCGGCAGTGATGCTGTGTCCAGGTACCACACAACATGACCAGGAGAGACCAGCCTGACTCTGGGTATCCTCTGTCACATCAGTGAAGCATCCCAACAGCCTATGTAGTATTTGAGAAAAACATGACCCGAAAGGAAATCATCAAATTCAAAACATGAAAAATCTGATAAGACCACTTACCTTGAGTTTTCAGAGTACTCGCTACCATAAAAAATTATTTTTACACATTAAAACACCTACACATTTTTACACATCTATATGCCCACAGAAGCTGGGAAAAGCATTCGTAATGCCTGCCTGTCCTTCACCAACTACAAGACCAAGATGACTGCCCTCCGACATCCTGATGGATCTATCACATCTTCCAGAAGGGCAATGGAGAAGATTATTCATGACTTCTACTCAGATCTCTTTAATAGCCACGTCCACTTGCCCACCAAATTTCGCAGGATGGATATGTCGTTCCCAATGTTCTCCCTTCCGAAATTCAACACACCATCTCGTTGGTAAAGAAACAAAGAGCACCTGGCCCAGACAAGGTCAGACCTGAACACCTGAAGAACTTACCGTCAGTACTCATCAATACACTGGCTCGGCTCTTCACACGCTACCTATCTGAATGCAAGGTTCCATCCCAATGGAAAACCAGCAAGACTGTACTACTATACAAGAAGGGAGACATCCACGATATTGGCAACTATCGCCCAATCTGCCTATTGTCTGTCATCTACAAACTGTTCACTCGAATCATCCTGAATAGGATTGGTAGAACACTAGATGAAGGACAACCATGTGAACAAGCCGGGTTCCGAAAAGGATTCAGCACCATCGACCATATCCACATGATGACCAAGCTTATTGAGGTTTCTCGGGAGTTCAAGATGCCGCTCTGTCTAACGTTCATTGATTTAAAGAAGGCCTTTGATTCTGTTGAGACGGAAGCAGTCATAGAAGCCCTAGCCAATCAGGGAGTACAAACTCAATACATCAGGATCCTCCATGAGCTCTATTACAGATTCACTACCAGGATCTCACCATTCTACAAAGAAGTAATCATCCATGTCAAGAGAGGGGTTCGGCAGGGTGATACCATTTCACCAAAACTCTACAGTGCCACCCTCGAGAACATCATGCGACGACTGGAATGGGAAGGAATGGGAGTGAAGATAGATGGTCGGCAACTACACCACCTCCACTTTGCTGATGACATTGTTCTAATAACACCAAACATCAGCCAAGTGGCACAAATGCTGACTGACTTCGACTGTGAATGTGGAAAGGTCAGATTACAACTGAATCTCACAAAGATAATGTTCATAAGAAACAGTCTTGTTCCTGATGTTCCATTCACTCTCAACAGAACCACCATCTCCGAATAGAACAGTTATATATACCTAGGTCGAGAAATCAACATGATGAATGACCTGGCACCTGAGTTACGCAGGAGGAAGAGAGCGGCTTGGAATGCCTTCAAGAGTGTTGAAGAAATAACTAAGAGGACAAAGAACCTCCAGCTCCGAGCACATCTCTTCGATTCTACTGTTCTTCCTCCATTAACATATGCCTCAGAGACCTGGGCCCTACGAAAACAGGATGAGAACGCTATTCGGGTCTCTCAAAGAGGAATCGAAAGAGCTATGCTTGGAATATCACGTTTCACTCAAATGAGAGATAGATTCCGGAGTTCCGATCGCCGTGAACGCTCAAGAATCAGGGATGCTGTCTCATTTGCCAGGCATCAAAAATCAGATGGGCTGGACACGTAAAGAGGTTTAAAGACGACTGCTGGACTAGAGCCATTACTGACTGGATTCCACGAGACGTCAAAAGATCGCGTGGACGCCCACCTACAAGATGGTCAGACTTCTTCGTCAAGACCCTGAATGATCGGTTTGAGGCTCTGCATATTCCTAGAACGAGCAGACGCCATTGGGCCACGCTAGAACGCAACAGGGATGAATGGAGACGTTACTGGCACCTGCTCGAGTAAATCAATGAGTAACGGGGTATCAAGTGATCAAGTGATATGCCAAAAAAGGGCCAGAGAAATAGCCCAAAAGGCTAGAGTGGATGCACTGTAAAATGCAGGAGGCCGGGGTTTGGTCACCCACCACCACATGGTCTCCTGATCAGGAGTACCACCACTAGATATTGCCTTCAAACCACGAAGAAAATCAGACTGAGGAGATTTAACAATCCAAAGCAGTACATGAGCCTAAAGAAATGTTCCAACAGTGAAAGACCATCTGATCAACTGCTGAGGATGAAATGGTTTTTCACCATTGTTTTCACAAATGTTTCTTTCATGACTTTCATGGCTATGTGCCTCACGTTGAGGTCTTTGTAGGAAATATAAAGGCCACAGCTTCTGGTGACTACTGGGATGCAAGTTCACAGGGATGGCATACGCCCAGCTCTTCTCCACACCATCCGGCTTTCCTGATTCCCACGAGAGCCACCATGCACTTACCCTGCTAAGAATTCTCTCCAGCTCATAGACGGCGTGCAAGGCCCCAACTTCCAGAACTCTCAGCTGACACACTAAGAGATGAATCACAGCACGGGGGCAGGTCAGCAAGTGACAGTTTAAGCAAGAGCCCCGGAGCAGCAGGTAGAGTTTCTGAGGGGAGGAAAACATACACATCGTTAGAATGAGATGTTGTACCCAAGGAACTTATCAGTAACAGGCATTTGTATTTGTGTAGCAGCTTACCCTTTCTGCTCTGGGGCCAGAGAGCTAGTACGGCAGGTAGGATGTTTGTCTTACCTGCCAGCAACCTGAGTTCACTCCCCAGCACCCGCTATGTCCTTTGAATCCTGCTGGAAGTGATCTCTGAGCAGAGCTAGGAATAAGCCCTAAGCAGGTGTGGTCCAAAAACAAAACAAAAAAAGAATTCCACTTAATCCTCAATGCCTAAAAACCTTTTTTGAACCCAAGAACTGGATACATATTCCTCTCCATATTCTTCTATGATCTAATCTCAATTCATGAAAAGATTTTTGAAAGCTGGAGGAGTCTCCTCAGCAGTGCTAGGGGATGTTTCTTTGGAAGGCAGGTGGAATGCAGTGGATCCAGGGGATCATACCTGGAATCTTTGGCATGCAAATTGTGCGCTTCACCCCTATAGGCTATTCCTCAGTCCCTAAGATTTACTTAGGTCTGAGATAAGGAACTATATTTATTTTAACTAAGTCCTAAATACTGAAATTAATATTTCAAATATTTTATTAAAGTGTTAAAGTATTTATACTGCAGCCGACCATGGTTTGATCCCCAGCACTGCATATGGTCCCCTGAACCACACCAGAAGTTGTCCCTAAACACAGAGCCATCAGTAAGCCCTGAGCATTGCCAGGGCTGGCTCAAAAGTTAAAAAAAAAAAAAGTAGATAGTACTTAAATAACTTAAACGTACTTAAAAAATTCAGTTTATGGGGGCTGGAGCAATAGCACAGCGGGTAGGGGGGTGTTTGCCTTGCACGCAGCAGACCTGAGTTCGATTCCCAGCATCCCACATGGTCCCCTGAGCACCGCCAGGAGTAATTTCTGAGTGCAGAGCCAGGAATAACCCCTGTGCATTGCCGGGTGTGACCCAAAAAGCAAAAATAAGAATAAAAATAAAAAAAAAACCCACAAAAAATTCAGTTTATGAATAAAATTCCCCGTCTTTAATATGACTAACAAGCCTGCTCTTCATGGCCCTGTTCTCTGTGAACACTCATCTCGCTCACTTATCTCAATGTCCCTCTGCTTGCTTGCTCTTTTAAGCTTGTGTTCCCTCCTGAACATGGAGACCTTCTCTCTTTTCTTATATCTAAGCAAGTTTTGTTCAATAAAAACTATCTTGCTTCATTAAAAAAAGAACCATATATATAAATTATACATATGCATGACAAACAGACAAAAAGCACGCTTACATCCACTAACATCTGGATCCTTTAAAACACACCTATGTGACTAGTTTAAGTGATAAAGGGCTGAAGAGGAACAATGAGGACCCTTAGGAGACTGTGAGGGCTTCTCGAGCTTTGCTCTTCCTGCCACCAAGCATCAGCCTGTCATCCACCTGAAGACATCACAGACTAGGAGAGGCCTGACTGTCCCTCACCAGCAGGAAGGGCCCGGGGATGAATCTACCCCCCTCCACCCCTATGTGATGAGAATCCATCTGAGGCAACAGAACTGACACTCCTGCAGGGAAGACTCAGGGATCCAGGGGCATACATATGACTTGGCACATTGAGGTTTCATCCTGGGAAAGAGCACTTTCACCCCAAGAGTCTGAAGAGACCTCCTCAGACACTCCCTGTTGGGTGAAGAGTGGTACTTGCACCCCACCAGTAGCACTGAGACCATTGCCTCACGGCAGCCCTAGGTGAAACGTACGTCGAAGAGCAGCGGGTTGTAGACGGTGAGTGGGAGCTCGATGTGGCCCAGGTGCCCGGAACAGTTGTTGAAGTCCTGCACACAGGTGGAACACACCTCCTTGGAGTCCGCAGGGCCCAGAGCCAGGTCATATAGGCCATTCACTGACGGGTTGCCCAGGCTGTCCAGGTACCGAGGATTTGTGATCGACTTGACACTTAGTTTCCTAAGAAGATTAAAACCAGATAGCAGGAAAGCCAAGGTTACCTGACTTCTCAATGGTTTCCCCTTCGCTGTGGTCGAATGATAGATTAACATGTTTCTCAAACACTGGCAGCTGCAGAATCTGTGTCTGAGTTCTTACCTCCACAGGCCAGTGCTGAGGGGAGCCTGCTCACAGGAGTGGCTCGATAAATAGGTACTTAATGACCAAGTGAGATAAAAACCGCTCAAACATCAATTTTGTACCAACCCTGCGCTGAGCACACTGGAACACTTTATGAAAAGGAGGTAAACCATCTGCAACTTAGATGCTTCAAAGTACTCAGTCTTGACCATAACCCTCCAAAATGGGCACCACTACATAAAATTTTCAGAGGAGAAAACTGAGACTCAGAGCAGGAAGGTGATTTAATTCAGGTGACCTACACAGAATGAGGGTTGGAGAGAGACAAGAGATTTAAACTAACTCAAAGGACCCCACAGTTCAGTAAAGGAGTTGTAGCCCAAATAATCCCAGTAGGCAAGTGAGTGAGTGCTGAAATTTTGGCAAATTAATTGAAGATCTCTGTGTGATATTCAAGATGCTCAGGAAATAGATGAATAAATAAGTCTGAACACCAGGAAAAGCAATTTGGGCTTTTCTAGTCTAGAAAAAAAAATTTAGGACAAGAAAAATTGTGCAGAGCTGGGCAGATGGCTCAAAGGGCTGGTGCACATGCTTGCAGGGACCCCCAGGGTTACATCCCCAGCACCCACATGGTTCCCCAAACACAGGGACTGGCCAAAAGAGAAAAAAAAAGTTATGACCACTGTACCACAAGAACACCTGGATTTATGAAAATGAGTCATCAGTTAAGGAGCCTGAGAAGAAATAGAATATAACCACCTTGTTCAACAAGGTGTCAGAAAGCAGAGTTCACTGCTTGTGAAAAACTGGACCTTAACGGTGTCTCAGTTTGATAAACTGAGCAAGGAAAGAAAGCAGTACTTTTCCACAGAAATTCACTTACAAAAACAGATTCTGAAGACAGTAGAATGTTGAGGCTGCACTCAAGACTGTCAAAACTGAGGACCGAAGCGTCCTCAATTGATCTGGGTACTAGAAGGAGAACTTTGCAAAAAGTTGTCCCCTAAACAGGCTTGAAGAATAATCATTTTAAGAATAAGACTAATTCCGTTTAAGAAACTGCGTCAATGACTTTAATATAACTCCACAAACGCCGGTTAATTTAATAGGAGCCGGGAAAATGATACCACCACAACCTGGTAACTCCCTCCATCCTAGCACAAACTCTTTCCCCAATCCCACAGCAGAAGCCCGCCGAACATCTCCAGAACTACGAATCCCAGCAGGCGACGCGCCGAATATCGTGGACTCAGAGCCCACATTGCGCGCAAAGCCTGGCGGGAATTGTAGTTTGAGGCGCCCGCCCCCCCTTCCCCGCGGCACGCTTTGCTGCACTGCCCACCAACTCCTTACTTGAGCTCTTCAGCCGAATACATCCCGAAGGAAACGCCCTGCAGCCGCCGCCAGGGCAAGTTCTTTGAACCCAACATCTTCCCAGTCAATTTCGAGTCCGGACACAAGAAATTTCAATCACCACGCGTACATTCCCGTCGCAGACTAGAGATTCCCCGGCACCATGTGATTTTTCACTCCGCTTCCGCGCGAGATGCGCGCTGGGAAATGAGATTTACGTGGACTAGACAACTTCCTCTGCGGGGGGGGGGAGACAAAATGATTTCGTGACTCTTGCTCTCTTCCCGTGAAAACCATCGAATATATCAAAACATCAAAACAAGTATTTTATAAAAAATCTCCGAGGGAAATGAAACATGTTGAGATATTTAATTTCCGTGAGGAAATTGTTAAAAAAAAAAAAAGAGGCTCGTGTTTCCCGGCCTTTCTCGTGCTTGGTTCGCTCTTGTCCCGTCTCCGCCAATAGCAGCGCTCTAGCCGCGCTAGTTCCCGCCCAGCCCTCCGTTCTCCCCGCCCCCGGTGACCCTGAAGGGCGAAGGCGTGCTTTCCCAGCATGCTTAGCAAGGGGCAGCCATGGCGGCTGCAGCTTCGGGGTTCTGTTTGCGGGCCCCCAGCAGGCTGCGCCTGCCCTTGACTGTTCGGCACGTAGGTGTATGTGGACGGGCGCTCAGCTGCAGGTAAGAAACGCGTAGGGGAGTCCAGGGGGAGGACTCCGGCGGCTTTTGGCTTAGTCTGGCGCGGCCGCGGCCGTGCTAGGGACGGCTGGTGGCGCGCGCCGGGCGCCCTCCTGCCGCGTGCTCCTCCAGCCCGGCGGCCAGAACCCCCTCCCCGCCCCCCGACCTCTGGGACGGAATCCGTGGCACGTGGAAACTGCTCCTTGGTTTTATCTACCCAGGGGCTGACGCTGTTGGCAAGACCAGGTTCTGCTCTCCAGCGGAACCAGCCTCTTCCTACTGTAATCATTAGCCAGCCCACTCTCAGTGATAAAGTTGTCGTTGCTCTTAACATCAGGCAGCGTGGAGCACTAGAATTTCCCAGAACTCTCTGGGCCGGGCACTGTGTAAAAGTTCTGAACAGGCTCTTGGGATGACTGTCGGTTGCAGCCTGTCGATTATAGAAGTTTTTTCACTGATCAGATTCATTGGTAGGCTAGGAGTTTTTTTGTTTGTTTGTTTTGCCGTCATACTGGCTTTGCACCCGGGGATCATTTCTGGGACTACTCGGAGGACCATCTGGGGTGTCGGGATTGGAACCCTCAGCGCCCTCTAGGCAAGCGTGGTACCTGCTATGCTATCTCTCTGCCCTTGGGTTGTAGTTTATAATAAGTAATTGAGAAAACTGCAGTTTAGGACTTGATGTTCATATTTCATTTTCTTCATAGGATGGTAGACAAATTAATTCACTTGTAAATTTGATCTAGCACGGACCTCTAAGAAAATAGGAATAAGTGAGATAATGTAGTTTACAGCACATGATTCTTTTTCTTATATTTAAAAGGATGGGGATCCGGTGATGTTCAGGTCTTACTCCTTACTCTCTGCTCAGGAATCATTCTTCCAAGTGCAAGGGGGACCGTGGCCCCAGTGATTCAAATCAAACTCGGATCAATCGCATGCAAGGCAGGCGCCTCCTGTACTATCTCTCCTGCCCACTGCAGTGTAAGCCTCCACCTAGTCCTGCAGAAGCCTTACTGCCCAGACTCAGTCTTGGTTTTGCAGGTGGTACTCTGTGTTGCCATTCTCCTACCCATTTCCTTTGCCTGGCAGCAGTATCTTCCCCTTCAGCTTCCATCCGTTGATCTGTGACTTAATAGCATAAGAAATAAGTAACTTCTTTTGTGAAATATTCCTAACTGATAGAGACATTCTTGTTTTAAAGTGATGCCTGAGGGTTGGAGAGATGGTTCAGAGAATTGGAGAGCTTTGCATGCAGGAGCCTAGATTTCATCCCTGAATGCCATGGTATTTGGAGCACCACCAGGAGCACGAACCAGCAGCCTGGTTCGAAGGGTATGGTCCCAAACTCCAGAATAAATAATACATCACTTATTATATAACAATAAGTGATGCCTTAGACCAGACAGCAGTATCAAGAGTGTTTTTCTATTTTGGCAATTTTTTAAACAGTACAGATGCCATATAGAGAAAGGAAACACACAGAAGACACACATTATCTGTAGTGTGTTAGCTATTTTTATTTTTCGAGTATGATCAAAGCCTTTTGAAACCAAGTCGTGGGTCAGGATGAAAATAAAAAATAGCAATTCCATGTTTTAAACTGCTCTTTCCTGATTGAAATGAAAAATTATGGTGATATTAGATTCATAATCATATTTGCCCTAATATGGATAGCTTTATCAGGAACACGATGATTGGGATGTTGCTGTAAAACCAGCTGATAAATTGTTCTTAGAGTGTTAATCAGCTTTTCAGATTTTTCATTAGCTATTAAACTTACCCCTTTTAGGACCAGAAAGATAGTACAGTTCTACGTACCCCGTTTGATTGTAGGTACATGACGGGGAATGGTCCAGTTCCCTCTCAGTCCTGTACCTCACCAAAGAAACTACCCCTACCTCACTCTTCCCACTGCCCTTTTAAAAAATTATGTAATGAGCTTGCATGGGTTAAATCATTTTGACTATATTGTTTATCTCTTGCCCATTTTGTAATTTAACATTCTTGAGGCTGTTTTCTAACTGAACATTGACACAAATTATCTAGTTTGATCTATGGTGTGGTCCTAGGCCTCAGATTGTACATAGGTTAGGAGGAACTTCAGGTAGGAACATTAATGAATGTTAGCTTTAGGATTTTTTTTTTTTTGCAGGCCTTATTCTGGAAGTATTGCTGTTTCAAAGGTTGAAGGAACTGATACAACTGGTAAGAAAAATATTGTTATTATAAAATGTTGCTACTTTGTAATAATAGTATTGAGAAACTTTCACTATTTTATTTTTTTCACAAAGGGGTTGAAGAAGTGGTCATTCCGAAAAAGAAAACATGGTGAGTATTATGTCAAACATGGTGAATATTTCGTCCTGTAAATTCATTGGGTGATTGAGACTTCATATGAATGAAATGCTGGAAAAGATTCAGTGGCCTGAAGCTCATTCAGAGAGTGTTCTTGGAGAGAAAGTTGGAAAGTTAGAGAGTCCCAAAGAGCATAAAGTGCATTGGGGTGCATTGGGGTTGAGAGCACATGCTTTGTATGGATGAAGCCCTGGTTTTGATCCCAGGCTCTGTGCACACACACGGAACAGGAGAGAGAAGATGCAAGTAGTGAGTGGGGAGTAAGATTTATCAAGATTAGGAAGGGAGGGGTGCAGAGAGAGTACAGTTGGTGGGCACTTGCCGATGACCCAGGTTTGGTCCCCCAAAACCCACTAGGAGTAAGCCCTGAGCACTGCTGGGTGCTTGCCTTTTATGCGGCTGACTCAGGTTCGATCTCTGCACCACACAGGGCCATGAATGATCCCTGAGCACAGAGCCAGGATTAAATAAGCCCCAAGCACTGCCAGGTGCAGGCCAAAGACAATACCCTCCCACCCCACATGTTTAAAAGAAAATAAAGGATAAAAACATCTTCAGGGCTAAATTTGGGTTAACATTTTTGAGAGAGGAGGTGAAAGTAACCTCTATATATAGCCTTTAAGAAGGTCAAAATTAATGATACTGACAAAAATTTTTTCTTCTTCTTTTTTTTTTTTTTTTTTTTTTTGGTTGATACTTCGCAGTGCTTGAGGGCTACTCCTGGCTTGTTGGTTGAGGGTCTTTCTTGGCAGTGAACCAAGACTGAATCAAGATGGCTTCTGCATGCAAAACATGCTTAGTTCTTACAGCAATCTCTCAGTCCAAAATGCTTCTGTTTTAACTCAGTAAAAAGATTCTTGAGTGAACTGCCTATTTTTTTTTTTTTGTTTTTCTTTTTCGAACTGCCTATTTAGCGTAAAAGTTCTTGTAGAAAAGTTTTAATTGGGTGTGTTTAAAGACTCAAAAAAAAAAAAGGTCATTCCCTCAGTGATCAGAAGATTCTGGTACATTTAAGAAAAAATTTTGGAGGCATTGCCTGTAAAAATGACCTCTTTTGAAGCTATTGAAGAATCTGAATGTCAGTCCTTTAAGACTTGCATGAATGTCACTACAGAAAACCTAAGGGACTTTTTTATTAGCCCCTCCACTCTGAGAGGAGAACCAGTTGTTTGCTTTGTATGAAAATTCCTGATGAGGGTTAACTTACGGTTTTCATTCTCAGGGATAAAGTGGCTGTTCTTCAAGCTCTTGCATCCACAGTAAACAGGGTAAGTAAAGAATTCTAGGACTTTGCATCTAAAATAGCTAATAGCAAATGCATTTATTGTTCACACCTCTTTGTTATGTAGAATTAAACGTCTGTGAATCTAGAAGTTTTCTTAAATATTGTCTAAGTCAAACAACCATTCATGCGACAAGTGAATCTTAAAAGTTTTTGAAGTAAGTGGTCTTGGTCTCATTAGGATGATAAAGTCTGGATTTAGTTTCCTGTTTGAAATTCTTGAAATTTAATATATCTACTATACCAATGTTGCTTAAAAACTTATTCTTCTGAAGAGTGAGCTAATGCAATGTGTGTTCCCGGGGAATAGTTTGTACTGTCATGCAGGATATCTTAGATCAGCTGTGGGAAATTGTGTCCAGGCCACGCTAAAAATATGGAACATGAGTTTACAAAAGCCAAATATTTTGTTCCATAGTCAAGTAGCTAGCTTTGTGATTACCTTTTCAGTATGGTCTTTGTTAACTTTTTCCTTTTTTTTTTTTTTTTTTTTGCATAGTAGTTATTTTTTAATTCTCTGTGTATTTTGTGTTTTCCTGGAGTAGGGGTATTTTTGGGCCTGGGGGTCTCCTAGTGTTTGACTAGTACTTTAGCATGTAAGAGGTACTCAGTATTGGCTGGATGTATAATGAATGCCTTGCACTCAGTTGGCAGTTAGCAAAGAGACAGTGGCGTCAGTAGGCAGAGCTATTAAGATGCTGGAGTTGGCTCAGTCTGGTAACAGTTTCACTGAGTAGAAGAAGAATACCTTCCAGCTCAATTGCAATGTGCTCAGTGCCATTTATTAAAATAAGATAGGAAGGAGATTAATAATTTCAGGAATAAATTGGATTGAACTAGACTGTTAAGTGTGGTGTGTGATAAGGAATCCAGCGTGGCGTCTAAACAGGGTCTCAGATTAGTATTCTCCAATGCTGATGGGGGATCAGAGCCTGCACCAACTGTTTGAGCTGAACAGGGAGGAGCCTGTTACACTTGCACTAGAACTGTACTTCTGTTTATTATATCCTTGCTGCATTACTCAAGGGGGGCACGTAGCTAGCCAATAGGCCCTGAGGGGGCTTGGGTCTTAAAAATGACAGCAGGAAGATAGGACTGAAAAATACTGCCTCCCTTGAGAGTCATAGACAAGGAGTGCTCTAAGAGGAGTTTAGGACAAGGCACCGGGGCTGGAAGAAATCTGGGTATCGGTGGGTTTGCCTTAGGAATCAAAGGCCCCAGAACTGCAGAAGGGGAATCAGAAAGAGGAAGAAAGGAAATAATTTGAGGGCAGTTCTAAATGTGTACTTGGGAAGAGAGGGTAAATAATTGCTCAGAAAATAGAACCGTATAGAATGTTGTGGTAATATAGTAGCAGAATAATTTAATGAGGAAGGACAAGACAAAGAAGAAGCTGCATCTCCTCCCCGGGGTTCCGGTGGTACCTTCCAGTTGAGGAGGAACTCGGTCAGTGGAACTAGCTAGTTTGGAAGGAAAACAGTGTAAGAAACTATTAACTAGTTAATAGTTAATTCAGACTAGTTAATTCAGAGGATTAATCCCTGGAGTCTAATTGAAGTAATAGACACATCTTTTTCTGTTTGTTTTGGGCCACACCTGGTGATGCTCAGGCTTAGTCCTGACTAGATTGGGACTTGAACCAGGTCGACCTTGTGTAAAGCAGGTGCTTTAGCCACTGTGCTAATGCTCTAGCCCTCTTTGTTGTTGTTGTTGTTGTTGTTTGGGGCCACACCTGAAGGTGCTTGGGACTGGGCTGTTCTAGGGATCAAATCCTGTGCTTCTGTATACAAAACTGTAAGGTTTGGGCCTCTGGGGACAGAGAGATACTATAGGAGGCAGGCACCACCCCCTGCTCAATCCCTGGCACTGCTATGATCCCCAAGCACTTCCGAGAGTAAGCACCAAGCACTGCCAGGTATGTTTCCAAACACCCCCTTATTCTCAAACCACCATAAAACACCAGAAATTAAGACCTCACATAGCCTGCTTGATCCCCAGCATTGCATGGACCCCCTGAGCATGGAAGCCGGAATCACTCCCAGTCACTGACTGATATGGGCTATGCCTCTATCACTTGGCCACAGAAAGGACTAGTTTTGGGGTATCCATTATTTTCTGTTGCATATAATCATAATTCAGTCTGACAAAACTTAGTTTATTTAGGTATTAGGGTATCTTTTTTTGTATATGTGTATATAGAAAGGTTTATTAAACATCATCTATATCCTGAATATAATTAAAAGTAACGATTTATAATTAGCACTAAAATTTGCACAGTTCTCACTGAAAATCTCACTGAGGGACCGAAGAGATCGTACATCTGGTAAGGCACTTACCTTGCACACAGATGACCCAGGCAATCCCTGGCACCCCTGTAGTCCTCTGAGCACCATCAGGAGTGATTGCTGAGTGCACAGCCAGGAGTAACCCCTAAACAAGGCCAGGTATGGCCCTAAAACCTAAAAACCATAACAATCTCCCTGCTCCTGCCAAAAAATGTCACTGAAGAAACTCTTCTCCACAGGATGCCACAGCAGTCCCTTACGCCTTTCAGGATGATCCTTATCTCATACCAACATCTTCCTTGGAATCTGTAAGTATTTTTTAATAATTTAAATTACTCGGTTTTATTTTGCTGGTGTGGATGCAAGGGTGCCTCTGTATTTTAGAAAGACCTTTGAAAAATAGGTGCTCATATTTTGGGTAGATTTTCTAAAATGAATCAGGAAGATTTAGAGTTAATCTCTGGAAAGGGTTTGGGGTTGGATTTTTTTTTTTTGTAGGTATATTGCTATTTATTCAGCCACTGATTAGCTGATTGAATTGTGCATGAACTCCACCTTACTTTTACTTTTTTTTCTATTTTTTTATAATTTTATTTATTGAATCACCATGAGAGCAGTTACAAAGCTTTTGGGTTTAAGTTCGGTCATACAGTGAAACACCCGTACCTTAACCAGTGCCCGTTCTCCACCACCAAAAATCCCAGTATACTCCCATCCCACACTCCCCCTACCTGTGGGGCAGATGATTTCCACATTACTCTCTCTCTACTTTGATCACATTCAATATTTCGACACCAGACCCACCATTACTATTTGGGATTTTACCCCAACACTCAGATCTGCCGAAAAAGCAACAGTAGACAATTTGTTTTCTATTGCTGGTTATAAATAACATATGATGTCGTGACTGTAGTAGTGGCTGCGCGATTTTCAAATTCCGAAATTTTAACAATTAAATCTGGAGGGATTTCTTGTCAAAACCTACTGGGTTCCGAGATTTGTTCCTGAATCTCTAGGATCGTGGCCGTTAAGCAGCTTGATCAGGAGCCAGAGAGGCTGTTTGTGGGTGGTAACTCAGGGTTTTGTTGGGACGAGGAGGGTTTTGTTGGGACGGGGAGGAAAGGGCTGGTTCCACCCCCATTCCATGAGGCCCCACGTGTCTAGTCACTGCAGGCCTGAATCTAACTGCTCAGTGACCTCTGGAGGATGGCAGCCACTGAACCGCCAAGGGGGAGCAGGCGGAGGGACAGCACCCTTTCCCCCCTGGGGTGGCCCGGCAACAGTAACCTACTGTGGGTTCCAGACATATTTCTGACAAAAGCTGCTGGGTTCCAAGATTTGTTTCTGAGTCTCTTGGATCATGGCTGTTAAGCAGCTTTATCAGGAGCCAGAGAGGCCATTTGTGGGCTACGACTAGGGATCTCATTGGGACGGGGAGGAAAGGCTGACTCCACCCCCCATCCTGTGAGGCTCCGCATGTCTCCTCACTGCAGGCCCAAACCTGACTGTCCAGTGGCCTCTGGAGGATGGCAGGCACTGCGCCTCCAGGGGGAACAGGCCAAGACATGGAACCTATTCCCACCTGGAGTGGCCCAGCGCCAGTAACCTACTGCAGGAACAGGACGCATTTCTGCCAAAAGCCACTGGGTTATGAGATTTATATCCGAGTCTGGGATTGTGGCCATTAAGCGGCTTGATCAGGAACCAAAGAGGCCGTTTGTGGCAACGAGTTGGGGTCTCGTTGGGGTGGGGAGGAAAGGGCTGGCTCCACCCCCATCCGTGAGACCCCTCGTGTCTTGTCACTGCGGTCCCAAACCTGACTGTCCAGTGGCCTCTGGCTGATGGCGGTCACCGAGCTGACAAGGGGGAGCAGGTGGAGGGACAGCACCCTTTTCCCCCCTGGAGTGGCCCAGATATAGTAACTTATTGCAGGGTCCGGAAGCATTTCTGCCAAAATCCGCTGGGTTTTGAAATTAGTTTCTGAGTCTCTGGGATCATGGCAGTTAAGCAGCTTGAGCAGGAGCCAGAGAGGCCATTTGTGGGCGGTAACTTGTGTTCTTGTTGGGACAGGAAGGAAAGGCCAGCTCCACCCCCATCCCATGAGACCCCACGTGTCTCATCACTGCGGGCCCAAATCTGACTGGCCAGTGGCCTCTGGAGAATGATGGCCACCAGGGGGAACAGGCCAAGGCACGAAACCTATTCTCACCTGAGGTGGCTCAGCACCTGTAACCTACTGCAGGGACTGGGCGCATTTCTGTCAAAAGCCGTTGGGTTTTGAGATTTTGTTTCTGAGTCTCTGGGATCATGGCTGTTAAGCAGTTCGATCAGGAACCAGAGAGGCCTTGCTTCCAGTTATATAGCTGAGCTGGTGGTGATTTGTGGGTGTGTCTCCCACATACCTAACTTTTGGCTATTTGCTTTCTTGGTAAACTTTGCCCCAAGTTTTGGGGGTCTGGCCAAAGGCATAGCATCAGTTTTGGGATATCTGGAAGCCTGAAGGTGCCATGAGGCTGCCGATGCACTCGCCTCACAGGTACAGACAGACCTGCTGGCACCATACCCCTGGGGTTGGGTTTTTAATATTTAACTTTTCTTCACATTGTAGCAGCCACAGAATTTAAATTGTTTCCCAGGTTGGGAGAAGCATGCTGAAAATAGACTATAGACAGAACATGATTGCCATTCAATGCCTCTTTTGCAAACCACAGCACCCAAAAGGAGAGAGAATACAAAAGGGAATACTCTGCCACAGAGGCAGGGTGGGGTGGAAGGGATAGGGGGTGGGAGGGATACTGGGATCCGTGGTGGTGGAAAATGGGCACTGGTGGAGGGATGGGTACTTGATCATTGTATCATTGAAACCCAAGCACAAAAATTTGTAAATCTACAAATGTACCTCATAGAAAGAATTAAAATTTTTTTTTTTTATATCTTAAAATGTATAGAATGTAACCTGATGGTGACAGATCCCTCCCAAATGTGGGAGAGGACACAACCCCAAAACAATAAATGATCCCTCATGCTGACATTAAAAAAAGAAAAAATGTAACCTGAAGTCATCTCACTCATCACAATGGGAGATGATGATTTGTATAAGGAGTCCATGTATTATACATATATTTTTTAAGGGAGGAAAGCAACAGTAAAAATTCATGCCTATGGTATAACTTTGCTACCTTGAGTCTGTTACATGTAAATACCAGTAACTGGATTATTTTCTTTTATCTTAGCATTCATTTTTATTGGCAAAGAAGTCTGGAGAGAATGCAGCGAAGTTTATTATTAATTCACATCCTAAATATTTCCAGAAGGACATAGCTGAACCTCATATACCGGTAAGGAGATGTAACAGATATTTGGAAAAATCCGTAAATTAACCAGATTCTAATAACTGATCTCTGAGTAATCATTTGAATACTCTCAATGTTGGAATGAACATCTTTTAACCTGTATAAGCTTTCTTTCTCACTGTACTAACCCTTTTAACTTCTTTGTGTATATGCTTCTTGTTTTCCACATTTAGCTTTTGTAACTCCGGGCTCTTAGGTATTTTTTTTTTTTTTACCTCTTTCATTCTTTTTTTTTAGATTCTCCTGATTCTTTTAGGAGCTTTCTCATCTATTCCTTGAACAGTGATGTCTTGGGTTTTTCTGTTCTCAGTCACTTTCTCTTTGCTCCTGAAGTCCTGGTCCATGTCATATGCCTTTTGGTGTGTTTGTGTAGCTACTCTGCTTTTAACTCTGGTGTCCCCTGCTCCCTCCTTTTCTCTTGTCAAAAAAGAGCATTTGTGCAGTATGTGCAGTATTTCAGACGCTATGCGTGAGCCTCAGTACGGTGGGAAGGGAAGCTGCCTATGCCCTCCTGGGTTTATTACTGGGGAGTAACCTCAGGCTCCTTGTCCCATATAACCCTTCTCACCACCTCCTCGCTTCCCTGGAAACACCTCATGCAGCCCAGTGCTCCAGAGCACTGACTTCCACGGTGAGGAAGCCGTGGCACTGTGTGAGCAAAAAGACAGACTCCTAGAGCGAAGGTGATGGAGCCCTGCAGATGGGAGGCCCTGAGGTGGAATCCTGGGCCCGCACCTCTCTCTCATACACACATGCCCGCCCACTGTACTCACTCCTTCTCATCGCTGGGCATGGCTTTAGAACAATAAAAATAAATAGTTGTCTGAAAGTATCAGTAAACCTGAGGTCGATCTCTCTCTCTCTCTCTGTCTCTCCCTATTTGTCTCTATCTCTCTCTACCTTTACCTCCACCACCCCACCCCACCCCCATCTCCTTGCAGCATCTCTTTCTCTTAACCTCCCTGCTCCACCCCCCCATCCTCGCATTGCAGGGACTGGCTCTTAGAACAATAAAAATAAATACTTGGCCTAAAACTCAAGAAACCTGAACTAAGATCTTGGCTGTGGCCATTTATTGAAGTGCTGTTTTCCTTTGTGTTTTTGGCTAACAGTTTTTCGTGTTGGCTCCCTTTTGCTGGATGCTTTCCGGGTGTCCCCTGCATCTGGGGCAGGCAGCACTGTCATACCAGTCTGTGTTGCTCACCATCTCACTTGTTTCTTTGGTATCCATTATCTAGTGAGTACTCAGAAGTGTTTGGATTTCCCTAGTATCTGCTTAAGGTTTCCTTAAGAAGTGGGCATTGAAAAAGTTTATGATTCAATTAGTTTTGAATTAAAGTCAGCATACATTGGTGCAGTAAATGCTTAGAGTGAAAGAAGTTTCATAAAGAAAACTACATGTGCTGTGCAGTGCTTTTAAGCAAGATTGGGAGAGGTAAGACAGCAGCACATCAACAAACGACCATAACCGGGATCTTAGTTCAGGCTTCCTGATTTTTTCAGCCAAGTATTTAACTGAATGGAGGGAAAATACTAAACTCAAAGTTGGGAAATTTAACTGGAAATGGGATTCTTAAATATGGATTAGTTTAACCTCGAGATTCTCCTCAAGCTAGGAGATGCCTAATCTTGTATTCCATTGAAACTCTGGAGACTTATTTTGTTGACAGGGTCAAGGGGTAGGAGGTGGACCATATTCCATAGTGCTCAGACTTAATCCTGTCTCTGTGCTCATGTATTAACCTTGTGGCATATGGAGATGGAACGTATGTGGTGCCAGAGATCAAGCTGGGTTGGGGCGCATGCATGGCAAGCTCTATACTATCTTTCGTGCCCTTTCTCATCTTTTAGTTTCCATTTCTTCCACTATAAACACATTTGTGTAAAGATAAAGAACTCTGGTCCATGAAAAACATGAATGAGATCAATGTAATTTTATTTTGGTATTAATAAAAGTTTTTTCCTACTTGCCTTTGCCTATTTGTCCTAACACTGGTATCTCATTTTCCTAGTGTTTAATGCCCGAGTGCTTTGAACCTCAGATTGAAGATGTAAGTGAGGCCGCCCTGCAGGAACGTATCAAGCTCAGAAGAGTGAAAGCTTCTGTAAACATGTTTGATCAGCTCTTACAAGCAGGTGACTAAGTTTATTTGCAGCCACTCTAGCAATGTGTGCTTGAAATTAACATTTATATACTCAGATTAGTTGTGAGTAGAAGTTAGAAAGTGCTGCTGTATGTACTGTGCTTAATAACTATGTTGATGTGCTAATAGTTTACTAAATAACTTTTTTTATTTTTTTTTTTGGCTTTTGTTTTTGGGTCACACCTTTCTATGCTCAGGGCTTACTTCTAGCTCTGCACTTATGGATCACTCCTGGCAGCGCTTGGGAGCCCAAATGCAGTGTCTAAGATCAAATCCAGGTAGCCTGTGTGCAGGGCAAATGCCCTTTCTGTTGTACTGTCTCTTTGACCCCAGCTTTATTTTTGAATTGTAGGTGAGAAAAAGTTGGAACTTTGTTCATTTTTTTTTCTAGTGTTACAATTACATGGTTGTTCTTAGCTTTGTTCTGTAAGTAGGTATAAGTGTTTTAGTGTTCTGTTTTTTTTTTTTTTCCACTTTGATTTTTGGTCATCACCAGACAGTGATCAGGGGCAACTACCTATACAGAGCTGGAATAGTCATTGTTCCACAGTGCTTGGAGAACTGTGTGGTGCATGAAATTCAACCCAAAACTCCCATATGCAGAGCTTGCTCTCCAGTCTGTTGAGCTCTTCCAAGTCTCATTAGCTTTCAATTTTGATGTGTAGAGGGGGGAGTGTATTATATTCAGGTATCCTGTGTTTACGAAGGAAGGAATACTAAATTGCAGAGTCTGTGGTTCGGGTACTGGTTCTAGTTGTAACATTAATAGCACAGCAGTAGGGCGTTTGCCTTGCACGCAGCCAACATGGCCTACCCGAGTTCGATTCCTCCGCCCCTCTCGGAGAGCCCGGCAAGCTACTGAGATTATCTCGCCCGCACGGCAGAGCCTGGCAAGCTACCCGTGATGTATTCGATATGCCAAACACAATAACAACAAAGTCTCCAATGGAGACGTTACTGGGCCCGCTCAAGCAAATCGATGAACAACGGGAGGACAGTGACAGTGATTCTACTCTAATGAATCAGTCATTCTAAATGAGTTACTTGATTCCTTATGGTGACTTTCCAGACGTATAGGGCGTGTCCATAAACTTAAAGGAAGCAGTAGCATCCTTTGAGTTTATTGAGTGATTTAGAATGAAAACCAAACGGAGAAAAGTGAACTAAACCACTCAACAATACTGAATACAGGGCGAGAGCGATAGAGCAAGTAAGGTGCTTGCCTTGCACGAGGCTGACCCAGCTTCCTGAGCTCTGCCGGGAGTAAGCTGAGTGCCACAAGATATATGTCCGTGTCCCCCCTGCCCCAACTCCCCTTCTCTTCCCCTCCAGAAAAAGAATCTCAAGGCCTACATCCTAGTGGTATAGTTGGTTGTGTTTGTAAGAATGAACTGGACCGGGAAACTTAAGTGGCAGTAATTTGCAGAGGATTTGGATTGGAGATGCTCGTGAAAACCATCAGATAGGGCTGAGGGGACTGGATCAAATGCTAGGGCACTTACCTAGCATGTGCCAGGCCCTGGGTTTAGTCCTGGCATCACATGCCCTTGGCATCTCAGGTGTCCTGATTGCCCCTACACCAAGCACTGTTGGGTTTTTGCCCCCACACCCTTCTTCCCCCCTCCCCAAATCACTGCATAGCTCTGTGAGCACAGACTTGGAATATTCTTACGGGTGTAAGTGAGACTTCACCACACTTCATCTTGGTTTTTTAATCTTGTCAAAGCACACTGGTTAGTAGGGATTGTTTCGCTGCCTCACTCCAGTATTTCAGTTAATATGGAGTATACACTCATCCTTTGATAAGGTGATGATGGTTCTAAATAACCAAAAAGGAAGAATTTTAACTGGGAGGGTTTTGTTGTTTGAAGCTTAAAGGTTTCTTGCCTTTTTTCTTTACCCGTAGGAACTCCTGTGTCTCTGGAAACAACTAATAGTCTCTTGGATTTATTGTGTTACTATGGTGACCAAGAACCCTCTGCTTACCACCATTTTCAGCAACAATCAGAAGAGTTGGTAATGGCTTTTAAAAGTTTTTCTTAGTAGAAAAAGGGGAAGGGGCTAAAGCGATAGCACAGCGGGTAGGGTGTTTGCCTTGCACACTGCCGACCCGAGTTTGATTCTCGGCATCCCATATGGTTCCCTGAGCACCACCAGGAGTAATTTCTGCCTGCGTAAGCCTGGAGTAACCCCTGTGACCCTCCCCCAGGAAAAAAGAAAAGGGAAGGAGGATTCTTGTGCTTCTTGTGCTCCGTGCTAAGGCAATGGAGATTTGCTTTGGGGTACATGCAGTAAGAGAGCTCAGATAGAAATTGGTGGGTTCCACTCTTGCATTGCAAGTCACTCAGCCTTTTATTGTTGCCGAGTACTTGAGTACTGAGCACTGCTGGGTGTGCACCCAAAACAGAAACAAATCATAGTGAAGCAGGGCGAGTGGGGTTTTCCGATTCTGTCACTGTAAACAGCAGAAGAGCCGGCCCAAACAATCCGAGATGGTTTTGCCTGTGTGGACCAAATGCGAATCGGTACTACAGAGATTTAGGCACTAGGCCCTGTACCAGACCAACCCCAGCTTGGGGTCAATCCCCAGCACCACGTCTAGTTCCCTGTACACCACCAGAAATGGTGTACTGGAATGAGATCTCAGCACAGTCAAGTGTAAGCCCTGAGCACAGCCAGGTGTGATCCAGATTCCCCCTACCACAGCCACCACTCCCCCAAAGGCAGGGGCACAACTAGACCGGGGCTGTAGGGCGGTGCTGTGCAGGGAATGAATTCTGGGTATTGAATACAGCCTAGAAGCAGAACCCAAGAAACATTTGGATCAGAGATGAACGAGGAGGTATATATATTTTTATGCTGTATCAAGAGATGCAAAAACAAAAAATGGGGATATAGATCTGGTATGGAAATAAAGAATAAGCAAGGTAGTAGGCCAGAACAGAGCTTTTCCTTTTTCCACTCGAGACCTCTTCTTACCTGAGAAATGCAACACCACGAGCAACCCAAAGCATCCTGGATTCAGAGGCTGCAACAATAACGCATAAGGTTCTCGCTCCACATACAACCGACCCAGGTTTGATCCCTGGCACATCCATATAGTCCCCCGAGCACCACCAGGAGTAATTCTTGATTGCAGAGCCAGGAGTAACCCCTGAACCCTGAACCTTGCCAGGTGTGACCCCTAAAACCAAAAAAAAGAAATAGCTTGAATTCATTACATATTTGCTAATTGAAGTTTTTATTGTTGGTACATTCAGTCTTTTACTATTGTCAGTTATTTTTTGAGCCCCATATTTAGTTGCATGACCTCAGATGGGATTGCGACCATATTTGAAGGAACAAGGACCTCCGCAGTGTATGATTCCATTTTAATAAAAAGTTTTTCGTATGAGTAAGGGAAAGTATCAAAGAGTGTTATTGGGGTGGGAGATGGTTCATGTGGCCAAATGAGTGCCAGAGTCTCAGTTCCTGGCTCTGTCCTGCCCTGCCGCCTCTGGGTGTTGTCCTGCTGCTCCCTGAGCCTCTCGTCGGGCGTGTGCTCTCACCCTTTAAGCCACCCTTGTCAAATGCTTAATTCTTTCGATGTTGGTTCGTTTCAGGAAGAGACCACAGAGGAAGATAGTGAGAAGCCAAAGAAGAGGCCTGTTCATCAGTTATACAAATTGACTTGGAGGTACGTTCTACAGAGCTCATATTGTGGCTTATTCCACTGCCTGGTATGTTCCCTATCTCTCAGAAGAAAGGTAATGACCCTATAATGTTCTAAGTATTACCTAAAGTATTGTCAGTGTGGTGAAATGCTGTAATTGACATTTATAGGGGTATTTTCTTCATCCTTTTCCCAGACGATCTCTTCCTCTCTAAGAAGGGTTTGTGTGTGGTGGTGGGGAGGGGCAGGAGAGATACTGGGGACATTGTTGGTGAAAAATGTACACTGATGTTGGGAATGGGTGTTTAATCATTTTATGACTGAAACTCTGTCTTGAAAGCTTTGTAACTATATCTCACAGTGACTCTAATTAAAAAAAAAGGAAGATTTTTACCTCTTTACCTCTTAACAACAGCTGTCCATATTTGGTTTTCTCTTTTCCTTCATTTAACTCTATGGCCTTTATAATAATTTTATTAGTAATTCTACTCGGCAGTAGATAGCTCTAATTCTCAAATTGCTTAAGAATACACATGTGGGGGCCAGAAATACAGTACCACAGGTAGGGTGCTTGCCTTGCATGTGGTCGACCCAAGTTCAGTCTCCAAAAAGCCCTAAAACAGAACAAAATAGAGACCCATGGGCTAGAGAGAGAGTACAGCACCCGACCTGATACTGATCCCCTGCATCCTCTGAGCATCACCAGGTGTGACTCAAAGACAAGCAAAAAAAAAAAAATATATATATATATATATATATATATGCATCTATAATAATGTAGTTCTAAATTAAGAGATTTTGCCAGCAAGCAAGAATTGTTACTATGTTTTGTTTTGGCCTTTGAAGAGAGAACAGTAGGTGCTGTGGCTCCCCAGCTTGGCGTTGGCAAGTGCTCCTGGTATTGTTCGGTGACGGTGTGATGCTCCGGACAGTGTGGGCTTCTTACAGGCAGAGCATGCTGTGTTGTCTTCTTCCCAGACATCATTTCTGAACAAAAGAGCCACGTTTAATTATTTGCCAATTTACATAAGCAAAAGTGTCTAGACAAAACTACTGTGTTTGGGTACCTAAAAAAGGAAAACTCCTGTTATCTGAAATATACTTTGAAGTGAAAAATGAAATATTTTTGGTATATTTTTATAGTTTCATGTAGTGGAAAGTATCATAGACTCAAGTGCCATTCTCACTCAGATCCTGGTTCTAAATTCTGAGAGAGAGAAACTAAGTATGACAGGTGGTCTTTATTTTTCACTAGGCATATGGTTGCTGGGGTATAATACCTATATATGCTGGATGATGCTAAGATTCAAGTCCGATTGTCTCTGGAAAACTTGACTTTGCTCTTGGCTCAGTACTTACCTGTATAAAAGGCGTTTTCATAAAATGCCTTTTCAGTCCTACTCCTGTCACTGACTGACAAACTTTGGACAACTTAAGGTCGGTGAGCCTTAGTTATTTCCGTTTTCAGAATAACTACAACCCATTATTGGCGACATGAATCATTTGAAATTATATGCAAAAAATACTTAGTGTACTGTGAGTTCACAAAGTGTGGGGGTGGCCCATTTTGATGCCGGGTTAGCTTCACCACTCGCCCCGAATCCATCCCAATCCCATGGCGGGACCTCTCTTTGTGGGGTGTTAGGAACTACGGCAACCGAAATCTGAGTCAAGTAATTATGATGGATACTAAGGAGTAGATATATTTCAGAGTCGGTCAGCTCCCAGGTATTAGTACATAACATTAATGGTCTTTCTGTGTTTAAGCAAAGGACATTGCTCTGTGGTAAAATATGGAAAGGCTGTAAGGGAAATAGAAAAGCAAGTAATTCACTATAAATGCAAAGACTAGGGTTACCAGAAAGTTTGACTCATAAGTAACCAGCCCTGACTTGGGAAATTGTGACAGTGAGAGGCAAAGCACAGTGGGAAAAAAAGTTAGAGATAAACTCGGGCTCAGGGATCGTCACAAAAGCACAGAAAGCTTTTCTGGGAGGAGGAGAAAGGGCAGGTCACTGATGAAGATGAAAACACTTACGGTTTACATCCAACACTGTAGTGCTTGGAACTGTAAACTCTAGTGAATTGTAGTGGCCATGTTCCATGTGTGTGTCGTCCCCCCTCGGTCTGCTTTCCCCCAGTTCACATTTATGTGCTTGTGTCTAGGGCGAAAAACAATGCTGAAAGAATCTTTGCTCTAATGCCAGAGAAAAATGCACATTCCTATTGCACCATGATCCGAGGAATGGTGAAGGTAACTTTTGGCGGCTTTTTTTGGTTTTTCTTTTTGAATGCTTTCTTAATTAAAGAATTAATTTTAAGAATTAAAGAATACTTTCTTTTTTCAATTTCGCCAAGTCAGGGTTTCTTAGCCTGAGAAGTATTCACATTTGAAGCCAGTCATTTGTTGTGGGGGCTTCCCAGCGCCCTATCAAATGTTCTGATTCTCCCAGACCCACTGCAGACCAGACTTGACCCTCACTACCTCAATTGTGACAACTGAAAATGTCCCCAGAATGTTACCTAATGCCTTAGTTGGCCCCAGTCAGAAACATTAGAAGATCAGCATCTTGTTTTGTTTACAGCTATTTTCTCAAACCCTAGAGCATTAGAGCATTAGATTTTCGATTGTTTTTTTTTTCAACACATACATTTATTGATTGCTTCATCTTTTTCTTTTAACCTTTCCCTTTTCTAGCACCGAGCTTATACACAGGCATTAGACTTATACACCGAATTATTAAACAACAGACTCCATGGTGAGTGTATCTGGAGAACTCCCTTCCCTCCTGCTCTTATTTCGTTTGAGCCTATGAACTCCTTGAATCTTGCTTTAGTCACTCTCTTGCTTCTGTTTTCCTGTGGGATTGGTAAATGAAGGAGGACTAGAAAAGAAATGCAGAGAGAGATTTTCTAGTTGTATCGACATATGTGAGAAGAGTTTTTACAAACCACATTTTGCATGAGAGGACCATTGAGGATCAATCAACCCCAAATTTTATCAAAAGTCTTCTTCTTTCAGCCGATGTTTACACTTTCAATGCATTGATCGAAGCAACAACGTGGTTGACAAATGAAAAATTTGAAGGAAAGTGGAATAGTGTACTGGTAAGTGTATTTCACCTTTGTTTTGTCTTCTAACAGATACAAGTTCCTTTATGTGGGAAGGCCTGGCTTGGTGCATCAGCTCTGGCTAGCCCTGCGGAGTGCACTGTGGGTTATCTGCTTATTGTCCTGGCAGTCCTGTTGTTTTGTTTGATGTTTTGGGGCCACACTCGGTTGTGCCCAGAGGTTACTCCTGGCTTTACACGCAGGAATCACTCCTGGGGGGCTCGAGGGACCATATGAGGTGTTGTGATTCACAGTTACTCATAGTTGGATTTCTGGCACATGGTGTCCCAGCACCAGGCCACCCCCAGTGTTTACAGGTTCCCTGAGCTCCCTCCTTGGCTGGCATCTGTTCAGGTTTGGTTGTTGTGATCTGGGTCTCGTGCTTTCAGTGTCGGCTCTTTGGTTTGGATCTGTAGAGATGGCACACTATCTGCCGCTGATGTAGCTGAGGCCCCTGGTTCCTACCCTGTTAACCTTCCATCTGCCTCTTTTTACCCACCTGCTAAACACTCCTCCACCAAGTGCTCCCCCACCCGCCCTCAGTTTTTTTCCTCCTCTGTCCTTATTTCTGTACTCCAGGGTGAAGGGTAATTTAGGTATCCCCTTTTATATGTTTTATATTTCCTCATTTTGCTCCTCTGTCTACCACAGATAAGTGAGTTCATCTGGTGTTTGTCCTTCTGACGGACTTAATAGGAAATTCTCCAGTTCCATCCGCGTTGCTATCAATTGCATAATTTCATTGTTTCTTGCAGCTATGTAGTATTCCATTGTGTGTCTACCACATTGTCATCAGACACATAGATTGGTTCAGTATCCTAGCTGCTTGCTAAGTGCTGCTGTGCAGAATGGTGTGCATGTGCTCTTTGGAATTTTGTCCTCCTTGGCAGAGGGACAGAAAAAGAAACCAAGAAGTAGAATTGCTGTGTCATGGCAGCTGTATTTTTTTCTGAGAAATTTCTCATTTCTGTCATTTAAATAACATGTCCCTTCCCCCAATATCACCGGCCTCTGAGCAGCTCCGCAGCCAACAGCAAAATCTTTGATTGCAAATGGCAGGGAAATAGAACATGGTTTAATGTACCTGCTTTTTATGCAGCCAACCGCGGCTCAGTCCCCAGAACCACAATGTTCCTCTCAGCATTGCCAGTAGCAATCCCTGTGTGCAGAACCAGGAATAGCCCTTGCATGTGGCTGGATGTGGTCCCCTGCACTTTTCCTGAAAATTAAAAAGGGAAATACCATTCTAGTCTGTCCTTGTGTTGAACATCTGAAGACCTGCTAGTGCTCAGGGGTAGCTGAACCTTCTCTAAAATGCAGTGTCTTTGAATAACATAGGTTAGGGACACATTTATTAATCTGCTTTATTGAAACTTAGTTGTGTGTGGAGAGGTACACCCAACATTGCATGGGAGACCTCTTTGAGCCACTTATTTTATTTTTCCTCTCAAGCCTTTATTGAAGAGCAGTGTTCCATAACCTCCTTTAAATATAGTCATTTAACTTCCTATCACTATATGTAAAGTCATATTTTTTTTCAGTATATAAGCCCACATTCTTTTTCAGTACATAATGTTAGCTTATCGAGCAGATTAATCTACTGGGTGTTAATCTCTTTGTGGATTAAAACAGGAGCTGCTGAAACAAATGGCTGCACAGAATGTGAAACCAAATCTACAGACTTTTAATACCATTCTGAAGTGTCTCCGAAGATTTTATGCATTTGGAAAATTGCCAGCCTTACAGACCTTTCGGGAGATGAAAGCCATCGGGATAGGTGAGGGGGTGCCCGCGGTCAGGCCAGCCAGGGGTTCTGGGTGAGAGCAGCTTCTCTCGAGTGTGCTGGGACTGCATCTTTCTCCTGTTTGGCAGACCTACTCATGTGTGATGTGTCTTTGTGTTCTCTAAGGCTGCTCATAGTGTTCTCTTAGTGGTGTCGATACTTTTATAGACCTCAGTTCCTGGGCAGATTACTCACTTCCAAGTTAGCTAATTTTAAATCCTGTGATGTTTTCTAGCATAATTATGAATTTGAATCTAAATATACCTTCATATGCCATATGCTTTCATTTGTCGAAGGTTATTTTGAGAATCTTCAGTCCGCTTTAGTGTTTGTGTATTTTGTTATTTTTGTTTTGGAGTCCACACTCTGCTGTGCTCAGGGGTTTATCCAAACTCTGCTCAGGATCACTCCTAGCAGTGCTCAGGATCTTGTGGGTATCAAATCCAGACTTTCCCCATTGGACTATCTGGTTAGTCCTGCTTTGGTGTTCAGAAATGGACATTAGGGCCAGAGAGATTGAGTACATGTTTTGCAAACAGATGGCTAGATTTAACACTGAGCACCGCAGGAAGTGACTTCTGAGCACAGAACTGGTTATGGAGGGGGGGGGGAAGATAAGAGTCATATTACTGATAGATTAGTTAGACATTTCAGTAACTAAATATAATTTGATCATTTTGATACTTAAACCCAGTGAGTCTCTATAAAAGGAAAGAGGAGCCCCATCTTTACTCTCTGTACTAGTGTCACTGTGTTCTTAGTTCACTGGGCCTCTATTCTAAAGAGCAGTGTTGAACTTACAGCATTTCTTCTTTTAATTTTCTAATCTTCCTGTCATTTCAGAACCCTCGCTTGCAACGTATCACTACCTTATTCAGCTGTTTTATCAACATGGTATGTATGAGATTATGTTACATTGATACATGTTGAACCAGTTTCAAAAACAAACAGTTCCTTTAAATTCATATGACTAGTAGTAGATCACCTTTGCATATGAATTAAGAATAGATAATTTGCCAGTTGTTTCCATCCTGAGCAAAATGTTATGAGAGCACTGGCTCTTGTGTGTGTGTGTGTGTGTGTGTGTGTGTGTGTGTGTGTGTGTGTGTGTGGTGTAAATGAGCTGATTGGGAGGGGAAGCAAATCCCTAAATTCTTTGATATGTTTAGAAGTGATCAGAAGGCACAGGAGTTTGCAGTTCCTTTGCTCTCCAAAGCTGTGTTGTGCTATCCAGTACAGTAGTGCCCGGCTGTGCAGACTATTGGATCAAGTGTAAAATGCCTTCATCCCAGTAGTGCCCTTCAGCTACTAAATTTACTGAAGCAGAGGAAAGACCTTTCCTATCACTGTCATAGTAGCTGTGACCTTGTTTGGAATCCCCAGGGGAGAGCCTTGCCAGAAGGGTCAGGAAGCTTGGGGAGCACGAGAACTAGACTTGTGGCTTGGAGCACTGCCCTGTGAACTGCATGTGTACTCAGCAGCTGCATCCTGACCCAAAGTGTGCCTGGGCTTGGGATAGAGGATGGGGCAGTGACCTCTGTGCTAGGTCTGGGCACTGGCACCAGAAACAAGCCCTGGGTCAAGCGCATCTGCTTTGTTTTGCAGAAAGTCCTTCGAAAGGTGCATCCCTCATAATCTATGAAATCATAAAAGAAATGACAGGGAAGAAATTTTCCCCAATGGATGTGGATGACGGTAAGTACAGAAATAGCTTATGGAGTCCGGAGCACTTGTGTAGTGGCTAGGGCGCTTGCCTTGCACTGGCTGACCCAGGTTCCATCTCTGGCACTCCATATGGTCCCACAAGCCCCGCCAGGAGTTATCCCTGAGAATAGAGCCAGGAATAAGCCCTGAGTACTGCCAAAACAAACAAAAAATAGCTTATGCAGTCGCAGGAAGAACCTTCTTTCTGTGCAAGTTACTAGACACCTTGTGTTGAGGACAGGATTTGATCTATTGGTAGATGCTTTGCAGTACACTTCCTGTTGAGTTTTTCATTCCTTTAGTGTTTTTTTCTTAGACAACATTAATTCTATGACTAGGACTGTTATTGTTGTTACTAACCCCAAAATGCATTTTAACCACAGTAACCAGGCTCTTGTGAACCTTGATTTTCAGATATGTTTTTTCAGTCAGCCATGAAAGCTGTAAGTATCATTTCTTTGCTTTTATTTTCCTTTCTCCTTTTATCCATTTCCTATCAATATCCATATCTGTTTCATACAGCTGGGTTGTATATGTGGGAAGGAGGATTCTCCCTCATTCTTCATTCCATAATTTTGTTCATGTCTTTCAGACTTCTAAAATTGCTAAATCATCTAACATCCCTTTCTTACCTATTCTGTAATTGTATATTTATTTTCATATCTCTCTTCATGTAAGGTATTTATATTTGCCTGGTAGGGCAGGGCCCCAGCTGTGCTGAGGGCATAGTTCTGGTTCTGCTCAGGGATAACTTCTGCAGGCTCAGGGGAACATATGTGAGACCCAAACCAGGGTCAACCGCAAGCTGGACAAGCACCTCGATCTTTACTATCTCTCTGGCCCTGTTAGTAAATTTTAGGGTTGATGAGTGGCTTTTAAGGTTGGTTTTTCAGTTTATCATGCTTCTCATGGGGAAAAAAAATCAAGCGGTTTCTGAATCCATAAGCATAGCCCATTCCCTCAGCATTATAATCTAGTTGGTATCTTTCCAGATTTTTTCTTAGTCCCAACACACATACCCGGGCACATTTTGTGTCTTGCTGACAAGAGTAGCTGCATAGTTGGGCAGGACTAGGATTCATGGAACACTGCTCCTGCAGAGATGTTGTGGGGTGGGTTTGCAAGGGCACCGATGCTGAACCTGCAGAGCAACCCAATCCATTCTCGTCGAAGGGATTCTAAATGTCTGTGATCACCAGATCAGAATTCTGTTTTAAATTTCACAGTATATGGGTTTTGTTCTTTTCTTAGTTTTTTATGGCTCCTTTGCTCTTAACCAGTACTAGCACCGAATTAGTATAAATAACTCCATGAGTTACTATTTGTTATGTAATGAGCCACTATTTGGGTAAGGATTTTAGTGATGCTTATTTTGCTATTTGCAAAATTTCAGTGCTCATCTCTGAAAGATCTGGAGCTTGCTTATCAAATACATGACCTTTTAAACACTGGAGAAAATTGGAAATTCATTGGATCTGACAATCGACGTAATTTCTACTAGTAAGTATATTGGAATCTCTGCTGGGCTTCCTTTCAGCACTCATGGTAGGTGGGGCAGGCACCTCTCGTAGCCCTTCTGTTTCTTTACTCTGGCAGCTTGCCACTGGCCTAGTGAATGGGCACTTTGAAAATCAAACAGTGGTAAGAATGATTCCTCGGGCTGACCTGTCCGGTATATTCTTTAAAGCTTTTTCTTACACACTTTGAATCCACTTTTCCTTTCCTTTTATGCCCTCATGTGTTACATATTTTTGGATATTTAGCAGGGTACATCTCTAACGATTTCAGCATAGCCTCTTTAGTGAAGGGTGCTGTCTCCCCAGCAGTGTTTGAGAAGGCGCCTGACAATACTTGGCCCTATTTTGTTATTAAAGGTTATTACTTGGGCCAGTAGTACTCAGGGCTGAACTCATGGCCTCCTTACCAGACCTTTGGGTTCCTCCCTGACCACAGTCTCATTTGTTTCTAAAGATGAAGATACTGCAACCCAAAAAGACAAGAGTTGAGGGAGACAGACGTGTGATGTTAGCTCACGCTTAGATCCTTACTTCACATTGCATGCTTTTTAAAAAGAAAATGCTATTCCCACGCTGCTTAGAGTATGCTGAGGCAATCTGAATGATCAGTTGAAAGTAAGATTTTCATTGGCAAGCAGAAAACACAATTAGCATAGGCCATGTAACTCAGAATTATTTGCAACCTTGAAATCACAAGAAGGCAGTAAGTATTTATTCCTCCATTTTATTTTGGGGCCACACTCGGCAGTGCTGGAGGCTGTTCTGGGCAGGGTAGAGGGAGAGTGTCACTCCCAGCAGTTTTTAAGGCATCATATCATGCCAGGGATTGAGTCCTCTCAAGCAAATGCCCTGTTCCTCTATTAGTGTTTTAAACAAACCCTTTCTCTCTGTTGCAGTTCTAAATTTTTCAGTTTGATTTGTCTCATGGAACAAATCGATGTCACCTTGAAGTGGTATAAGGACCTGATACCTTCAGTAAGATCATTTGTTAACTTGTCTCTTATTGTGGATGTATTTGTGGGGGGTTGCTGATTATTGCTTTCAAACTACATTTCTGTTTCTCTTAATCAGGTCTTCTTTCCTCATTCCCAAGCAATAATAGATCTGCTTCAAGCACTGGACGTGGCTAATCGGCTAGAAGTGATTCCTCAAATATGGAAAGGTTAGTGTTAAGCTTATGTGTCTTGGCTTATACTTGTCTTTCATTTTAACAAACATGTTGGCAATGTTAGGAATAAAATTTTTGATTTTTTGTGACTTACTTGAGTTTGTGAGCTTGGGATAGGATTTAAGAGATGAGACATCTGCACTCTGTCACTGAGCTCCATCCCTCGCCCTGCAGACTTTCATTGTTGACGGAATTGAGGGCATTAGTTGAGGTTAGCTCCAAAGTCCTCATATCTTGCTCATCTTGCCTATTGAATTATATGAGCTAAAATACTGGAAAATAACCCCGTAAGTTCCTTTATGACAGGAGTGAACTGGGAACTATCTTGTGACATGACAAAGGGGAGGTGAGTGCTATGTAGCACACCCTAAATCTGAACGTAGGTGTCCAAACCCCAGAGTCCATGCTGGCGCTGTGCGCCATGTTGAACTGCTGACCAGTTCAGTCAGTGGTACTTAATATTTATGAGAAACAGCTCTGGGTGATGTATGTAAATGGGCTGCACAAGATGTTTTATTGCTTCCATCAGCTTAATGGTTATTGTCCATTTCTGTCTGCTTCAAAACTTAAGTCTCGCCAAAGTAGTCAGTGACTGAGTACGACTAGGAGGCTACTGGCATTGGCTTTGCTGCTCTCTGTTCTAACCATAAGTCATCCTGTTCTTCTAGAATAGTCCTGAAATTTATCAAATTAGCATGTTTCACCCACCCAAAAACATAGGTGACAGTTAGTAGTGAACAAATTGTGCCAGAAGATCTTGGTTTATGACAGTGACTACTTTCTCATTTTGTTACTTGTTTCAAGATTGTAAAGAATATGGTCACACCTATCGCAATGACCTGAGAGAGGAGATTTTGACACTCATGGCAAGGGATCATCATGTGCCAGAGGTAGGACCGAATCCCTGAGTTTCAGATACACACTGCCCAATATAAACTAATGCCAACAACCGTGGCAGGCCTCATGGGGAATTCTGACACCAGATCCAGTTTATTGTGTATCTAAAGCAGAATTCTGTTTCTAAAGTTAATTCTCAGTCCTAGTTCAAAGTAGACAACGTGGAAATATCTAGTCTGTTCTGACATGTTAGTAGCTTGTGGGATTTTCTTATTTTTGTTTTAATATCTAAAATGAAAATCTGAGGCCAGAGTGACAGTAATTCCGTAGAGCATTTGTCTTGCACATGGCCAACCTGGTTTCAGTATCCTGGCATCCCGTATGGTCCCCCAACCTTTTCTTGAGCAGCACAGACTATCACTGAGTATGACCTAAAAACCTATATAAAAATAAAATGAAAACCCGTAATTGGATTATATTTGGAAAATTCGGTTCATCGGATTACAGATGGCAGAACACTTTTTTTTTTAAATTTTCTTTGTTTCCATGTGTGCTGTCCACATGTGCTCAAATAGTAAAATACATCACATGATGGCCATGTGAAATGAAGTCATGAAGCAAGCGAGTTTGGCAGTTCAGCTAATCCTCCGTCTCTCAGCTTCAGGTGGCATTCGCTGACTGTGGTGCTGACATCAAAGCTACATACGAGAGCCAAGATGCCAAACAGACTCCTGATTGGCCCGCCAACCCTCTCAACTGTATAGTTGTCCTCCTCCTAAGGGCTGGGAGAGCCCAGGAAGCCTGGTGAGTACAACAGACAAATATCACTACAAACCTTTGTATGTGGACCTCGGAAGACACCAAACCTGGTCAGTAGAGGTTCTCTAATTTGACTCTCTGATGTCTGTCTTATATATATCTGGAGAATGTTGTACCAAGTTTCCAATGAGAAATTCCAAATGTAGTAAGTCATTACTTATCAGGAATGAATAGTTGAAAAACAAAAGCAGATCATTAAATGCTGTCATTTCATTTAGCTTTGACAAGGATTGTTTATATCATCTGCATAATGGAGTAACATTATTCCAGAGAAAAGGCGAGGTTGGAAGGAAGAACATCCTTCATTGGGCTTATTTTTTTTTTCATTTTTTGTTTTTGGGCCACACCCAGATGTGGTCGGGCGTTATTCTAGGCGGTACTCAATGTGATTCAGGGATGGAACCATGGGTCTCTGTGTGCAAACCTGTGTTTTGCTCATGAAACTATCCTTCCTTATGTGTCTGGAACTTCCTCTGGTCAATGTTTTCTTCAGTGTTGGCACGGATTGTTTTTTACTTTTCTCATCAGCATAATGTGTCCAAAAGAAAAGCAGACTTAGACGAAAAGGCATGGCTAGTTGGACTTTCCATTTCTTACCTTTTGTGTCTCAGTCAGTCACTTTATTCACAAAAAAATACCTGCTTTGGGGGCCAGAGGACAATTCTACTGGCTGGAGTACATGCTCTGCATACAGGAGCCCGGGTTTGATCGCTTGTACTCAGCGATCCCCTGAGCACTGCTGAGTGAAGCTGCAGATCAACTATTCTTCCAAGCATGTACTAAACATGGCCTTGACTAGAACCTGGTTTGTTAGCACTCAATTCACATAATAATTTTTACTTGTGTGTGACTTGAAAATAATTTACTTTGAAGAGCCAAAGAGATAGTATAGCCAGCAGAGCACCTGCCTTGCATGTGGCTGACCTGAGTTCATTCCCGACAGCCCATAGGCACTGCTGAGCACTGCGGGTATGACTCACAAACCAAAAATAAATACTTACTTTGAACATGATCATCAATACAAAACACAGCTATTCATAGCCTTAGGGTCAAGTTGGTGAATGTTTCACTACTTCTGCTCTTAGGAGCCTGAGCCATCCATGTGACCTGCTATGATGATGGTGAAAGAAACATTTGGTGCTCAACTTTGATTGGTGCACACCTGTTATGAATCAGGCTGTGATGATTGGCGCAGGGGTACGGACCTCAGCTGAATCATGGGAGCTGAGTGTATGTGTTCTGCCTTTGTCCTGCATGTGGCAGGTTGATGGCAGGCACTTACATGAGACTGATGCCTTAATCTGAGCCTGCTCTTCATAACAACAGAGTTATATGAGTATGCAACTCATATTGAATTGCATCCCTCTCTTCCAGCTGCACGAGTAAAGAGAAAACAGGCCATTCTCATCAACCAATGAAACTTGGTTTGTGAGACTTCATGAGCTGTGTAGGGTGGGAGGTGTTGGAGCACCAGGGGAGATTGAGTAAGTCCCTGGTGAGTAGAGAGCGGCTCACAGATTGACAGTCTTTCTCCTATTTTACCTTCAACAGGAAGATGTTGGGGCTTTTTAGGAAGCATAATAAGATTCCTAGGTAAGTTGAAGTTAAGCCTGTTTGGGCACACTGTGGAATCAGCACAGAGGTCACTTTTGTGAAGTGACTGGAGTTCATACACAAACCTCAGGAGCTGGGCATCCTCCAGGCAGGTGAACGGAAAACCACCCACCATTGGAAGCCTGGCGCCTTAAACTAGGGGGTGTGAGTCCTTACAAATTTTGTTTTAGGGGACCTGGAGAGAGAGTTCAGGGGTTAAGGCATTTGTTTTCAACTACAGTTTGATCCCCAACAACACGTATGATGCCCCAGATACAACTTGGGGTGATTCCTGAACATAGAATAGGAATAACCCTTGAGTACTGCTAGGGTGTGGCCAGAAATCCCCCAAAATAAATGATTCATCATAGAAGTTTGATTTATATATCCTACTTACCTGGAGTCAGTTTGCCAGGCAAATAAGGTTGCAAGTGGAAAGGGTTATTTTGGGTGAGGGGGTGGGGGAACAGTCACCAAGGATTGTACCCGGAGATCACTCCTGGCTATGTTCCAGGGATCATATGTGGTGGCAGGGGTCAAACCCAGGTAAAAAGTGGGTACCTTACCCACAGTACTCTCTCTCCAACCCCACACATAGAGTAAGCAAGTAGCCCTGCACCCTGCCCTAGAGAATCCAAGCATACCCCTTTTGAAAATTGTACTCGGTGATTGCCACACATGTGTGGAATGCATTGACTAGTCTTTGATGAAGACATATGGAACCGCTGTTCATTTCCTTTTTGGTCCTTTAGTTAGTCACATATCACTTCCAAAGCTACTATGCAGAATTTTTTGACTGGACTTGTTAAAACAGTAGAGTTTTGCACATAAACTTTGCAAAGATTAGTTGTGTTGAAGAATTTTCCTTACATTCTCCCTCTCTTTAACAGAAACGACATGCTGAAAGAACTCATGGATAGTGCCAAAGCTTCCAACAGTCCTGCGCAGGCCATTGAGGTTGTGAAGCTGGCCCAGGCCTTCAGCTTACCTGTCTGTGAGAGCCTCACGCAAAGAGTGATGACTGACTTCAAACTCAGCCAGGAGCAAAAGTAAGTGGGTCTGTGCCATCACCAAGAAAGAGAAAAATGTAGTAGCAGCTGGAGAGATAGTATGGTGGGTGGGGCGCCTGCCTTGCATGGGGGCCAACCAGGTCAACTCTGAGCACCTCAAAGAATTTGAGTGCAGAGCCAGGAGAGTAGCCACTGAGCATTACTGGGGTTACTCAGACTGATACGATACAGCCTAAAGAGGCAGACTAAAGAAGCAGACTGTTAGAAGGTACTATGTGCCCATTTAAGTATCTTCTTGGGAGAAGACATGGTATGTTAGTGTAACGATTGTTTCATCATCATAGAAGTCAGAGATGTCTGTAGAATTGATTGCTGGAATTTTTTCATCTGTGGAGTTCATAGCTACAATTGAATTCTAGCGTAAACCTCTGAATAACTTTGAATAACTCTATTTATAGGGAAGCTCTGGGAAACCTAAGTGCACTGAGCAGTGACAGCGAGAGTGACAGTGACAGCGACATTGGTGGAAGCAAGTAAAAATCAGAAGCAGCACTGGCTGGCTTAGTTGTTGAGAACTTAGTTCATACTGAATCATGATATCAAAGAAAAGAAGACAGACTTGGTGTACTTGGAACTGACAGAACTCTTAGGCGGAATTCCTGATTGGATACTGACCATCCGTCCTGGCTGCACTGTTTATGCTGTTCACAGTGGAACATTCCAGCCCTTCTCGTTTTCCACACACCAAGGTGCGCGGCTTCTGGTGTCACTGTAAACTCTGCACTTACGGACTGACAGCACATTGTCATCAATAGCCTTTGTATGTGATGCTGTGGTACTTCAGCTTCAGAGAAAGTGGTAATCCAAGGATTGGTGTTGAGTTTGTGGTCTCCCTGTTTCAGGGATGTTAAATGTGAAAAGCCATACATCTTTGTAAATAAATACTAAAATGTGCATGTGTTTCCATTTATATACTATGTAGACAAGGAGGAGCGTTAGCACAGTGGGTAGGCATTTGCCTTGTACACGGCCAACCCGGGTTCAATTTTTACCTCCCTCTCAGAGAGCTTGGCAAGCTCCTCATGGCATATTCGATATGCCAAAAACAGTAACAAGAAGTCTCACAATGGAGACATTACTGGTGCCTGCCCAAGCAAATGGATGAATATCGGGAGGACAGTGCTACTGTGCTATAGACAGGGAGAGAAAATTAAGGTCCATAGGATTGTTTTCCACTTCTGTTTGGGGTGGGAGGCTTGTTCACACTTGGCATTGCTCATGCCTCTTCTTGATGATCAAAGAACAGGGTTGGCTACAGACACAGACAATGCCTTCATCTCTGTCATTTTTCCAGCTCTGGCATTTCCATATTTAAAAGGTTATTGAACCCATATTTCAAGGGTAATTGCACTGACAAATTGAAGTTAGCCTTGAATAGTAAGATGCACTCCTTTTCAACTACCAAATTTTAGTTTTGATTCTGGCCTTTCAGTTTGCTTTATACAGTCCAAATATTTTATTTCTCAAAGGCATTTACAGAAAGAAGCAACTTCTGTAAGCAACTTCATGCCTCCCTTGTTTTCCCATTTGGGCAACACCCAGCTCTACTTAGCGTGGAACCCTGGCCTCACATAGGGAAAACATGAACTCAGCTTACTTAATGGGAAGATCAGACAAACTGCAGTCTTAAAAAAAAATCAGACCAAAGAGGCTCACAGAAAATTCTGTACAAAATGAATAAAACATTTTGCCAAAAATGTTCCATGGAACATTCTTAAGCAGAGACCATACACCAGTACACAAAATAATTTATGAAAACGAACTCATATTTAGCAACCACTCTGATCCACAATGGTATCAAGTTATAAAATACCAACAGGATGGATATGTCCACGTATGCAGAGATTGAACAGCATGTGAGAATTCAACGGAAAAGTATCTGGAGATAAAAGTAGAAATAACTCACTGGAATCTCTGTGATGCAGCAAACAGTACCTAAAGGCACTAGGAAGTAGACTACCTCTCAAAAAAAGTCTTATCTGATCCTAACACCTAGGAAAACAAAGCACTAAGTCAGTAAAAAGGGGGGATAGTCCAGAACAAGCTTCACTAATTAATTTACATTCAAAAAATAGTCAATAACGGCATTAATCAGCCACAAAAAGTACCTTTGCCATATTTGACAACACAGAGCTAGATATTCTGCTGAAAGATTAACTATAAACAGCAAATCAAACTCAGCTACAGAGAACAGATTGCTGATCAGATAAAATTTGACTAACGGTGAAAGATTCTGGTGATCCTGTACACATTCCGATGTTAAATGTAACACTACGCAATGAACCTGAGGAATTTTATTAATTTGGCAGGGGTGAGGTGTGTGTTCTGCTTCGACAGCTGGAAAGTCATCAGTATTAAAGGTATATAAAGCAACTTAGTTGTAAAATTATAATCAAGAGGCCAGAGACAGTAGAGTAAGACTCTTGCCTTGCACACAGCCAACTTGGGCTCGATCGTTTTTCCACATATATTCTCCCAAGCACTGCCAGGAATGATCCCTGATCAGAGTCAGGAGTAAGTCCTGAGGAGAGTAGTGTTGGGTGTGGCCCCCAAACAAAAAGAAACACAAAAGCTGGAGAGCATAAAGCGTGACTTTTTTCAAGAGGTGGCTCAGGGAGCCAGGGTACAGCTCAGTATTAAGAGGCCCAGCCTTGTGTCCAACCCACCAAGAGCAAAACAGATGGCAGAGCCATTTGTGATGCCCACTGCCACGACCATGTGCCAGCGTGGCAACGCAGCCCAGCAGAAGCCACAAAAACCCAGGACACCAAAACAAAAAAGTGAGGGGGAGAAAGGAAGGTTCTGCAAATACCTTGTAGCGTTTGTTACATTAATGCTGAAATTCAAAAAATTAGACAAGGCTAAATGTTAAGTGTGGTTCATGACAATGTAACACTTGGGTAGGAAGCAGAAGGCTAAAGCCAACTGGGGGGTGTAAATAAAAATGCTTAAGAGTCCCACCATGACCACCCTGAGTCTGTCTACCCTTCTCTCCATTTTCTCATACTGTTTAAGAGCTGGTAGGTAGCCCAAGTCAAGCTGAACTCTATGTAAGAATGACGAGGCCACAGGAAGGAGAATCAAGGCCTTTCAACATCACCATTTTACAATACGCAGTGAAGGGACCACAGATTGCTGGAGGAAAACCATCAAATGCACTTCATTATTTTGGTTTCTAGAACTCAAACACACCACCCAGTTTTGCTTACTCTCTGTGAGCTGAGATCATAATAGCAGAAGGAAGTTATTTCTAGAAGCCAAGAGAAATCACATTTCCTGATAAGCTGTATTTTATGAGTTAAAAATTACCAGCACTTCTTAGATGAAAAACAGGTCACTTTGTAAGTACTCTAAATTTCATGTCATCCCAAAGATGAGAAGGCTGAATTTAGAATGCCCTCATTATGTTCTAGCAAGAATTTAAGAGCTCTTAAATGATGAGTGCCTTCACTCTCAAGAGGTTCAGGACATTACAGGAAGCATCGGTGCCAGAGAAGCTAAATGATTAAGGAGAGGGCCAGAAAGGACAAACTCAAATACCATGCAGATGAGAAAGAGGAGTTCAGGAACTGACATATTCCTTCAAAAATGTAAAGCAATGCCTAGTATTTTTCATAATTTGCAAGATGTGCTACTCAAAAAAAAAGTACTTCCTCTAGGGGCCGGAGCAACAGCAGAGCGAGCCGGTCATTAGTAGTGGTTCCCCTAAACCCGCCAGGAGTAAGCCCTGAGCATAGCTGGGTGTTGTCCAAAATAAAAAGTATCTCTTTATGCATAAATTCCAAAAACAAATTTGGAGAAAAGAAAAGCACCATTTGAGCCAAACACATAGTAGTACCAGGGTTAAGGTGCTTGCCTTGCACACAACTGACCTCATAACCCCTTCAGCACCACCAGGAAATGACCCTTGGGCACCTCTGAACACAAACACCAAAAAGAAAAGTATTTGGTGTCTGAAAGACAGTGCATGGTCAATTCCATAACACCAGTGGGGGTTACCATCACTCACAGATCTGGGAAGAGCCCCAGAACCACTGCAGGAGACACAGAGCACTCCCCAAAGTATCTGGATGGAGTTAGATAGTGTTTTCCTGGCGATCCCATATGGAAACTGCTCAAAACTTCAGTGGCCAAAGTTCCCTGCATTTTGTGGAAATACAGTTCAATTATACCAGAAAAAGAGTCAATTCTTTTAATATTCCAGATTGCAGATCAAGAGATAACACAGGGGTTAAGACACATGCCTTGCAACATGGCCAATTCCAGTTCAATCCCTGGTGACCCCTGGTTCCTGAGCATCATCAGGTGAGTCTAGTCTCAACACCGCCACTGCAGTGAAGAGGGCCCCGGGTCCAATAGCAGAAAAGGAGTAAAGGTGATTTATAGGAATTTCAAAACCGTGTGCTGTGACCTGTCTGGGAGGTTGCTGAGTTCAACAGTGGGTAGAGGAGATGGGCAGTTTTAATGCCAGATGACAGGAAAAACTGCACAAGTTTTAAAGGAAAACAGTGGTTCAATAAATGGTTCGTGTGCTGGAGAGGCTAAGAGACTGAACACAAGCTTTGCACATAGGAAGCCCAGGCTGGACCTTCCCACATGGTCCCCAGAGCACCACCATGAGTGGTCCCTAAGCACCAAACTGGGAACAGACCCCAACACTACTGTGACCAAAACAACATAAACACCCAAACTGTTTCATGTACATAAATATATAGACAGAGTTCCGATTTTTTTTTTTTTGCTTTTTGGGTCACACCTGGCAATGCACTTGGGTTGCTCCTGGCTCATGCACTCAGGAATTACTTCTGGCGGTGCTCAGAGGACCATATGGGATGCTGGGAATCGAACCCAGCTTGGCTACGTGCAAGGCCAACACCCTACCTGCTGTGCTATCACTCCAGCCCCTGATATTTAATTTTTAACTGTGCATTTTTGGGTTAGGATTTCTGGCCAACTCACCTTCCCCTTTCTTGGTGGTGCCAGGTCTTATTACTAAGCCACACATACATAAAACACACACACACACACACACACACACACACACACACACATACACACACACACGTACAATTATTTTCCTGTAATACCTGTAAAATTTGGCATACACACCATTTCTTTTGCACCTCGTATAGTGACTATCACTAGATGATAGAGCTGCAATTTTATATGCCACTGTAGCTTCAGAATCAGTTTCAATAGGAATCAGCACATCAAAACCTAAGCCCCAGGCCTCAGAGCCCTGGAAGCAATTCAGACTTCCTACTTCTGTGCTGCTGCTACTTGTTTGTTTTTAGGCCATACCTGGCAGTGTTCAGTGCAGGGGAAGTGTGTCACCCACTGTACTTTCTCTCCTCTGCTACTTAAGAAAATGCTGTGCACACAAAGCAAAACTAGAAACGACAGTTTTTAAAAAAGCTACTCAGTTTACATCTTTGTTTTATTCAGTTTGCTCCAAGGGCAAAATCAATAGTAATAGGGATCACAAACATTATTTTGATTGGCTCACAAGCCTGATCAGTAAAACCTGAAAAACGGAAAATGTTACACGAGTTGCAAAGAAAGTACTCCCGGTGTTCACGGACATGATAGCAAATGGAAAGAACAGAAATGCAACAGGTGTGAACATTTACAGCAGCACGGTCACTGCCCGCCTTCTAGACCATTCTGGGACCCTGTTGCAAACCCTCATGTCTCGCCGCAGCTCTCCTGACACCAAGTGTGGCTTTACAAAGCTCTTACTGGACCTGCTCCTGCTGCACCTGGGTGGTTCCTATTCCTACGGCGCTGGCATATGCCGTCAGGATTTCCACTATCTGCTTTGTTTCTAGGGTCATTCGGGCTTCCTTGAGCCAGTCTTGGGCCACTCGTCTGGATTCCCCTTTCAGCTGATTGACAAACTTTGCCGCCAGCTCCAGATCGCCATGCTCAATGCAATAGGAGGCATAGGACAGTAGTTTAAAGGTGTTTATATCCTCGGGGCGGAGCTCTGCTGGTGGCTTCAGCTGCTGCGGTGGGGACAGGAGCAGGGACTGCAAGTAGGAAAGGAAGTACTGATACAAGCTATTTCGGGTCTCATCAATCATAGCTACCCTTCGGGCCAATTTTCGGACATCATAGAACCGAACTCTAAGGGTCTCTTCGCTGTACACCCCCCGGGTGAGGGACTCGGGAGGGATAGCTGCGGTTAAAGCTTGGGCGAATTCACTGTCGGCGCAGCTGGCCTTGATGGCCTCCACCGCCCCCCCTAGAGGGACCGTGGGCTGCTCGGCGGATGCGGTCTTCATGCTGTACTTCAGCGCTTCCACCGACAGCCACAGCTGGTGAGCCTTACGCGCCTCCTCCTCGGCAACGGCATGGCCTGCGGCACAAAGCAAAGAGACAAGGGAAAACATTCCTCCTCACAGGACCAAAACTGAAGCACCTCAACAAGCCCATCCCAATGGGGTAGACAGGGCCACACGGTCACCCCCAAAGCCACCGCAGCACTGGTTTCCAGGCTGCTCTCTGCAGAGGGGGCCACAAGGCACAACAAAATACACCCCTGGGGGGTTTGCATCAAAGCCACGGAGGGAACTGTGAGGCACAACTCTAGGCTGTGATATTTAGGCCTTGAATTCGGACATTTATTCTCAGGAAAGGTTTTTTAGAAATTTCTGCAAAAAGACCATGCTATTTCGACTAAAATTTACATGAATGCAATTCAAAACTTCTTGCAAAGGAATATTAAATTTAAACCTTTGTTTAAGAATTCCTTTAAAATTTCTTGAGTCTTTAGTTCAGCTTTAACTGAGGGGGGATAAAAATGATTCTACAAATATCCCAAAGAAACATTTTTCATGGGGGTCTGGGACGCAAGGGGCCGATTTTCATCCCCGGCATTCCACATGGTCTTGAGCACTACCAAGAGTAACTCCTCAGGCTCACCTGGTGTGGCCCAAGAAACAACAAAAAATGGTGAAGAAACTCATTTAATCAATCTCCTCCTCCTATTGGTTCATGTTCCTTCACTGGGGCACAATGAGGCCGACAGAACTGCTGCTTATTTGGCAGGTGAAAGCACAGCTCCTGCCCTTCCTCCAACAGCAGTGGAGACTAGCAGCAGCAGCTGGAGGGGAGCCTGTGTTCGCTGTGACCGTTTTTCCCATTCAAGCCATGTGAGACACGTGCGCTGGGTAAGCCGCTTTGCACACCGCTGTGTCAATGATGCCCATCACATAAGGAATGAACCTTCTAGTTGTTTGGATTCTTAAAAATTTCTTGCTACGAAACATCAAATTTGATGTTTCTGATCTAAGAGATGAGTAAAATGTAGAATGCGCATGCCTAATGTTGATGCATTTATCCCACCAGCCTCACAAGAAGTTACAAAAATATTATTCTAAGAAGTTGGACTGAATAAAATTATCAGGTTCATGTGCTTACTCTGAACAGCCTGTTCAATTCCTCTCAGCCTGGCATAGGCAGTGTTTATGTCCAAAGTAAAGTTGTCAACCTGCTCCTGACTGAGCCGACGAAACTGTAGTTCTTGATCAGCAAGCTTATCAATCAAGTCCTAAAATAAAACATAAACAGTATACAGAAAAAAATAGATGCAACCTTAATGCCTGTCACTAGCAACTGCTCCTGCGAAAAGCAGACACCTTTAAATCTCCAGTGACACGAGACTTCTATACTGTGAGTCTTAAAAAAACTTTCCAACTTTTCTGTGATATCTAATTTTCTACAAATTTACTAATGAGACAAATTTCACAGTAAATGGACCAGGAGTTCGAGGCAGCTGTTAAAAGTGAAATCCAAGTGGGGCCAGAGTGACAGCATAGGGTAGAGTGTTTGCTTTGCAGGTGGCCTACCTGGATTCAATTCTCGACACCTCATATGGTTCCCTGAGGACTCCCAGGAGTAAGCCCTGAGAATGCCTGGTGTGGACCAAGCACCCCAAATGGTGAGATCCAGGGCTGCGAAGATGGTGCACAGAGCTGGGATGCATGCTAGCAGGCACAGGACCCCAGGGTCCAGCTGAGCACCACCTCAGGATATAGCCAGCAGCCCTGACATCTCTGGAAAGTGCCCCGGGCCCTCCACCCCGCCCCCCCCCCTAATAAAAAACAGTGAGATACAACCTGCCAGCATTGAAAAGTAGGGCAGAAGCTGAGCATGTGAGATGTCTGGGTTTGATTCTCAGCACCACCAGGAATGACCACTAAGGACTGAGTCAGTAGCAACCCTCAAGCGTCACTAGATGTGATCCAGAAATCACAAATACTTAAATATTTTTTTTTCCCAAGTTTTTGGAAGTGCTCAGGGTGTACTTTGGGCAATGCTGGGGGACAATCTTTGGTGCCAGGAATTCGAAATAAAGTGGCTACATGCAAGGCAAACAACTCACATGCTATACTCGCTCTCTCCAGCCCCCAAAATAACATTTTCTGGGAGGGGGGTTTGTTGGGGACACACCTAGTGCTGCTCAGAGCTATTCCTGGCTCTGTGCTCAGGAGTGATCTTTGGTGGTACTCAGGATTGGAACCAGGGTCACAGCTTCCATAGCCTCATATAAGGCAAGTGCTTTATCTCACTAGCTCTCTGGCCCAAGATATGAACTCTTGAGCACTACCCAAGCTCCGGGAGTCTGGGGGATGGGCTTAGCAGTTGTTATCTGTGGCATTCCTAAAACCCCCTCTATGTCAAAGTTTTAAAATATAAAATATATCTAACCAATAACATGTATGGAGAGGTAAACAGATCACTATCTCTATCTGTGCCTTTATGTAAATAGCAGTTTTGCAGATATACAAAAAGGTCTATTCTACCAAGACTTAGTATCTTTCTCCCAAACATAGCTCATCAGTACACTACTTGTCATAGTTGTGTGAGGCCCTAGGTTCGATCCCTGGACCAGCTAAAGTTTAATCTTTTCCCCATTCTTCCAAATCCTCAGATGGACGGGCAGAGTTCATTATGAGGAATGGAGAAACGATCAATAATGTAAAGGAGAAAAAGAAGTACAAGGGGACCTGATGCTTTAAAACAGGCCCTCACCTGCTCAAATTCGTATTTCAGTTCCTGCTCCTGCACCCTTAAGACATCTCGCAAGTGATCCGTGTGGGCAGCAGCCTGCCGGCGAAGCTGGGTTCTCATTTCATTCTCCATGGCATCTCTCACTTCCTCTACCTGCAAAACCCAGCATGGTCATGGTTAGTTCTCATCCTCACATATTTTTAGGAAAAGACAGACTAGTAGCAACAATAGCAGTTTCTGGACTGAAGAGATAGTACAGGAGGGTAAGGTGCAGGTCTCGCATGCGACCAATACCGGTTTGATGCAAATTCAGCCCCTGGCACTACTTGGTCCCCCAAACACAACCAAAAGTCATTCCTAAGCACAGACGTGCTCTAGCAGTGCAATGTGTACTGCTCCCTACACACACACACACACACACACACACACACACACACACACACACACACACACACAGAAGCTTCTGGGACCTGAGAGATGGTGTGTGTGTGTGGGGGGGGGGGGGGGGAGGGTGTAGGGTGACTGCCGTGCACACAGACATTTCCTGCTACCCCACAGTGTCCCCTGAGTACTGCCTAGTATGATCTCTGAGCAGAGCCAGAAGTAACCCCAGCACAGCCATAAAATATTTCTTTAAATAGAAAAGTAACTTCCACCCTCCTGCATCCCAACCATGTACCATACTATGTACTCATACTTCACTATTTACCTGAATCAGAAAGCTAAATGTTAGAAGACAACTCAAAGTCACACAGCTGTGATAAAAATCCTATTCCAAACAAGGGTCTCTAGCCCAGAAACCTGGGATTCTTCCACATCACTAGGCTGTTTTCCAAAGAACACAAAGTCCATGGCATCCAAATTCACATATTGCCTTATGAGGGAAGATTCCCAGGCTGGGATTTAGCTCAGTGGTAAAACAACTGTTTCCATGTGGAAGTTATGGGTTTGATAAAAGCCCACCAAAAATAATAAATACAAGGAGCCAGAATCATAGGACACGGGTTAAGGTACTGGCCTGGCAAACAGCTTGCCACAGTTCAATTCCCAGGACTGTATATTGTCCTTGCAGCACTGCTAGGAGCAAAGCCAGAGTAAAACCTTAGCACAGCCAGAAGTAACATATAAAGAGGTTCCAGAACAATGTACAGATCAGAGCAGAGACTCCGGGGAGAAATATGTAGCAAAGGCACCGAAGATAGTGAAGAGGCACAGAAAGCCTGATGCACAAGCAGGAAGAAGGTCAAAAGGCTGTGGTGTTTACAGTAAACGCAGTGGGCATGAGCTGGAGGATCTTCAGCAGCCTCGTATGGAACAAGAATAGTACAGCAGATACTATCAGCTGCATGCATTTGCCTTGCATGAGGCCGACCTGGGTTTGATCCCCGGCATCCCAAACGATCTCCCGAACAATGCCACGAGTTAATTTCTGAGTGCAGTCAGGAGTAATCCCTGAGCATTGCTGGGTGTGACCCAAAAAGCGCCCCCCCCCCCCCCCCCAGGAGTCCATTTCTCCACATAAATAGGCAACAGAAAGGATACTTCGAACAAAGATGGTGGCGGAGGAGAAAGAAGAGCTAACATATTTGAGCTGTACTTTTGATATTTTGATTATATTTATAAAGGAACAGGATGTGAAAATTCACAGATGGACAGATGGTGGTTCATTTAGAGAAAAATAAGTTGAATGGGCTACAAAGAGGGGTGGGAGAGATTCAATAAATTTACTTGAAACATAATGAATTTGAAACAACCAATGGAAATTCATCAGGAGACACCAAGTCAGTTATCAGACAAAAGCCTAATGCCGACATTTTATGTCAGAGCCAGCAAAATAAGGGGGACACTTCAAAGACCAGATTCTGGAGACAAGACTAAACTTCTAACTGCACGTTATTTTAAGAAAAAAGTCCCTGGAAAAATCAAGACATTGTCAGTAACAAAAAACACAAGTAGACAGTTTGGATCAGAGATCCCCAATCTTACCTAGCCCCCTTTTTGGAGAACAAAGATCAATCCTCCACCCTGGAAATTGTGCTTTCTTTAAGCAGTGAGCCCCTAGTCACACCCGAGGCCACCACCACCCCTGGCTCAATGGCCCAGGAGAGTAGTACTACCAACTTGTTTAACGTGGACGAGAGGTTTCAGAACCCGTGTCATCACACAACAGTGTTTGAGAAGCTTAGCAAAGGAACCCAAAGAGTGGCCAGCCACAGTGAGGGGAGAAGGCAGAAGAGCGGGGTGTGGTGCTCTAGAAGCCTCAGGTCAAAAGCGAGCTTTGGGTCAGTGGTGCTGCTGAGAGGACATGAGCAGACTGAAGAGCCAATCGGCCTCAGACACCTCTTCAACAGATGGGACGGAGAGACTAAAGGAACTGCCTCATCCATCCTCAACCATTAGTTACTTAATACAGGTCGACAAAAAACAACTCAGAACCCAACAGATTCTTTCAGTACTTCTTTAGGGAACAGAGGGTCCAGTGGGAAAAGATACAGCTGACAATCCCAAATATCAGCAGCTTGTTAACTTTTTACACTTCTGCACTGCTCACATTACCTGCTTAATCAATCCCTCTCTAGAAGTTCTGATTTGCACAGCAAGGGTCTAAGCTCCACCGACAAAGTGGAAAAAGCGCATCTACTAATTTCTTATGACTACCAGTATTCTCTCTAACAGCAGAAAATCAACTTAAGAGTCCTTTATACAGGGGATGAAACGGTATGTGCATGCTTCATGTTCAGGACGCTAGCAAGGCCAGGTGTAACACAAACCTAGACTATCTTTTTTTTTTTTTTTTAACTTTTTGGGTCACACCTGGCAATGCACAGGGGTCACTCCTAGCTCTGCATTTGGAAATTACCCCTGGCGGTGCTCAGGGGACCATATGGAAAGCTGGGAATCAAACCTGGGTCGGCCGCGTGCAAGGCCAATACCCTACCCGCTATGCTATTGCTCCAGTCCCCCTAGAATGTCTTTTGAACAGAACTGGGATGTAGCTTGTCCAAAATGGGGTCTGCCCCAATTAAAAATGTCTTTACCTTTCTGTCCTGTTCAGTCTGTATTTCACCTCTGTGATGCTCTAATGCTTTTGCCACTGCAGAGTCAAATGCCCGCTTTTCTTCCAGCTTCTGTTTTTCCAAAGCTAGTGAAATGTGGTGCTTTTCTTTGGCTTTCTGTTCTGCCAGCTCTCTGTTTAGCTGATCAATGCGGCGATGTGCATGAGCAATCAGAGAGTTCAGATCATCTGTAGACAGCTTGTCAGCTGAACAGAAAAGCACATTAAAATGTTAATGACTGACTGGACACACCTGTTCTCTCCTGAACATGTATCTTTCTCATCCCCCTCACACTTCTCTAGGCAAATTTCTTTTTAAAAGAAACAAAACTATTTTACTTCACACAGGATGTGAATGATCCCATCAAAATTATGCATCTGTAATGTAACTTGCTTCAGTTAGATTATAATTTTTAACAGCTGCAAAGAGTAATTAACATTTGGAAAGAGATTTAGATTCTCCAATGCAACCAGAAACTTGTATCAAGTGTTGAATAACTTAAGTGAAATCAACATCACACAAAGTAATTTAGGTAAGTCATCAATTAATTATATGATCAATTCATTTCCAGGAACTCAAATTTCCAATCTGAACTAATTATAATCTGGTTTTGTTCACTCAATACAATCTCCCCATTAAAGATGAATCTTATATAAACAACATTTCTGTACTTTCTTTCATGCACCCAGAGAAAAGAAATTTAAAAACTTTACTCAGGAAATATGAGCAGGAAGGGAGAGGGATAGGGAGGGAAATCATGCACTGAACTGGGATGCAGCATGTCCAAATGGAGTGTGCCCCAATTAAAAATCACTTCTCATACATTTTCTCATACATATCAGATTCTCATACATTTCCCTTGATCACTTGAGAAGCCGTTACACCTCGGTTTGCTCAAGTGTGTGCCAGTAATGTCTCCATTCGTCCCTGTCACGTGCTAATACTTTTCCCTATTAACATTTTTTTGTTCCTACTTTCTTCCTCCTTCCCCCTTTGTTCCTATCCTTAAACAGTGATCTACAACTAGTGATGTGTATTGCAATCACGTACAAACTACTTAATTTACTTAGACAAAATACTGACATAAGCTTAAAATATATTCCCCCAAATCTCATAGTCATAAATGTGTTACCAACAGATTACAATAGGTAAAGAATTAAGGTTTCAACCAAAGTACACAATGTCAAAAATACTACTGGAGGGAGCCGGGGCAAGATTACAGTGGAGAGGGCATTTGCCTTGCCCCTGGCTGACCTGAGTTTGATCTCAGGCATCCCATGTGGTTCCCTGAGCACCGCCAGGAATGATTTCTGAGTGCAGAGCCAGGAATAACTCCTGAGCATTGCTCAGTGTGACCCCCCCCCCCAAAAAGAAGATAAATAAAATTATTTTAAAAAGAAAAAGAAATATTACTGGATACATGATAACTCTATAAAAGGTCAAAAGGTCAAACAAATTAAAGCTTATTGACCAAATTCAGTAAGTTTGTCCTACAGACAAAGACAAATATTTAAGTAACTGAAAAAAAAATCATGCTATGAAATGGTTTGGGATATCTGAAAATGGGACAGACGTTTGATGGCATTAAGGAAAAATTATTTTTGGTGCTATTATCTTTTCCAAAAACATATTAGAAGTACATATGAGTGAAAAGATGGTATTTGCGATCTGCATATGAGACAAAACTAGCAATGTGCTACATACTGTTGAAATTGGGTGATGGATCTACAGTGACTACTTGCTTTCTACTTTTCTAAAGCTTAAAATTAAATATAACATATAGGGGTCAGGAAGATAGTTCAAAGAGTTAGTATTCAGGCTTTGCATGCAAGAGACCCAGGTTCAATCCCCCAAAACGCATAGTCCCCCACGATGTACTGGGAATAGCTTGTGAGCATTGCCATGTATGCCCACTCTCAACTCCCCCCCCAAAAAAACACAACTATATATATATATATATGTCTCTCATACACACCCACACACACAAACATCTATAGGTTTCAGATCACTTGGTGAAATATTATATTCCTGACAGTTAATGAATAGCAAAAACTCCAAATCAGATTTATCACATGCAAGTGAATTCTAGTCTATATTATTCAGATAGTTTAATATAAGAATCATAAGCAAAGAAAAAGACTTCAAGGGCCAAGGATGTGGCTCAGTGGTAGATCACATGCCTCTCATGTGTGAGGCCCTGGGTTTGATCCCCAACACTGGAAAAAAAAAATAGGCTTTAGTCTCTGAAGTCTCAAAAACAAACAAAAAAAGAGCTATTAAACATAAAATACACATAATTACTCACCTAGATCAGAAATACCTACAAAGAAAAAGAAAAACAGTTTAAAAATATTTATATTTCAGTTATCGACCACTGAACAGAGTATCAAAGAAAACAAAAGGGAGCTAGAAAGGTAGTCACAGTAAAACCCTATTCAATCCTCTTCTCAAAAACCCACATAGAGGAGGGGGGTGGGGAGGGCCAGTGACATGCTTCAAGTACAAATAAATCAGGCAGAGAACAGTGAAGTGAAGTTAGTGAAGAATAATAAAACCCTGGAAGCTGGAGAGAGCACTCAAGGGGCTAAGTGCACGTTTGTACTGAGGCGGCCCAGGATCCATCCCCAGTAATGTGAGGATCAGGAAAAACACTCCCTGAGCCGAAACAGGTGCGGCCCTTGAGCACCAAAGAGTGTGGCCCCACAACAAAACAACCTACCCTCCAGAAAATCCTAGTTCCATTCTCAAACTTGGGCAAATTACTTAATCCACTGCTTCAGTTTTCTCATCACTAAAATGAGCACAATAGGGGCTGGAGGGTAGCACAGAGCACAAGGCGCTTGCATTTCAAGTGGTCGACCTAAGGTCCGATTCCCAACATCCCATCAGTTCCTTGTGCACTGCCAGGAGTGAACCCTCAGAGTGGAGTCAGGAGTAACCCCTGAGCACTGTCCTCCCATCCCCATGAAATAATAGTAAAATGGGAACAATAGCGAACTTACTTCCCTAGGCCTGTTGTGAAATTAAATGAATTAATACGTAAGCAACACTCAGAATAGAAAGAGAAGCTTAACATTACCTAATAGTATGTCAAGAGTTACAGAGAACACAAGTTTTAGGTATCACCAGACATACAGAATCTTAGGTAAATAAAACTCAGGAAAAAAAAAAAAGAAACATAAGTAATACCAAGCATTACTACCAAGTTTGGGATTAAACGAGTTCGATTCCAGATGTGATCCTTTCTACTCTGACAGCGTTTCACAGAAATGTGACTTTCCCTGCCATCATGCAGTGTAGGTTCCTGACCAAAGTTCTTGGAGCATGAGCAATTCAAGGTCAAGAATGACAAAGTTTTCCTTTCTTCTACAGCACCCCTGGGTGTGTTCTCAACACTGCACTGTTGCAAAGCAGTCAGAGGGGGTGCCCTAAAGTAATTCAGCATATTACCAATTTTTTTTTAAACTTTTACAAATAGATAATATTCTAACAGATTCAAGATCATAAAGTCACCCTCATTTGAATCCCTTTCCTTTCTGGTTTGTTTTTTTTAGTAGATGAGACCACACTGGATTCATGGATTTTAGAATTAAACCCTGGCTGGACCTGACGTCCCCCAAAGCTAATACTAATAGCCTTGGGGGAGATATGGTAGGTATGTTATTTGACTGTGATGAAATGCCAAAGTAACTGCTCAGCACACACTCAATAAATCTGCATTCCAGAGGGATTTAAACTAGATGGAGTTGAAGCAAGTTTAGGTAAGTTGATCAGCTGCTAAAAGACAAAAAGAAATTTCATTTGCACTTACTTTTCCCTTTCCACCCTGGCTGGACATCTGGAGTAATACTGTCCAGTTCCCGTCTGAAATCATCCCGAGCTTGGACCACCAACTCATGGTACTGAGACACAACCTTGGCCTCAGACTGTGCTGCCTGGACCTGAACAAAAACAAAGAATATGTGGCTAGCTGAACAAAAATCACCTGGAATCATTCCAAAATGCACACGATATTCATCCATCTATTTATGTTGGACTGGAAATGTGAAGTTCTGCAAAAGGATCAGACCAAGCTTTGTTTCCTAGTTCTTTGCAGAAACGGTCTTACTGTGCTACACTTTCTCTGGCTTATAGAAGCTACCTCAGATTACAGAAACAGATCTGCTACCAAATAGCCATTTTCAGAAGGGATTCACAAACAGGACCAAAACATGTTACCAATTATAAAAGGTTTCAAAAGTAGGAATATCTTACTTTGCATCTAATGCAAGGTTCCAATATTAGTCACAAATAATATCTGTAGGGTAAGTGAAGAGCATCACCAGGTGCGAACTCAAAACAAAACAAACAAAAAGTCCAACTGTAAAAGACCTGGGAAACACACCTTCTGGACCATCTTATCCAGATCGACTATCATGTTGTGAAGCTTCTCCTCTGCCGCAGTTATATACGGCTTGGCCCCTGCAACATCTTTTTCCTTTGCATTTTCAAGTGTAGTTTTCATCTTCTCTAAGTGCTCTCTAGAAACCAATAAGAAAAATATTTAGGTTATTCCTTGTCAACTTTATTAAAGAGCTTGAAATCAATACACTACTTAGTTTTAAAAGTCTATAAAAAATACAATTTTAAAAAAATTAGTTCTAGGCTTCTTCGTAATTAAGAAGGTCCTCCCCAACAACTGAAAACACTCAGTCAAAAACGAGTTTTAGCAGCATCCGCAGAAGCACACATGGTGCGCAGTTAAGACATGTTCCCGTCCCGGGCCAGCCTCTCCCTGGCCTCACGCTCTCCACACGGAGTAAAGTCTGTGACAGGTACCTGGACTGTACGAGCCACATCAGAGAACTCCTAGATAGCAGCTTCTGCAGGTGTGGGGCTCAACTTTCATGTTAGTGAGAGCAAGTTAAAAAACATGAAATTCTCGGTCTACTTAAGTTTTTACATCTCAGAATATTTCAGAGGCCAGATCGACTCTAATCTACCCAGCATAAAAGAAACAGTGCAGTGGGTAGGGCGCTTGCCTTGCATGCAGTCAACCCAGGTTCAATTCATGGAACTCCAAATATTACCCCAAACACCACCAGGAGGGATTCTTGAGCAGAGTCAGGAGTTGAGTCCTGGACACCGCCAGGTATAGTCCCTAAACCACCACCACCCTCCCCCCAAAACACATGAGCCCTGAAACAATGCAGTAACCTGAACTCAGTGTCTTTGGTATATTACATTTCTGACTTCTTTCTATACTCAGCAGTGACTTTTTAAGACAAAAGAGTAATTAAATTCTATTTATTTACTTTTTATTTATAAAAACTATTCCCTACATTGACAAGAACCTTGATTCAATTATAAACACTGTCAGAAGCTGATCCAGGAATCCAAACCCAGGTGGTCAAGGAGACCAACCTGCATTAAGACCAGCAGTGCGAGACAATCTACCATCTATTTCAGTTGCTAAAGCAAAGACACTGATGTGCTCTATAAATTCCAAGAAGTTAATCAACCATTCCACAGAAACCCTAAAATTATGATAATAGAAGATTTCAGAAAGGGTGTAGAGCTCCATCACCTAAGCAATCATGGAAACAAAATAGGATTTTATACAAAACCCTTCATACAGGTCTCTGCCAAATTTATTCTGGTCTAATTATATTTGATTCCCTCTTTTTAAGCCTCTGTGTTCCTTATACCAAAACCGATCCAGTTGGGTGGAGAGGGAAAGGAAGGTTTCGCTTTTTCCTCTTTTACATACAGACAGTACGAAGAAAACCCAGGCCCCGAGAAAGCCCCCAGGAGGCCCTAATTACTTGTCAAGTCCATGAGTAATTACTTGGCTTTGAGAAGGGCGTCAGCAGCCTCACTGACTGCCTTTCTGCGTTCCTTCAGAGCACCCTCCACCGTGCGCCACTGGGCTGCTTTCTTCTCCCCTGAAATCTGAACAAGACATTTAAATTATGCAAATGCAAGTAACTGCTATTATTGTCATTGACACAACAACAACTGCTATCACTGCCAACATGACTAAATGCAGTGTGGTTCAATTTCAAAATTAAAAACCATTTAACTATTTCCTCAGAGTAGGGGCTGGAGCGATAGCACAGCGGTAGGGCGTTCGCCTTACAAGCGGCCAACATGGCCAACCCGAGTTCGATTCCTCTGCCCCTCTCGGAGAGCCCGGCAAGCTACCGAGAGTATTCGATATGCCAGACACAGTAACAACAAAGTCTCCAATGGAGACGTTACTGGCCCGCTCGAGCAAATCGACGATCAACGGGAGGGCCTTTACCTTTTACCTAGGAACACAATCTCTTAGACTCAATGCCGCTCATTAGGATCAATGACGGTCACGAACCACAAACCATCTCCCATCTACTACTGCCCCTCCAACGACAATTGCAAAAATATGTGGCCCGATGCATATAAGTATTTTCTAAGGAAAGATTTTTTTTTTCCTCCTCTTCAGTTTCTGGTTCAGTGATGCTCTGGGAACCGTGAAGAATCATGGATCAAAGCCAGGGGACTTATATGGCAAAGCACGCGCTCATGCGCTCAGCCCTTTGGGCCTATCTCCAGTCTAAGGATATTTTTATTAGAATGTCAAAGTATAAAGCAGTAAAGGTTAGTAAGCACAGTAACCTTTCATTAAGTTTGTTAATTTAATCATTCTTCAATGAAACAGCGATACTTAAGTTTTTAACTATCCATCTACCAAAAGCATTATTTTATTTTTTTTTATTTATTTTTTGCTTTTTTGGGGTCACACCCAGCGATGCACAGGGGTCACTCCTGGCTCTACACTCAGGATTTACTCCTGGCGGTGCTCAGGGGACCATATGGGATGCTGGGAATCGAACCTGGGTTGGCCACGTGCAAGGCAAACACCCTACCCTCTGTGCTATTTCTCCAGCCCCCAAAAGCATTATTTTAAAGATAAGTAGTAAGTTCCCATATGTGTAAGAGATTTAGGGTAGATTTAGGGTTGCCTTGCACGTGGTCAACCTGGGTTCAATTCCCAGAATCCCATATGGTTCCCTGAGCACCACCAGGAGTAAATCTTGAGTGCAGAGCCAGGAGTACCCTGTGCACTGCCGGATGTGACCCACAAATTAAAAAATTAAATATATTATCAAAGAGATGGTTCAAAGGGTTTTCATGCAGCAGCCCCAGGTTTGCTTCCTACACCGCCTGAACTCCTAAGCAATGCCAGGAGTGGCTACCCTCCTGCCCCATAAAAATACTATCCTGAATTTTTCTTAAAAAAAAAAAAAAAGATTCCTTTCAAAATGTCATAGGCTAGTAAAATGTTTTTGCTTTAGCAAAGGAACTGAATATCACTTCACCAAATGCTGGTTCATATTTAAAGGATACATCAGGCCAACAACAAAGAACAAAAGCTCGCTTCTACTACAACAGTCACATTCCGTGCCATAAGACGCCCACAAAAGAGGGTCAAGATCAAAACAGACGAGACTTGACTTGCCTAAGTGGAATGTTATTGGAAACTGTCTGAACTATTTAAATGACATTAAGTAACTATTAGCTATTTAAAATTGTTGTTTTTTTGGTTTACTTGTTTGTTTCGGGGGCACACAGATGCAGTGCTAGAGGTGGTTGGGATGTCTACTCCCGAATGCAGTGCCAGGGATCAGACCTGTCAAGCACATGAACCATGCTTCAGCCCTAACAGCTATCTTCCCAGTCCCTTTTCACTTTCTCCTTTTGTTCAGTTTTGAGAACATGCAGTTTAGTGTGCTTTGTATAGATATGAAGCAAAAATCACCTTATGGCTTATCTTTAAAGTGCAGTATACTGGGATCCCTGGGAAACATAATAAATTACAGAGAGCACAATAGTTTTCATTTAGAAAAATAACTGGCTCAATAATTATGTTTCAAGTCACCCAGACGGCCACTGTAGAGGCTGATGTCTACGGAGGACATGACCACCATGTCAATTAGGCATCTCAGGCCTTGGATGACCCATCTGGATCTTCTCATATTACAAAGACAAGGAGCTCTGATTCTGCAGTCCCAGAGCGATTACAAAGCAAAAGTAATGCCTCCAATTTCAGTTATTCAGAACCAATTCACATTATGTTCCCACTTGAAATCTAGTGTGGCTTCTGTTTTAAGAAGTCTATTGCCAATGGAGATTTTTAAACAATAAAGTCTTTGGAGATGTTACAGTGCTGTCGCTGTCACTGTCCTCCCGTTGTTCATCGATTTGCTCAAGCGGGCCCAGTAACGTCTCCATCGTGAGACTTTGTTACTGTGTTTGGCATATCGAATACATCACGGGGAGCTTGCCAGGCTTTGCTGTGCGGGCGAGATATTCTCGGTAGCTTGCCAGGCTCTCCGAGAGGGGCAGAGGAATCGAACTCGAGTCAGCCATGTTGGCTGCGTGCAAGGCAAATGCCTTACCCACTGTGCTATCGCTCCAGCCCTACAGTGCTACAGGCAAAATTAATCTAACCAATGGACCATTACGGCAATCTAAAGAAACATCTTTTTTAACCACTTAAAATGAAACTACAAGTTTACCAAGAAACCCAACTACAATGAAGTATTCTAATTTTTTTTTTTAATTTTGTGAAACAGGAAGCAAGATCTAGTGATAGTATTGATAAATCCCTACTTTAGAAAAATTCACATAAACATTTCAAGAGATTTCTAAATACCATAATGTAATGTGCAAATACCAGAGCTTTCCACTGTGACTTTAGTGCTAATATTATGGTGGTTTGTTGCCACCACTCACAGCTGAAAAAAACTGTCGAAGCTAAGAAAAATACCGATGTTTTCCACAGGAATCTAATAAGCCCTGGAATTCTATCCATAGACCCAACATCAGGTTAAGAAACCTGCTTTAAATAAACGTATATGGTATCTTTTCTTCTATCACTACCTTTTACTTATTTATGTTCTAACAAATGTTACAAATATTATAACATGTTACAAATATTGTGCGATTAATAGGCTTATGTTTTAGTGAATGTTAAGTCATCTTGTGGGGGGAAAAAAAACTTTAAGGAAGGCTGCTGGTCTGCAGTATCCAAAAAAAAAAAATTAAAAGTTAAAAGAAAAATTAAAACAAATCAGAACCATTGAGTTCAACCAGCACCCACTGGTCTACCTATCCCAAGAGAGACCCTTAAGGCACCAAGGACTAAACGAGGAAATTCTGATTAAAAAAATAAACCAGGGAGGGTGGGAGAAACAGAAGAGGTTTTCGCCTTGCAATCAACCGACCCCAGTTCAATCCCTGGCACCACATAGTGTCTCCCTGAGCACAAAGCCAAGAATACTAAGCCCTGTGTACCAACAAGGGTGACACCCTCCCAACCCCCCCGCCCCCCCCACAACATCAAAAAAAGGAGCGATAAATACATTCAAGAACTGTTAAGATAGGAAAGCAAACTGGCACTATTTATTGTGCCACAATATTGCTGGAAGATAAAACAAAATATTAAAAACTCATAAAAAGAGTTATGGGTGAGAGAGATACCGCAAGCGGCTTGAGGATGTTGGTGCCTTGGCTTCAACCCGCTTCAAGACTTTTGCTGCCTGAGAAGTCAGCGACTCTAGGAATTCTTGCTTAGCGAGAGTAAGCAACGGAGTATGACTACAGGTGACCCGGTGCCCTTTACATCCTCAACATGCTTTGGCTCACCTCTGAGTTGTCCATGGCTGCCTTCAGAACGCTGGAGTGTGCGCTAACGGCCTGGACCGCAGCCTTCTGAGCAGCAATGGCCTGCACAGTGACGGAAGCGGTGAGGCCCAGGGATTCTTCCAAGCTCTTGACTAGAGCTGAAGAAAAAAGAAGAGATAAGAGACAGATCCCTCTCCTAAAAATGACTTTTATTTTAAGCTTTTCCAGTTCATGTTGAATCTGCCATTGTCTTCCCCAAAAGTGTCAAAAAAAAAAAAAAACAAAAACAAAGATTGAAAGCAGCAAAGCTTCCTTTTCAAGTACGGCAGTGGGTTGGAGAGATAGTACAGTGGGTTAGGCACCTCCTTGCACAAGTAACTGACCCAGGATCAATTCCAGTCTGACCCCAAAACAAAAAAGCATGGTAAGAGGCCGGATAGATAGTGAAGGGGATGGAAGACATTGCCTTGCATGCAGCCAACCCAGGTTCAATCCCTGGTACTACAACTGGTTCCTTGAGTACTACAAGGAGTAATTCCTGAGCAGAATCCTGACCACAAAGCCCTGAGGACAGTTGCCTGTGACCCCCAAAGAGGTATGTAGGGTCATCTGATAGCTCTAGGCTGAGTGCATGTTCTGCATGTGAGAAACCTGGCACCTCATGACCCTCTATGCACCAAAGGCGCCTCATGAGAGCAGAGTCAGAAGCAGCTCCAGAACTATAACATGTGGTCCCAAACAACAAAAAAGTGTGTATGGCTAAAAATGAAAGATGCATGTACTGAATCTGAATGATGGGCCTGTAAGGCTTCATTATACCACTTTTAGGTGTACCTGATTTTTTTCAAAAGAAAAAACTACACGTATGGGTCTTTTTATGGGAAAAAAAAAACTTTAATGGAGGTTATAGAGTAGATTTTAAATGGAAGGAACAAAGTTTGGGACATTTAGCCCCTCTTACCTATTACAAGTAATAAAGTCAACATAGCAACCAGTGTTTTCATTTTAATGACATATCCATAGTGGGGAAAAATGCCTATTTTCATCTCGGCAGGAAGGACTATTTCGCTAATTATATCACTAAGCTATGATGAGAGAGACAAGAAAAAGACAAAAACACACAACAAAAAAAGCTTGCGAGCAGGCAATGTTTTTCTACAAGAGGACTCAAGCAGATAGCAGGCTCAAAGAGGTACCTATTAAGATGCTCTATCTTCTTTATCAGTAAAGCAAGCAATAATTTCAATAATTTTAGCTGTGACTCTAAAATGAAAAAATAATCATCTGAAGGCCTCTCACTTTATTGGATGGCATACAACAGTGAAACAGACTAAGCAGGTAAGACAAAAACCAAAAGATGATTTTGGGCAAAAGCACAAGCTTGAGATGAAAGAAACCTAATGAACCTCCACAGTGTTTCTCTGCAACAAAGACAAAAGGAGAAAATGAGGAAACAGGACGGTAGGGTTGAGTTCAACTAAAGATGCAGGGCACGAAAGAATGAGGCATGGGAGGGTCAGTGAGTCACCTGGTTGCCATGACACGCACAGCACGTCAGTGGTGGGACACATGCATCATTAGAGTCATTAACAATAAATTTCAGAGGAGCCCAAACACCCCTGGATCAGGCCACTGGCTCCAATCCTTCTCAACTCTTATTCCCTGTGCTTTGATTCCTCATCCTCCCACCCACAACCGCCTACATACACACACCGTTGGTTGTTTCTGCTCTCAACATACACACACCGCTGGTTGTTTCTGCTCTCAAACTGTGCGAACTCACAAGTATTTTGGATCTTAAAGTCTCAGTAGATAAACGGTTTGCAAATTTGTCTCCCATTCCTTAGGCTGCTTTTTCATTTTTCAACAGTCATCAGCTGATAGTTTGGAAATTTTTTAGTTTTCTAGAGTTCTGCTCGTTGACATTTTTTTGTTTAATTTCATATACAAATTATACACACCCTTTTATAGGGAACACATATCCCTTAAAGAAAAGTTCAGAAGGTAGGGCTAGAGATATAGTATGGGGATTAAAGCTAAGCAGGGCTGGATCCCTGGCACTACACGGTACCCTGAGCACCACTGCAGCGACTTCCAAACAGAGCCTGGAGCAGTCTCTAAGTACCATTTGGGTGTGTCCCAAAATCGAAAACAAAACCAAAAAAACAAAATGATAAAAAAATTCTGAAATTTTTCACTTTGCCTCCAATGAAAAATAACAGGACAGAGGAAACAAAGCATGTTCAAAGAGCAGACACCTTCATTTAAAAAAATTAGAACTTAAGATATCTATTATGATCTAAGAGAGAAAAGGTGAAAAGAAAAAAAATGAGGGAAAAAAGTGACCTTGGATTTGCAACAGAGAATTCAAGAGGAAAAAAAATCAAGTGGGAAAAGGGTATATACATAGATAAACACACACACACACACACACACACAAATTACTATTCAGAAGCCACTAACTCAATATTCTCAAATCTATGTAAAGAATTCAGAATACAAAGCACAAAAACAAAATCCAAGTAACAAAACTACAGAGTTAACTCACTCATTTTGCTCCTTCTACTCTACAATTTGAACAAACTTGCCTCCTCAGCATAAGGAGGCAAGCAAGTACATCACATACAGTAAATAGGAATAACTCAAAGGCAGAAAGACAAAAAAAAAAAAAAAAGAGAAACAAAATAAAAATTATAAACTGTTGGTGAGTAATTTAAAACAAACATCTCTCAGTACATCTCCACAGTACATGCCAACTACTTCCAAAGACATCAACATCTTACAGCACAGTAAATTATGTTCCGTGTGCCTTCCTTAAGGCAGAAAATCACAATTTTAGATATCAATGCAATCTACATCCTTTTATTAGTTGCAGTGCCAGGAATCCAGGACCTCACACAGACAAGGCAAATGCTGTACTACTGAGCTTCAGCTCAGCACCTAATATACTTTATTAAACCATAAAACACAACACAAAGTTGAGACTTTTAAAAGGAATGTGCTTCATGAAAACCAGCAAATTATGGAGCGTTCCATTCTCCATGAATGTCAAATAAAGAGTGACTAGAACAAGAGTCCAGAGGCAGGATAAAGCACCAGAATAAGTCACTGTGACTCACACAAATGTATGACCCTCTAAGACAAAGTTCCCAAAACAAAGTCCCTGCTACACAGAGCACTGAGAATCTTCAACATTTACCATAACAAAAACAAATGAATAAAGTGATGATACGACTTAGAATTCTTATCAATATACAATAAGAATAGCCTTTGTCACCTGGGCAGCTTTAGATGTCACCTTTAGATGGAGAGAACATAAATGATGAAATAAAGGCAGTGAATGGAGAGCTATGCTACTAAAGAAACAAAGGGAACTAAGACTAGTTCGTGTATGAGAAACTTGTATTCTGGTGGTTGAAGAGAGCAATGAACAGAGATGACCCAAAAAACTGTCTGGTTTACATACACTGAATCTTAACTTGTTCTTGCTTTTCCTGTTGTGCAAGGCGGGCTGCAACTTCTTCAGGTGGTCGCTCCCCTACAGAAGTTGAGGATGCTACTTCTTGTGGCAAAAGTAAATAAGAAGAAATCAAAGTTCAACATAGAATTTCAAAAACAGGTATCCAGGTCCCTCCCTATTCCAACCCCCATTGAAAAGTAGAATGGTTATTGAGAATGCTCAGAAACTTTTTCCATTTCCATTTATTTAATGATAACAGCATTCCCAGCCCCCCCTCCAAAAAGAAAAAAAAAACAGTTTACTAAGAGACATCAAATAGGGACATTCTTTACTAAAAGAAGAAACCTATATGCACAGCACAGCAGGTAAGCACCTCCCTTGCATGAGGCTGACCCTGGTTTAATCCCTGGCACATTCATTCAGTCCCCCAAGCACCACCAGGAGTAATCTCTTGAGCAGAAAGCCAGGAGTAAGCCCTGAGTACCTCCAATGTGGCCCGAAAACAAACAAAAGAACCCTCTCATTTGTATAGGCCAGATAGAGCCAGGGAGGGCATGCTTCTAGTAAAGGATTCTAAACTTTCCACACCATCAATGATTCAAGAACAAAGAAAGGGACCAGTTTTATATACCCACCTCCCTTTTCAAAGATTTCATCAAATTTAAAGACTTTGAAGATTTCCCCAAGCAGGTCTACAGATGCAGACTTAGTTCAGTACATACATCATACCTAATAAGAGTTTCATGGTTTTAGGTCTTAAATTTACTCTTTAATCCATTCTTCCATTCCGACTTAATTTTTATGAGAGGCATGGTAAGAGTCCAAATTCTTTTTTTCTTTTAAATTTAAGCACTATTTATTAAAAAGACTATCTTCTTCCCCTACTCTTGGCTTCCTTGCTACAGGAAGTTGAAGGTATATGCTTGGGTTTATTTCAGAGCTCTTAATTCTCTTCCATTGATCCAGTTATCTGTGTTTACTCCACTCCATACCTGTTTGGTAACTATAGCCTTTTTTGTTTGTTTGTTTTGAGAAAATTACAGTTTTTATTTGGAGGTTTTGAAGGTTAGGAGGAGGAGAAAATGGGACAGTGGAGAGTAACGAGCTCAAGAGAAAGCCCAGTCTTCTCCAATGGGGAGAGAGCCCCTACACACACCCCAGCAATGGACAGAAAAGCATGAAAGTACACATCTCAAGAGGGGGAGATGCGGGTGACACGTGTTCAGGTACCACATGTGCTCAGCCACATGGGCACAGGCAGCACATGGGCTCATGCAGTTATGTGCACCAATAACTATAAATTTACGCCGTAACAAAGTCAGGATGGGGGAACACTCCTGCTTTGTTTCTTCTCAGGATTTTACATCAAGTCTATGGATTGCCAAGGCATTGAGTATTTCTGATGAACATATAACATAAAATCATCAATATAAATCATTAAACTACCTGAAACCGCAGGCTTGTGTTTTCTTTCACCAATTTCAGTTTTTTTATATTCCTCAAGCTGAACCGCAGGGGCTGGGACCGACAGTGTATCACCTGCTGCAGAAATAATTTGAGCTGCCTCTGTAGGTGCTATAAATATTTGTTACTCATGGTATTTACAGTTCCCTGGGTTAAGAGAAACACAGAAATTGACTACACAGTTTCTTCAGACTCCTTAATGGGGCCAGGAGAGAGTTCAATGGGCTGCAGCACCAGCTCTGCATGCAGACCCTGAGTTCAACACTGTATCACATGAAAAATAAAGAAAAACAAAAAATGCATTTGCTGCCACTCTTCAAACACACAAGTAGACAAAGGAACTGCACACACATAACCACAGATGACGGACAATGTCTGAGAACGCACAGGAGAAAGAAGTCCCGTCAATGCTCACCTGCATTTTAACCATCACTTTTTTCAGAAAAGGTTCCCAGGAAAAGTACTACTGCCAAAGTTACTAAATAGCAACAATGAGAAGTAGACAAAAGATTTACAGTAACATGGAAATATAAAAGCAAAAGAAAGAAAGGTTTAAAGAAGGTATATAAAATAACCAGAAAGAATAGCCTCGAAGAGAGGCAAGATATGAGCAAGAAACAGTTTGAATCACAAAGAAGTTCACAATGGTGAGTTAGGGAAGAATGGAATTCAGATTTTTTACAAAATTAATTCTGAAGATGAAATCTGGAAGGATCAAGAGCTGGTAAGTTTTAGTAGCATAGATGGAAGAGATAAATCAATTATTCTAGAGGTGGAATAGAAGTGGGTAAATCAACAAAATGAAGAAAAGCTTTAAGATAAATTAAAGGTCCATTTTAAGAAAAAAAAAAAATCTTGATTATCACAAAGCCCATTAAATGGAATGTTGTTCAATCCTGGTCTCTTTATCTAGTCTCCATAATCTTACTGTCAGGTGTCATTACCTGCTGCAGAATCCTCCCAATACTTTCCCTTTCTACTCAGAACATCAATCAAATTTATTTTAATGACCTCCAACAATGGCCACATAGGCTTTTTCTATTCCATCTCTGACCTAATTTGCTCTAACTCCCTTCGCATCAATTTCAGTTTGCTCTGTGCTAGTCCGTGGCAAGCCTTAGCACCAGTTAATCCTTCTACCTAGAATGTTTCTCCCCACTAGCTTTTTGCATACCTTAATCCCTCACCCTTTTCTAGTCTGTTCAAATGACAACTTCAAGATGAGATTTCTAATCTACTCCAATTAAAATTGCAGTATTTCCTCCCACATTTATCACTGGCATTCTATGTACTTCACCTGTATATTAAAACATGTGATCTCCCATTACGGAATATTTGCAGGCTTTTTCTTTTTAAAAAATATTTTGTTTCCTGTTATAACCACAGTACCTAAAAGAATGGTTGGCACATCATAGGTACTCTGCGAGTATTTGAATTAAAAATTATTGATTTAAGGACTGCTGAGACAGTACAGCAGGCACGTGGCTCACCCAAGTTCAATCCCTGACACCCCATAAGCTCCCTTAAATTCAGCCAGGAGTGATTCCTGAGTACAGACATAAGAATAAGCCCTGAGCACAAATTAGTGATTTAATCAAGGTCAGGACTGATTAATGAAAAGCAAGGTTAGTTTGGTAAGAACGGTAAATTAGGATGGGATTATTAGTAAATCATAAAGGCAAAATATATATGTAGACGAGGATCATATTTCTATTTTAAAAAAATGGGAAGATGATGTGACCTGAAAAGCCAAAAAAAAAAAAAAAAAGAAACTATGGCTTTTTAGGTCACACCCAGCGATGCTCAGGGGTTACTCCTGGCTTTGCACTTAGGAATCACTCCTGGCAATGCTCGGGGGACCATATGGGATGCTGGGAATCGAACCCGGGTCGGCCGTGTGCAAGGTAAACAACCTACCCGCTGTGCTATTTATTGCTCCAGGCCCAAGAAGTTTCAAGGGCTGGAGTGCATGTTTCCATGCAGAAGCCCAGGTCTGATCCTCCAGTAATGCATTGTCCCCTGAGCACTGCCAAGAATGCCCTGAGTCACAAAGTCAAAACCAAAACAAACTGGAGCAATATTTCAGCAGGTAAAGCACCTGCCTTGCAAGCAGTCCACTTGGGTTCAATCCAGCACACATATGTGCGCTAAGCACAGAGCACAGGAGTGTAAGCCTCGAGCACCACCAGGTGTGGCCCCAAAATAAAAACAAAACAAAAACTCATCAGTAAGAAGAGTGTAAGAATTGGTGAAGAGGCAGAAAAAGGGGGTGGGAATGAGAATAAATTTTATAATCTAAAAAGAAGGAAACAGTAGGTAGTCAGAAGAAAAACAAAACTATGAAAGGAAAAAATGTGCTGCAGACAATTCTCACACTATCCTCATTCAGCAGTCAAATAGCATAACTCTATTCCAGACACCTCCTCACATGAGAGCCAGGAAAACAGGCTAAGAGCTAGAGACCAGAAGGGAATATTCACAGGAAGGGGTCCCCTCTCAACCATGGGTACAAATACATCAAAACCAATTCTGATACCTGTAACTGCAAGAGAACGATTCTAAATAACGGTACCTGTTAAAGCCGGTGTCTCTCTCTGTTTCTGTTTAGATTCTTTCATTACCTCTGATACACTAGAAATCTTCATTGGACCAGACTGAACCTTGAAAATGAAAAGCATTTAACACGTTAGATAGTATGTATGTTTTAGAGTGCTTTGTCTTACTCCCAAAGTTTTTCAGACTTTCATCCAGAGATAGTACAGCAAGTACTCCTGTACTGCCTGTCTCAGAGCAGTGAGTGTGCCCCCACCCCCACAGTAGAAAACTAAAAGGAGTCACTACTAACTATAGCAGTTGGTTTCTGTATCTTGACCATCCGACATTTATGCATTTAGTCTTGAAAATCAGAGCTTAGTAGCTGAATATTGCATACCTCACTTAAGCAACAGACAGCTACCTATCTCTTCCTAGGTGGCCTTTTCCAGCCACCCTGTGTGCCACACAATTATTTTTATGTGGCATGTATAAATGAGATCACTACTGGACTCCACAGAGATAAGATCAACTCCACAAAGCTCACATATATCTGGAAAATTCTACTGAATTATACAAATGAGATTTTCAACATGAAAACTGCTCTTCAAAGTATTACACAGGATAAAACAGAATATTGTTAAAACTCTTACCTGTTTCTTTGGCATTGGAACATTGTAAGGCGGGGCGCCCAGAGTCATCTCGAAGAGTTTATCTGAATAAGGTATGGTTTTTTCTACGCTTTCCCGAAAGTGGGAATCCCATTTGGCATATAGAATTGTGCCACCAATACCTCCACCAACAAACAAAAACCCAGCTCCAGCGATTTTGCCAGCAGTCAACCTAAATAAGAGAATTAAGAAACATGTTTTACATTGCTCAGCTTTCCTAAGACTACTTCCTTAGACCAATGAAAGGATTCTCAGGTCAAAAATAAAGCTCAAAGGGGTGGACATACTCTCCGCATATAGTAGGCCCAGGTATCAATCTCCAGCACCAAATAATTCCTGGGCACAGAGCCAGGAGAAACCCACAGCACTGCCAAGTGTGCCCCCAAATTAGAAACGTCTCAAAGGCCTCGATATCCTCTACTTCTCTACCACTGATTCCAGTTCTAGTAGCCAAGCTTACTCCCAGAGCTACATATCACTTTTCCTTCCTTGATTCATTTAAAACATGTCTGTCATAAAAAAAAAAAACATTAATTTATGAATAGCCAAAAAAATTTATTAGGGTTAAGGAAGTAGTTTAGCAGTAGAGAACTTGCCTTGCATGAATGAAACCCTGGGTATGGTCCTTAGCAAGACACAGACAGACACAGACACACACATACACATTAATACTGTAGTATCTAGGATAGGAAGAATGAAGATATCTAACCTTTAACATTTAAAATTCAAACTGCTTACAATAATGAGATTTCCTTTTAACTCATGATATTGGAATATCATGAACTTTGAAAGCTCCTATCCATTTATTTTTGTAAATAAGGAAAAAATTAACCCTCTAGAAAAGAGAACATAAATATCAAATAGAATATTTTTAAAATTACAATGTGCTGAGTTCAGAATATACAGAAATACATGGAAAGGATCCATCTACCTTACCTTGGATGTCAACTACCAAAGAAGCAAAATGGGCATAAATTTCACCTACAAATAAACAATGCTCCAAAATTACTATAGCAAAGCTCCAATAATAAGGTTTTAGGGTCAGAGCAATAGTACAGTGGGTAGAGTATTTGCCTTGCACATGACTGACTCAGGTTTGATCCCTAGAATCCCCAAAGCCCCACCATGTGCGGTCCAAACCCAAAATATACCAAGGTCTTAAGCAGCTATCCCAAATCCAATGCACGAATGCACACGCACACACACACAAACAGATGTGCACACTGAAGTCCATAGTCAAAAAGCATTTATAGGAGAAACTACATACCCAGAACTGCCTGAAGTGGAGTATCTACGGCATGGCGGCAATGGACGAAAGACAAATTTCCCACAGAGACAACTCTAAAGAGAAAGGAAAAAACATCAGTCAGTATGTTTAAATCTGGGAAGCTTTTAGGGATGGCAAATCACAAGTTATACTTTTACTAAAAATGATTTCATTGAAGAAAAATTTGACTTTCATAAGCGAGCCAATCATATTTACAGACCTTTAGAAACAGTGATATTTCCTGCACTTCAATGCTCATATGAAAAAGATCATCAGACTATGATCAACTAAGAGGTCTCCCTAGCAGTGCTTGGGGTCACCCAGAGAGCTCTCCAGAAGATACTCAGCCAGGCAGTATGGGCTGAGACGCACCCAGTGTCACCCCTACAGTGGCCATGCAGTGCTACGCCCAGCAGTGCTGGGGAAAGGCATGTGCTACTAGGTGCTAATGACAGAACCTGGTGCCTCCCACACGCACTCTACCCTTTTCAGCTATCTATCACCCAGGCCTAGCAATTAGCACTTTTAAAAAGGGGCTAGAGATAGTACAAGAATTAAGGTACAAGCCTTGCATGCAGTCAACCCCAATTCAATCCCGAATACTATATGGGCCCAGGGCTTACTCTTGGCTCTACACTCAAGGATCACTCCTAGTGATGCTCAGGGGACCAAATTGGGTGCTAGGAATTGAAGCCAGGTCTGGGGCGGCAAGTGACCTAACCATTATACACCATTTCGGCCTGTGGCTGTTTTTGGTTTTAGGGTAGGTTTTTTTTTTGTATTTTTAAAATTTTTTTGTTTTATTGAATCACCATGAGATAGAGCATTACAAATCTTTTCATGATTGAGTTTCAGTCATACAATGTTCCAACACACATCCCTCTGTTTTTTTAATAAAAAGCATCCCAGTAAGACCCACAGGAAACCCACAAAGTGTTAAAAAAAAAAAAGAAATTATCAATGAGAACCATGCAAGCCTGGATTTAAAGGGGAACTTAAAGATCAGAGAGAGTTCAATCCTGGACCACCACTCAGTCCTTTGAGCACTGCCAAGAGTAATCAGCAAGCACTTAGCTGGGAGCAGTGCCCCAAGAGACAAAATATGGTTCAAGAAACAAAGATTAAAGGGAAATTTTAAAAAATTACAAGGTTTCTGGATTTTACAACTTGTAAAGCAATCTGACAAAATAACTCAGCTACAAAGAAGGTACATTTTCTGGAAAAGGAACATTAACCAGATAAAACCAAGAGGCCAGAAAGTAGAACCAAAAGCGATGAGAGCTCATATCCAAACAATAAGACTAAGTCCCAATTAAAAACCTAGCCGGGTATTGGGCTAGATTTAACATTTTTTACGGAGCAGTTAGTGCTGTGTGTCTCATTCCCAGTCTTGACGAAAGGAAAGGTCGCTGAGATGCAGGAAACAGGGAACAGATCACGCCTCTTAGTTCAGAGGTCTTTAGGAGGGAAGATAAGGAGGTAATTGACAGACCACAGATTCCACCCCTATCTGCCTACCTGAATCTGATCCAGATGGCAAATACCTGACTTTTTAGTCTCAGCGTAATTTTGTGACAGGATGAGATTTTGGAGGGCTCTGAGGCAGGTTGTGGATAAGTTTAGATGGGGGGTGGGGAGTAAGTTCCTTGGCCAGAGGGTCGACAGTATTTCCTGAATCACATACTCTTCCAGAATCCTATGGCAGTTCTATGCAGCCTTCCCTGAACAAAGGGCAGGCTGCAGTTACTAACTCACTAATGAAGGGTAGTAAAAGAGGTCTCCGTGACTTGAGGAAAGTGATACAACTCCCACCTGACTCTGGCTCTTAGATTGGCCATGGAACCCAGCTGCCAAGTTGGAAGGCAGCCAGACACAAGAAACCATGCTGGAGGTGGCCCAGTCAGCAGTCCCTGGCAGTCACTATCAAAAACCAGGCACATTCGAGGAAGATCGGACATGACCCTAGCCCAGCTGCCGTCTTCTTTCCAAGAGAGCTAGCTAAAAACTTATCAGCTGAGATCCAGTAACATCCAGAACTGAATAAGGAAACAAGAAATCATAGGTTCTATTTGCTTTTTTTCAAGCACATCCCGCAGCACTCACATTATTCCCGCTCTGCACCCCTAGTTCTACAAGGGACCATGCGGAACTGGGCATCAAACCCAGTTTGCATACACAGCTTGCGCCCCAGCCCTTCTAAGCTTCCAGGCCCAAAGTGTGAACTTTAAGTAGTGGGTTTTCTCAGTGAATTTTACCACACAGGGAAAAAAACGACTGTTCACCCTGTGCATTTGCAGAAGGACTAAGAGAGTTCGCTCAAGACTGAAAATGTACAGGTATCAGGCTGGAGTCCAATTGCTGGCACAGCATCGTCTCCTACATACCCCAGATGTACCCCCAAGCAGAGCCAGAAGTAACCACCAGCACTGCAAGGAGTGGCTCAAACACCACCACCATCACCCACCCCCACAAAAAAACTCAGAAAAAGCAAAAATGTAAATACAATTCAAATTATAGCTCTACATGGTTTTCACTGACCAAACATCGAACAGCTGAATTTTCTTTTTTTTTCCTTTTGGAGTCACACCCAGCAATGCTCATGGGTTACTCCTGGCTCTGCACTCAGAAATTACTCCTGGTAGGTGCTCGGGGGACCATTTATTGGAATGCTGGGAATCAAACCAGGTTAGCCACCTGCAATGCAAATGCCCTCCCTAAATACTATAGCTCCTGCCCTGGGCCAATTTGCATTTTCAAGAGGCCAATAGCTGAAAGAAATCCATACTTTTTGGGTTTTAGGTCACATAGGCTGTGCTTAGCGATCACTCCTGGTGGGACTAAAGTGACCGTATGTTGCACCAGGGATGGTATACGATCAGCCACGTGGATAGCAAGTTATCTTACCAGCTCTACTAGCTCTCCAGTTCCCAAATTCCTGAGTTCTTAAAGATATATCTGGATAGAACTGCAAAGGAAGCTTGGAAGAAAACAATACCTTGAGAGACATAGCTCACCTACTCTGCATGCTGGAGGCCCAGGTTCAATTCCCTTAAGGAAATTCCTGTTAACCAGCAGTCGCTGCCTAGTTTTCCCTCCTTATCCCTTAGTGTTACACATTTGTCTATTCTGGGCATTTAATATAAATGAAATTGAACAGCATGTGACCTTCTGTGCCTGAAGTTTTTCACTTGAAAAAATTGAAATACTGTTTCCAGGTTCACCCATGTTGTAACATGTATCATTTAGATAGCAAGAATTTATTACAGCAGAATGTAATGCTACACTGTATGCATATATAGGTATCCCTTCAAACCCCTATCACCCCCAGCTTTTCAAAAGCTTGAATTATGAGACTTTATTCTATAACATCCCTTGTTTTAAGGGGGGCCCACACCCAGCAATGCTCAGGGGGCCATACGTATGACAAGCATAGCTCACTATATGATCACTCCGGCCCCCAAAGATGTCTGAAGATTTTTGTTTTCACTACAAGAAGTCAGTATTTGGTGGACTGAGCTCATGCTTTGCATGCTTGGGTTCCAGAGCACTGTCCCGTGTGATCCAAAAACCAAGCAAACAGCATCTGTTTTATAGCAGTGCTGATAGAAGCAGCATGCATAAAGAATCCGTACCAGTTAGGAAGGAAACACTGCCAGCTCCTCTTGGCAACTTTACACAGGGTGTGTGTTTTCTGATCACCCCTGTATTTATGATGTTAGTTAGACAATGAGTTTTCTGTGCAGAGGATCTGAGTTAGCAGCATCCCCAGAAGTGTTCTGGGACCACTCTCAGTGACACTGGGGCTGGTGGTATGGCACTGGTGGCTCAGTGCTCAGTCAGGTGACATGCTGCTCAAGCCAGTAATGCAGGGGATCCCAAGGGCCATCCTGGCAGTGCTCAAGTGCCACAAAACCACACTTAACGGTGCTCAGAGAACCATGAAGTACTGGGATGGAACTCAGGGCCTCAACCTAGTAAGGAACATTCTTTACCCCTTTGAAAAATCCCCTCAACTCTCAGACTTATTTTGAGTCTAGGAACACTGACAAACTGTCCCTGTATAAATTAATTGCTTCTTCATCTATTTATTACTCTACTTTCACAGTAGAGAATCCTGTACCAAATTTTTTTTCAACAAATATTGGACATTTGGAATACACACATCTTTTGGTTTATGTTGAATAGAGCTGGAGCTATAGCACAGCAGCATGGTGTTTGCCTTGAACGAGTCTGACTTGGCCGACCAGGGTTGGATTCCTCTGCCTCTCTTGGAGAGCCCAGCAAGCTACCGAGAGTAACTTGCCCACACGTAAAAGCCTGGCAAGCTACCCGTGACATATTTAATATGCCAAATACAGTAACAAGTCTCACAATGGAGACATTACTGGGCCTGGTCGAGCAAATCAATGAACAAGGGGAGGACAGTGACAGTGCTATCTGTAAGTTTTTATTTGAATATCCAGTCTCAATTCTTTTTTTTTTTAATTTATTTATTTATTTATTTATTGAATCACCATGGGAAAGGTTACAAAGCTTTCAGGTTTAGGTCTCAGTCATGCAAATATCAAGCACATTTCCCTTTACCAAAACTTATTTTTTACCACGAAGAACCCCAATAAAACCCCACCCCCCACCCCTCCCAGTCCCTGTGGGGCAGATGAATTCTAGTTAACACTCTATCTGCTTTGATTAGATTCATTGTTTCAATAAAAGATTCACCACTATTATTTAGAGTTTACCCCCCCCCCCCCCCCCGGGAATCAGACATGCTGACAAAGCATTGTGAAGTGATTTGCTTTCTACAGCTGGGTTCAAGAATTATATGTTGGTTTTGGATTTCTGCTATTTTACTTATTGACCCTGGAAGTATTTCTACTGAAAGTCAGATAGTTAAGAAATTGGTTTCTGTGCTCTGGAGTCGTGGCCGTGCTGGAGAGCCGCTATTGGGGGGCAACTGGTGGCCTCGGTAGGGCGTGAAGGGCGGACCGAAACGCCCCCCTTCCCATGAGGTTTTAGTCGCCCCCAGTCCCCCGGCTCATACCTGCTGTCCACAAGGCTCCCATGCGGCCGCCAT